ATGTAAGAAGCAAAATCCGTCCTAAAAAAAAAAAAATAATATTAATTAAACCGAAACTTGTCTTAGGAAGAAATAACGTTGTTTACTGTGTCAAGATATTTCTTATTGATTGCAAAAATATATGTAGGTATTGATAAAAATAGGTCTGAAATATGCCAGAAGGTTCGGCACTTGGGCCCTTGTTGCTTTTGTGGTATATTAATAATTACCTCATTGTTGATTCGCCTATTCAAGCCAGATTATTTGCAGATGATTGTATTATTTACACCGAAGTCAAATCTATTACAGATCAGATTAGGTATAACGAATATTTGTATAAAATAGACGACTGGTGCACTAATTTGCAAATGTCGCTAAAAAAACCCATGCATGACCATAGCTTACAAGCGTCAGCCATGAGGGATTAACTACATATTGCAGGGGTTTACTTTAACGAGGGTCACGGAAAGTAAGTACCTTGGAGTCACTCTAACTTTGGACATAAAATGGACAAAACACATAATGCTGGTGGTGAAGCCACCGAGATATTATAATTTATTCGACGAACGCTCAAACATGCTTCGCAGGAAACTAAGCTGTTCGCATGCATACACGATGTTAATGGGCCCAATACTAGAATATGCGTGCAAAATCTCAAATCCGTATGTGAAAACAACAACAACAAAAATCCTCGAGTTAAAACTGGAAGGATACAGCGGCGAGCATTTAATTGCATTATATTCATAACCTTAAAATGCAAGCCCTTCACCCTTGTTGGTGTTAGGCAGGTGGCAGCTGATAAAACCTGTTTACTCTACTGACTGACGTCTAACCCCTGGTTAGCTCAGTTGGTAGAGAGCTTCACTGGAAGTGGAGAGGTCCCGGGTTCGATACCCGGACCAGGCGGATTTTTCCGGTCGCGCACCCGTCACCTACCAGCTTTGTTTGGAGATTTATGTCCTTTGTCCCTTCTGTTCCCCTTCATGGATTTTTTTCGTCATTCTTGTCCAGCTCGCTTGCAACTTTGCATTTCATTGCATTATATTCGGGGCATTGTGCTTTATTTACTCTCGGCATTAAAGACTGGAACCAGTCTCTCCCCTTTACGGCAGAGCCAATTTAACGTTGCTCCAAATCCCCCCCCCCCCCCCCCCCCAAAAAAAAAAAAAGAAAATAATAATAATAGATTTTTTTTTTGACGTATTATCAACAACTTGGTCCTCGTGAAGATGCATCTGCGTATAATTGAAGACATGTCGCGAATAACCCGGAGTAAGCATGAAAAGCATATAAAAGAAAGAATGTTTAGTCAGAAACGTTCTAGAATCTAGATACCCCTTTTTTCTTCTTGTTTTTGCAGGTTGCGCGGGATTGATTTGAAAGTGTTGGGGGTACTTGTAACCGGGACGAGTTCACATCCCTAATCTTCAATGCTTCATATAGCGGCACCATCGGTGTCTGTTGTGTTGCAGTAACATATATTGCACAAGTTTAACTTACGGGTTGTGTCTGATTCGCATTAGGGCGGCGCAGACTGTGTTTGACTGTGTTTGCAACTGATTGTTGGAATGTTTTTTATTATCCCTGAAGGGACTGATAGTACGTTCAAATAAATAAATGAAACTAAATATTCGGGCCCCTTGGCAATAGCGCTTGGGGATCTAAGTGATGACATTCAGGAGTTATGTTACTTTCCCTTTGCTCTTGACACCTGTTGAGATCATCTTTTCCATTGAGAGCTTTAACCGGCGCTTTGACAACCACCTTATCACGCGCTATTTTTCTCGTATCGTCCCTGTCGCCGCGTGCTGTCAGCAGCTGGTACTGACTTAAAGGGGCGAGGAACAGAGGGGCGCCCCAATGTCCTGGATATGCTCCGTTCACCCGCAAGCTGACAGTGCGCTGAAAGCTACGAACTCGTTGAACCAGTCACGGGTCGAACATCCGCCACGTGACCACGCTCTCGTCCGCACCCAGACGCAGGCTGTGGTGGCAGATGATGTAAGCCAAGCGGCTCATTCGTCCCACGAGCGCGTAGCTCGCACACCGTATACCGTCAGCCATGGGTCGTGAACAGAATACAGGTCTGAACAACACACACGGTATGGGTAGTATTCCTTGGCGGCCATAGTTGAGTTGGATGCTGCTAAGTGCGAGCTTACAATAAGGTTCCACAACGCTTTCTCGGCGTACATTCTCCCACCGCCAATATTGTAATTCTCAGAAGTGGCGGCTCAGTCTGAGCATGGCTACGATCTCCTCTTTCCGCACAGGCCAGATGCCCGAACCCCTCGCTCCGAGAAAGTGTTCCATATAATGCGTCTTTAAGTCATCGAAACGCGAAGAAGGGCACGCTAATTCAAGGGGCAGCACAGAGAACACGCGGGGCACACGCGCGATGAGCGGTCGCGGTCGTAGAGAAACAAAAGCACGCGGTTGGCGAGTAAACAGACTCCGCTGCCACGTCGTAGTACCGAAACTCTCGGTGTAAGCCCGGAACAATGAATCGAACGTCCTCGTGGTACACGTGTGGTAAGCAACCACTGCGTGTACTTACTCTCCATGCGAGCCTTTGGAAAGGGGGGGGGGGGGCGGTGTCCGGCTCGGCTCCCGTCAGTGCACTGGGGTGGGACCTTGAGGGTCACGTCGCTCGAGGAAAGTGGGGACGGCGACAAGACGTATCGCATCCTGTGCGTAGACTGCCTCCGGGGTTCACTCTGCTCATTAAAGAGAACCCGACCCCGGGGCGACTTGTTTCCCCACCACTCCGTATACCCGCATGCTTGCCATACGGTGTCGCGGTTGGCTTGGCTCGGCTCGGCTATCTTCCTCGTGCTGCCAGGTTGTGGATAGCCAAACTCCGGGCGGGTGACCGAAAAAAACATTTAATAACCGGTTCTTTAGGCGATGTAACGAGGCACCATTTATTAATGAAGCCACCCTTCTACCGGAGGAAGAAAAAAATGGTAGAAGAAACAGAGAAAAGCGCAGATATGAATGTGCGGGAATTTGTGCGTGCACGTGTATGTGCGTGCTTGGGTGCCCTGTATGAGCGAACGGGGCACATGGTTCCGACGTATTATTAACTGCTGTTGCGTTGTTGCGTTTTGGTTCGTGTATGGTGTCGTGTTGCGCTCTTATTGTTTTGTTCGTTGTTGTTGTGTTGCGAAGTTGCTCTTCCTGCGTCGCTTTTTGTTACCGCTTTTGCGGGCAGCAATTACTGGATCTCCTTTGTCGCTCTGTCTCGGTGTATGTGCGTGCGCGGTTTGTTTGCCGTTCGTGCCTTGCGAGAGAAAAAAAAAAAGTGAGCCGGGAGATTTAGAGGGGAGGGCGATGGAAGGGCGGGTTATCAAGATTGATAAGACGGGCTCATTCGTTCCTTGGTGGTCATATATTTTTTCTCTCTTTTTTTGTTTTTTTACGTCGGCCGTAGTTGCGTGCATTCTAAACGTGCATACGTTCGATGATTTATCGAAGACGGAGCTGTTTGATGCTCTTTTGCGGCGAGCCGAATTAATTGGGGGGTCGCGAAGACTTCCAGTTTTTGATTCATGGTCCCGTGCGTAGGTATTCTTCTACAAACTTTCGTTGCCTGTTTACGTTTTACTTGCCTTTTCCCGTGTACTTTTTTTTTTCTTTCTCGTGCTTTTATACATTTGTCACACTAAAGGCTACGGGCTGGGGTAATACGCGCATTATAACCTGTCAAGGGTAATCTCATAAAAGGAGGCGCCATCTTAACTGTATCTTTCAATCACAGTTTCGGCTTCCGATATTGATTACCACAAGCCCGTGCTTGATGATCGTGCAACCGATCTCGTTTCCATCTCGAACCTCTCCCGAGTACACGAGAAAACGTTCTGTCGCTAGTCACGGACGGCAGTTCTTCACGTGCGCTCATGATGTAAAGAATAGCGCAAGAGCGGCCTGCAGTCAGCTCTATTTCTAACCAAACGAAGTGTAATCAAGTTTGTCTGTTATCGAGCATGCACCAGCGACGCAGACGGCAAGCTCAATTCGACGTGAAGCGTTTGAAATACGATTCCTTTATCGGCAAAATACCAAAGAGACACTCGCCGAGCATGTAAGGGCCGGTTCACACATAAAAGCACATCGCCGAATGGGCGCTGGAAAACGGCGCCGATGTAGTGTAGACTTGCCCGTGACGTATCGCCGATGTGGTGCCGAGTGCATCGCTACATCGGGGAGCTTTGTGGCGTGCTCACCGCCGCCGAGCAGCGCTTGGAAAAAAAAAAAAAAAACATGAAAGGCTCGTCTGCACAGTCTTGACGACTGCGTTGCACTGCGCTGCGTCGTGCAACGCAGCGCCTCCCCATTGGCTCGCCGTAAGGGTCGCCATAGCAACAGCTCGACGCAAGCAGTCTTAACGCAGTCAAACGCAACCTTGAGAGTGAACCCTAACTTCTTCTGCTATCTGATGTTGCACTTCCACTTTAACAGAGCGTTCGCACTGTTAAAGTGGAAAGAGGTGGGAGGAGCTTTCACTTCACTCTTAAACCTGTGACCGACCATAAATATATTTTAAGACACACAGAGGTAAGTAAATCAGTGGCGCTGCGCGAGAGCCGGACCTTGTATACGCTTGTTGAGGTGGATATTGATTTTAAATCAGATCAGGTACTGTTATACTGCTGGACCGCCATCCGTACGCGTGAGATTTCGAAACAGTGAGGTCCTTCACTTCGGTTTTGTGCCCTGTGGTGCTCTCACGTCTTGCACTCATGCGCCGCACTCACGCCCTCCTCATTCTTACATTCTGGAACCAATACCACTCGAGTTTCTGAATAGGTTTCCGGAATACCGATACCAATACCACCCGAAGACAAAGCCCGCGCTTCGGCGTATTTGCCGCTCGGGGCGGCACTAACGATGACGTCATAATGGGCAGGCCTTGTCCTTTAGGTGGTATTGCTCGATCCCGGTGTTTGGGGGTACAAAAAGACCTACATGTGACTAGCTGCGGGCTGACTTGTGTCCTGTCGCCCCTTTTGTCCTTGCAGCAGAGCGGCAACGTGTTGAGCTTCTGTAACGAGACGCTCAAGCTGAACGGCAGCTCAGCCATCTCCAAGGTGGCCAGTATCGTGTTCGGGAACCTGACCCTGACGGCGGTGGCCGCGGCTTCGACGCCGCAGCACAGCGTCGCCTTCCTGGGCACCGACACCGGACGCCTGAAAAAAGTGAGTCCTTCCGTGCACCATCTCCCTGTCAGGCCCGAGCCTGTCGCGACCGGCAAGAAGCCTCGTCATCCGCACTGCTCCGACCCTGTGAAAAGGGAGCCTCAGCCGCACTGCTCATGACAAGAGACCGTCTGGGGACATATTTGAAGCATGCATGAAACAACCATGCTTCGAACACGCTTGAGCCCTGTCTGCAGTTAATGCTACCGTGCCTTTTGTATGAGGTATAAGTGTGGCCGCGGTTTTAGACATAGCTGCTCGATGAAATTCGACGCAAGAACCATACCATCAGTACCGGAAAAGGTGATTGGAAGCTACCTCTCCTCCGCGCTATGTTTGCTTCAGATTATGAGGGTTATTTTTTATTACCAAGGTGCGGAAACCTATAGATTAATTTTGGGAAACAATAACGCGAATGAACTCTCGTGTACGTTAAACTCGACATTGTAAGCGTTACAAAAAAAAAAAAGCAAATAAAAAATAAAGAAATACATTTTTTGTTATTTGCAAATCAAAGGACCGCGTTACTGACCTATCTTAGCTGAAAATAAAAAGGAACGCGTCCCCGTTACGGATAAAAAAGTAAGGCGCGTTACTTTTGCGTTAAAATTTGGTGTGCGTCTATCCATCCTGCCTGCCGTTGACGGCGACGGCGTTCTTCGACAAAGAGCGTGGGCGTTGAGGGTTTTTCTAAGCGGGAGTGTTTGCGTTTGGAATAGATAGGCAAAATGCTTAAATGTGTGGGGTAAGTGCAAGAAGAGACCTCCCCGGAAAATCGCACAGTGCATCTCGTTCATGCTACATTCCACCGCGCGGCGCGGGGAATTCTGGGGCCGTTCGGATGTATACGCTGGGGCCAGCTCATATTTACGCGCTCCGTGTATCCTGGAAGTGGCTCGATTCCCCCTCTCTTACCACTACGAATTCAAAGCACGAAGAAAACGGAGATGATGCATCACAAAGCCCAGTTTGTTAGCGTCCTACGTTCTCTGCTTTCTGAAATTGCAAAATGCTAAACGAACATGATCCGCCCCTTGTATGTTTGGGTTCTCCTTCACGCGTCGTATATCGGATCGTCGTAGTGCGTCGAATAGATAATGGGAGGCGCTGCGTATTTCCAAAATGGTCTATCAGTGACGGAAGTGCTACTTTTTGCTAAGAATAGCGCCATACCTGCGCCTAAATAAGCAAAGAAAAAAAATATTATTGGAGGAAGTTGAAGGAAAGAAAAATGGTACAAATATGTATTTCAGAGTGTCTCTACTCACGGTATAATTTGCTTTATCTTAGGTAAGAGTGCAGTCGAAGGCTGGACCACATACAACCACAAACACTACTAAAAGCGCAATTCACGGGACATTTGCTGCTATTGATTCGTTTAGCAGACGAAAGACCACGCACAGAAAGATGGACGAATGCCATGATGTCGCGCTTTGACGCTGGTCGGTCCCTTTGGTTCGTAGCGGCGGCTGCGCTTTAAAGGAAGTTGAAAAAAGTATCGAGATTGATCGTCAACCACGCTAGTCGGTTGATGCCCTGGCAGATTGATCGCCGACATCGTCTCAATTTTCAGACGATGTCGACGATTTGAGGAGCTAAAATTCGAGAGAAAGCGTTGCCAAATTGTTGGATGGCGGCTACCGTGATAAGATAGGTCGGGGTCTTGTACTCCTTGATTTGATTGATTTGAACTTGATTATCGTGTCTGCCGCATGATTCCGTGGCGCCTCTCACCAGCGCGCGCGTTTCGAGCTTCACCGCTTTACACCGGAGTGCTAGGTGCAGCGGCCGACATGGCGGGGCGCCTGGGTTAGCGCGACAGTTTCAATAATTATGCTCGAAACAATTCCAGGTCTATTTTTTTAAAGGCTAAAGCCCTATTTGTTTTATTTAGCGAAAAAGCGTCGTATCAAGCGATAAAGATCTATTTTTATTACAAAATGTATTAATATGTTCCAGTATCAAAGAGGAACCCCTCAGTCATTATCAAAGATGAACTCATTTAGCGATGCAATCACTTTTTCATTTTCAAGTGATGTGCTTCACAGATGTTAGCATCTGCTCCAAAAGGATCATCAGTAACTGCTCCAAACCAATGCTCTGCCTGCTGCAGAACCTGCTGCAAAACGTAAAATTCCGCTTCCATCACTGGTCTTTTCGTGTAACCCGGTGCCTACAAACACAAAACAATTTAAAGTGGATTTTTTTTTAAATCTTGGGACGATGCAACAACTAACGTAGTTACGTTACCCGTTACTCGAAATAAGTGAAGTACGCCACCAGTTAACTGTTTTGAAAGCGCAACGAGTACTTTACTACGTTAACGGCAACGTAACGGCTCGTTACCGCCAACACTAGATGCAGCTCCCCGTGACATTCGAGTGGCCGGAGAAACGCACGGGCAGCTACCGCCATCTAGCGACCGTTTGGAGGACGCCCAGCTTTCCCGCTCCGACCGCGCTTTGCACAGCCCCGACCGGGAGCAGTGGGACCAACGCGGCGACCGGGAAATCGAAGCGGAGCAAATCCACGAGCAGTAACTGACGAACGTGCAGGTAGCCTCTTCTTCACTCGCATCGTCGGTAATCGTCGGGGATGAGGCAATTCCTCGGAGGCTGCTACGTCGGCGATCTCGCAGATCGTTCGGATGAGATTACCTTATTAATCAGGGCGCCACTTGAGCGCGGCGATGCGGGCTGGGCCGATTGGAGCGTCTGTTGTCCTCTTTTAGCCTGGGTATCCCATATGTAACCCTCGTCTCGGCGGTATTCATTCCGTAATTATTCGAGGTCCTTCGAATTCGCGTGCTGATTACGTGCCCTTGCGTTCTCCTCGCTCGTTGGTAGGACATTGTGTCGCCAGAAGGCGCATTTTTTTGTATAAAGGGCACCTCTTATATGCGTACCTTCGTTTCAGTCCCGAGTGATGCGCTTATTCGTTCAAAGTTTCTTCAGTCTAAACGTATACACTTGCGTCTCATTCACACGCTGCGATATTAACTTCGAGTTGGCAGTTGCGACGTCGCTCGTACGGCAAAAACAAAAACACGGCGAAGACACTTTGCTTACGTGTAGGAATGCGAAAGCGTTATAGTCCCGCAGTTGACATGTTTTCGAGTCATGTTTCTACACGTATTAAAGTTGTTTCTGTCAGTATAGTATTCGGCGTGGTGTGTTTGCGTATCCGTTAGCTTGCTTCCTCGGCTGTGGCGTATTTGCGTGGGCGGCCACGTTTGCCCGCGGAGGCCGTCATTGATGTAGACGCTGCTGCCGATGTCGAAGCCGTAGATGTAGACGCTGCTGCTGATGTCGAGGCCGTAAATGTAGACGCGATCCCCTCACAGTTCATTGCACGAAGCACACAAAGAGCACAGATGAATTCCGAAGCGCAACTGACGCGCCGGAGGCAGCGCCACGTCTTCCTTTTGCACACGGCGCTCCGGTGGTGACGTCACGATCCCCTACTGCGCAGGCGCGGTGCCCCCGCCGGCTCCACGGCTTCCGTGACGAAGCACCTGCGTTGCTGCGCTTTTCTTTGTGTTTTCTTTCTGAGGCGCGTCCGCTTTGACCTTGAGCGGCACGTGCTCGATGACTCATTTTTATGGCCATCTTTGGGGCTCAACGCCGACGCCGCCTTTTCGCTTAATGGAACATACAAGACTTTTGTCTTAAGAAATAAAGAAAAGCGTAGATGCTGCGGTGCTCAACCTCGCATCTGCGAAATCGCGAGCAAGATTGCACCATGTAAATCATTCTTTATCGCCTCGCTCACACACTGCTCGTACAAAAAAAAAGAAAAAAAAGAAGCAGTTTGCATACTCTGAGGCGTATTTCTTTCTTGTATGACGGTCACATTGGCCACACAAAAACTGTCTGCGGTCAACTTCGAAGCATGGATGAAGCCAACATGCTTGGACCATGCATGACACGTGTCCGCGTATTTCTTGTATTTCGTAACATGAATGTGGTTTCTTTTTTCGGGGCCATGTTGCGCATCATAGTTTAAAACGCATGACTTCGCATAAATGTTCGTACTCTCTCGCTTTCTCTCTCTCTCTCTCCCTCCCTCCTCTCTCTCACTCTCTTTTTGTGTTTGTTTGTTTACTTGCTTGCTTGCTTTTGTTCCAATCCCTTCTCCGTGTCGCGCGAGCTAGCAATGTGCCGGTCGCTTCGAGTTGCAACCGAAAACTCCGCGTAAACTATTAAAATTCTAGGCCATTGTATGTACGGCGCCCGCTCTAGGGACTTACGCAGCTGCATGCCTCGCCTACGGATTGAGCCCGGCTTTTTGTCCACGTGCCACATCGATTCCCGCGAAACAAAGGCACCCGAGCGGACAGCCCAAACGCACCAGGTCGCAACGCAAGTGCGTCGGCATTCGTATACGACTCCCGTTTATTTGTTCCAAAAAATGTTTTTTCTTTTTTTTTTCGGAATTTATATATATTTTTTTTCGTCCTTTTTTAGGGAGGATTCTGTTCCGCGCAACGAAGCACCGTGGAACGCGAGACGGCGTCGGGCCGTTGGCTAATGCGGCCTCGTAATCTGTCATCCGGAATCCAATTCCGGCCGGTGTGTTTATTTTCGCGAACGTTGCCGGAGTTGGCGCAGAGAGCGTCGCGCCTGTCCTTGCCGTCGGGGAAGGGACGGTCGCTTCGGATTGATTCGAATCGCGGACCGTGATCGTGCTTGGGCTTCCCAAAACGGTCTTCCGACTCAAATTGGATGTCTCTCCCCCGTGCCGCTCCTCTCGATTCCTTCTTCTCTCTCTCCCTCTCTCTCCCCCTGCGGTGGAACCAACTTTTTCTCTTTCTTTTTTTATTGTTATTTCTTTTCTCGTACGCCTCGCCCTCAGTTCCACAACATCGCCCGTGAAATGGTCCGCGAGAAAGGAGCTCGTGTAACCGGCTAAAAGCAGCGGCAAAGCACCCAACACTGCCGCTGACGCCATTTTTCTGCAAGAGCGACCACTTTCTATTTTTTGGGTTTTTTTTTTTGTTTTTTTGTTTTAAGGATACAAAATTAGTAGGAAGAATCAGAAAAAGCGATACTGAAATGCCCCAGGCTAGCATTCGTAGCGCACTGACGAAATTTCTCATCCACTGTGGGTAACAATGTACCCGTGTTCTGGCAGGCTAATGCCCCGCTGTCTATGTAACTAAGGACTAATTTGTTCGTTTTACATAGTGAAACAACATTGTTACCACCAACCGGAAATTACGCTGATTAAAAAAAGAAAGTATCCAAAAATTGGGGTGGGTGCCTGGATATTTGGAGAGCGTGAACGATTAGTTAGCCTTCGAAGTGAGGCCACTTGAATCTCGCTGTATACTCGTTGCCACATCAAGAAGAAAAAAAAATGTTTTTTTTTTTTTTTTTTTGTGCATACTTTATTACACGCAAAGTAGTTTTTAGTAGAGGATTTGTTGGTCGGGGGAAGAAACGATGTTTTTGGCATTTCAAACTGTACGTCTTGACAACATAACGCATAGCTAATCAAAAATTCACCTCCACTTAATTCACCACATAAAAGGAGAAATCAGTAAAGTTCTGCGAGGAGACCGACTTTTTTATTATTATTATTTATTACGGTTCTGCAGGTGGATACGAGTGTAGATGCTCCCAACCTCTCGCACAGTAGTGAGTGCACGAGCGCACGCATGTGCAACACACGTCCAGATCGAAACCGACAAGAGGCGAACACACGATCTCCGGGTTCTGCGTCGCAAAGAATTCGCGCCACCTACTCGGAGATGCAGCGCACTAACCAACTCGGCAAAGCTCCAGCGGCTTTCTGCACGTGGCTTGCCCGTGACGTCATTTCACACCGTGCTGGTGGTCATTCCTAATTGTTCTTGCCGAGGAGAACAAGTTGGGTGGTGCGAAATAAATGCTGAAGAATGGCCCGGCAGCAAGACTACCACAGTGGCAGCTGCATGGCGTCGGTGCCAGCCATGTACCTAAACATGTGCACCAACGACCCTGGTGTAGCGCGCGTAGTGTCTCACATGGTCCAATGAGTCAATGTTAACACTCTCAGAAAAAGAAAAAAAAAAAAGATAAAGAAAAAAGGACTGAAAACTTGAGTGGGAACTAGAGAAGGTAGTAACCATGAAACCAAGAGAAGTAACAAGCACCGCAGAGCATTTATTATTATTATTATTATTATTATTATTATTATTATTATTATTATTATTATTATTATTATTATTTGTAGAGAGACAGCGCACTCGTAATTCATACGCCAGCGACAACCTTGGCCACTGACAACCCACAGTCCGGTTCAAGCTTTTCATACGGAGCGGTAGCTTCCATCTCGTTCTCCAAGTTCGCCTTCACCGGTGCTGTTCTCCCATCTCTGTCTAGTCTGCCATTTTCCCGCTATTTTTCTTTCTTTTTTTGTCGCTTCTGGAACTTGTCAGCGAAGACGACAGGAAGGCTCGGTGGGGACCCCGGTCTGGTTCCTTCGCCCCCTTCTCGAAAAGTTCCTCCTGCGCTGACAGGCGACAGTTGCCTGGCCTGTCTTCTATCCCGTTCCCTTTCACAAACGGTCACAGTTCTCCTGTTTGGTTATCTCATGACGGCTCTTTTTCTTCGGTACGCACTACGTGCCCCTGCGTTGCCTTGCTGTCTGAAACAAGAGTTAACAAAAAAAAAAAAAAGCAATGGCGGCATTGGAAGGTTTGTGTTATGAAGAGACGGTCCATCGTTATACGTTTATTCTGGTATCACAAATGGCCGGTGGTCATATATTATAGTACCCCTCAGGCACGTAGCCAGGGGGGGGGGGGAAGCCCATGGGGCCCGCCCCCGCCCCCAAAACAAAATGCCGGCTACGTGCCTGCTACCCCTCCAATCCTCCCCATGACGAGCGTATCCGCGCTATAGTATACACGAAGCAGCCTATCGCTCTTTTCCTCCAAACAAATGCAAGGCGTCGTTTTTTTGTTAGTTTGCGTCCTGTTGTAGTATACGAGTTACCGCTTGGGCTATGTATTATACACTTCCGTAATTAAGCCTACGGTCGCAGCTTCAGCGAGCAAAGTTGTCCATTCTACTGTACTGTTCAGATTAGTAGCACCGCAATTGCTCGATAGGTGTGTCTGCACGATCAGAAAATCGGTACACACTCGATTTTATTGGTGGTCTCAGGTTTTTTGTACTCACATACAGTATAGGCGATGATGATGATGATTTGCGGCTGTTCCTTTTGAAGCGGGCGGTCCCATGGTGTTTAGAACCTAGCCTGCGGAGTTTACGAGACCCCTATTCTTCACCGACGTCCACCGATGTTCTTCTCTTGGCAGTCTCTTCCGCTCCTCTTCTCCGTATAGGCCTTCGGCGTCCGCGCCTTGATTATTGTTGCCCCGCCGGTAGAGGCTGGTTCCTGAGTATAGGCTCGAATGCTCCCGGGTCACCTGCTGCCACTTCGCTGGTTGAGCCGGTTGCAATCCGGCGCCCGAGAGACCCTCATAATTCTTTCTTCATTTGTTTAAGTTTCGATGGTGTGAACATGAGAACTGACAATTACAAAGCGGCTACCCATAAGCTCCTCGATTAGATTTCCACCATTAAAAGGATTCGGAGCCAAACTTGCGCCAAGAGATTGATTGGACAATACTCCGAAATAAACGCTTACTCGGCCGTTGTACCTATAATTCACGTCCGGGACGTCCTGCTACAGTATCCTCCGCCCGGTTGTATCTTGAACTTCTTCGTCAACCTCAAGAAGGCCGCCATTTGTCTGGCACAGACGCCACGGGGGAAGGTAGAGGAGGAAGGATGAGACATGGCTCTCTGTCAGGCTGCAAGAGCCCCACGTGCATCAAACCCCCGATCCAAACCCCACGCGACGTCGGCTGACGCTACCGCCCCCTCGCGCATGGAGGGGGGAGCCAGCCGAAGGACCGGCGTTGCCCGTCTTGGCAGCTCGCTGCAGCCTCCCGACTTTCTTGTGGTGTTTGATGAGAGCGGAGATTAACGCCGCAGGGCTCAGCGACCGACCGCGCAGCCGTCCTCCGCGACTTCTCCACTGGTTGACGCATCGAGAAAGGCGGAGCGCGTCTTTTTTTAAGAGGAGCCCCGCGTTCGCGTGATGGATCTGGGCAGGGCGCGCCACGATGCTGCGGTCTCGTCAGGCCGCGCTATTATGTGCCCGGGCCGTTCGCGTGGCTTCCAGCCCCCGGGTAATGAGCGGGAACCGTTCCCCTTGTTCCAGTCGAGGAGCCGCAACCCCGGAGCCCTCGTGGCGAGGCTGGCTTCAACCGATACAGTCAAGGCCTGCGCGTTTCCCTACCCCGAACGTCATCTCTTGTGGATCCAGGCAGTACAGCCTAGCTCGCGTCAGCGTCGCCGGCAGCGAGGAGTCTTGCAGCGTCTCTCAATGAACGCGGCGCTATCACGCAGCGACGCCAGGTGCACGCGTCAGCCATTTTGAGGGCGTACTCGCGTCAAGCTTCAGCCTGTTTTCCGGTTGGGGTAGGTCGGGTGTTTTACTGATGATGACGTCATGCGAAGGCCTTGTCTTCTAGGTTGTACGGCTTCAGTCCTCCTCCTACCCCCGCTAAGTTTTGTTTTTCTTCTTAAATTTATGCTTTCGCGTACCTTAGAGGGAGCTCCGGTTGCTGCGTCGCTATACCGCAAATGCAACATAGACGTTAGCCGTGACAACGGGGCTCGATTCACTCCGAACCGCGTCACGGAGCACGAGCTATCGCAGCCGTTTCGGTTGTCTGAACAGCAAAGTATCGCACAATCAGAGTCTCAATTAGCTCCCCCGTCTGTTTCTGCGCGTGTCCGTATGTAGTACGGGCGTAACGTAAAGATATATACGGTGTTCTTGAAGAAAGAATTACATTCATCGCGGGAGCACTCCGGGCGCAGTCGACACTACGAGCCGATAAGGCCAATCAAACATCGTTAAAAGCGCAACATTCTGTTGTTCCTTATGTTTCTTTACTCGTTCTGTCTCATAGTCATGCCAATCGTGTACAGGCAAGGGTCAGTGACTCGCCCTTTTAGTGTGCGTGTTTGTGGCTGTATGTGTTCGTGCCTTCGATCGCGCTCGGACATACAATGTTCTCGGTCCCTCTCTCTCCCTCTCCCCCCTCTTCCTCTCTCTTTCTCTCTCTCCCCCTTTGAGACAATTGCTGTTTCTACGGATTTAAACGGGATATACTGTACGTGTTCGCGTTGAATGCCTCGGGAGTGGAATTAAAGTTTGCCCTTGTTCTCTGGCCCCCAGGTGTTCCTGACGAATCAGGGTCGAGCGGAAGAGTTCGAAGAGGTCGTCATCGATTCCGGCAAGTCCATCCTGGCCGACATGGAGGTGGACACGACCGGACACTACGTCTACGTGGCGTCTCCTTACAAGGTCACTGGCTCTTTCTGACCTCTCGTGGAGCATTCAGGCCCGCCAGCTCTGTCCCCCCAAGCTGGGCAAGAAAACAAACAAACAGTGCATTGAACTTTCACCGTACACCCTTATGCAAGATATGCGGCCTCGACATTACACAACGCGGAAGCGAAACCTTCGAACAACCGGCACCACTCCCCGAAAACGCTCAATCCACGGCGTCGTAGTCGTCCCCGCCGTCCGAATCCCCCGTCGCCGCTTCGATTCGTCATTTCCCCCGTCCTGTTTATATATACACACACACGCGCGCACATACATACGCATGTACGCACATACATACAGATACATAACTGCATACAGAGACAGACAGACAGGCGACCGCGAATCGCCGCGGTGGCAACGCCTCGGCAACGACCTCCAAGTCGATCACGACCGCTGCGAGCAAACAAGCGAGCGAGTCGATGGAAAGACACGGCGGCACGAGGGGCTCCGTCGAATTTCCGCCTCTGCCCACGCACACGCGCGCGGCGCCGTCGCAACAAGCGGCAGCGCCGATTGCGAAGAGGGGATTGATCTCCCCCTCCTCGCTGCAGCGCGAAGCCCCACGCCGGTGCCCTGGGCGTCGCTCGCTGGCTTCCATCAAAGGGCCTGGCCAGACGGATGGACGGACGGGGCAGGAAGTCGCCACAGTGATAGATCGTCTGCGAAGAGCGGGCCGTGTCATTCAACCCCGGACGGGGTCTCGGAGGGCTTTGGCGAGGCCGACGGTAGATTCGGGGCCCGGGGAGGCGGCTCTGCCTTTTGCCAGTGCGCGGCGTTCTTTGTCGGATCGGTCAGCTGCGGGCGTGGACCTATCGGTTCGGGAGATCCCCGACCACCGATGGTACGGTTCCCTGTTTCTTTGTTGCGCAGTGCCGACTCCTCGTGCCTGGTCGAAAACGTAAGCTCCGCGGGCGTCGGGAGAGGGGGTCCGTGCTTGTAGTGCATTTGCGCCGCCCGTCAAGAGCAGTGCGATATGCAGAGTTTGAAAACGGGCTCGGCTTGTTTAAACGCTCAAACGTGGACAAAAAATTGGAAATAGAAACGCATTTTTAGCCTGGCCTTACTGATCAAGAGGAATGGAAATAATTAATGTCAACGCTAAAGCACAAAAAAAGAGTAGCCGGAAAACGGAAGCGAAGTACGCTTGACAACAACCGTGGATGAAACGTTTTAGGCTTGTACTTTCTAAACCCATCTTGCTCTTATTTTTCTGTTCCGAAAATGACGCATTTACCGCTGGTACTCGTACATAGGTCAGTCGAGTGTAGTACGTCAGTATGGTATCAATATAGTATAGTATACATAATCTATTATATACCCTTATGTATTTTTCCTACCTTCGTCCTCCGAGGCAGATATCTATAAAAAGGAAATAGCTTCGATGCATCCTCAGTTTTCCTTGTTTGTTTTCTTTTTTCATATATCGCGCTGGTTATGGGCTATCCGTCGAATTACCGCGTGCACTACCTTTTTACTCTATCAGTTACATAATATTCCTTTTACGCTGCTCGGAAGCTACCCGGATCCCCCAGTTGCCGGCTAGAATCGGAAAGCTTCCCGCTAATGCACGGACCAAATTCGCCGCGAGAAGGAGAAGTCGCGCGCCCTTACGGGCGCACTTCTCGAATTCCCTTCCAGCCACCGCTCTGGTCGGGGCAGGTGACAGCCGTTAATTTCAGTTTGTACCGGCGCACCCGATGCCGGAAGCAAGCTTGCTCGGTCGTCCCGACAGCGGCCAAGCGCTCAGGACAACGATACCGTCGGCTGTAAATGAAGACGGGCACCCTTGGCGCCGACGCTTGATGCTCGCCGATAAGTCTCGGGCGACATCTCGCAGCAAAAGCGCAGCGCGCTCGAGCCGCGCCGCGTTCCTTCGACTCGGAGAAAAGCAGCGGACGATGCGGAAACAAACAAATAAAGAAATAAATAAGACCGAAGACGCAACTGCGGCCCGGCTGGCACGGCCTTTCTTCGCATGGCTCCGGTGCTGCGGCTGGTGGATCAGTGGCTGTCCCTTTGTTTAGCCTCGCTCAATCGGCAACCGTCCGCATTCGCCTGTTCGCGTAAGCCCCGGATTGATGGGCGCGCGACGTTTTTTTTTTTTTTTCCTTGTTTTTTTTTTATGTTTTTGTGTCGTATTTTGCCATCCTCCGCTGCTCATATCTTTTGCCGGTGCCGCTATCTTGGTCCTCCCTCGCGTTCGGCAGTTGTCGCCTTTCTTTACGGACAGCTCTTCCGCCACTATTTGTTTCGGGCCCACATTTACGGGCAGTTTCTTGTTTCCGCCGGCCTCGATGCCGACATGCAAAGGGACGCGTTCAGCGTCGCTCTCCGCGGCCGCCGCTGCCGCCCAATCTTTACCGTCCCTTCCTCGCCCGCTATTTACACACCACCGTCTCCTCAGTACCTCGCGGAATGGATAGCCGGGCGCAAATTACTTTCCGCGTGGTACTTGCGTGTGTGCTTTTCGAGCGGACCGGGCGGTGATACGCGGTTTTTCAAAAGCCCCTTTGTCGGGAATGGTCGGAATGCGGTCCTTTCATCCTCTGGGAACGGTTGTCCAGACTGGCAGCTGCTGCGCTACGACAGCTCTTCTGCTTGTTTCATTTACGCGGTTGCTAAGCGATCTCATTTTTAATGCAATTCATTTTTTCTCGTAATTTCAGGAACGCCGCGATGTAAACGCCTCGTCACGTCGTTCTCATCTGCTACATCTTCCGTTGTCTCCCGCGTTGTCACCCCCCCCCCCCCCCTCCCACACACACACACACATCACCATGCACCACTACCACCACCCATCCACCAAAGTGTACAAAAAAACAGAAAAAAAAAAAACTATTCGCATCGTTGAAGGTTTATTCCATGGTCAAATGAACCGCTAGTGGTCCGAACCATATGCCAAAGTTTGAGAAACAACCGTCATCTAAGTCAAAAGTTTAAAGGATTTAAGTTATAAGTTATAAAGGCAGTTACTGACAGCCACAGAAATGTGGGGCGTGGCTTCTCAAGCTTGTTTCTTCGTGATTGGTTTGTTCGGATATCTTCCCGGCTCAAGCGGAATTCACACTTTCTGCCGAGGAGCTATAACAAGATGCCAGGAAACACGCCCAGTCCTTCTCACCGAAAGTCCGAACGCCGCCGACTCTGCGATTCGACGGAGCCAATCAGGCTGGAAATATACGTGCGTGCGTGTCCGTACGCTTGTGGTTCACGCTGATGTTTGCGGCTGTTTCTAGGTGCATGTAGGGCCGAGCGATATCGTATACTTTCTCCGCAGGTGAGCCGCATCCGTGTGGACCGCTGCCAGCAGTACAACACGTGCGATCAGTGCCTGCAGGCCAGGAATCCCTACTGCGGCTGGTGCTCTCTCGAGAAAAGGTGCGTGCACTTGGCGTCATTCTTTTTCACCGGCTTTCCCGTCGTCGCACCGTCTCGGAGACGCCTCGGTCTTGCCTTTGAGAGGAATCGCCTCTCTCGTTGGGCGTGTGAATTCTTACCGCCAGTGCGCGATTGCTCCGCCGCTCGCACTTCGTGCATTCGAACATGACTGAACGGCACACGTTACCGAGTGTCCCTAATGACTTGGTCGCTGTGTGAACGTCAAGGGCAACGTCGTGCATCAAAGCTACAGTACTAAACAGCTTCGAGAAACGACGTGTTTGTGTGCTGCGTTCCTGAAGTTGCGGGTGCCGGCGCGGGGCTTTGAAGATGCTCGAGTGCTCGTTTCTTAAAACTCCGCGGAACTACACTTTGAAGGTTGAGCCCCTGATAACGCTACAGGAAGCTCGGTACATATATAAATATATCTCGAGGACGGCGCGTTTGCCAGCAAGCGGTCTCGCGGGAACGTCGACCGCGTTCGGTTTGAGCTCCGTTCTGTTTTGTTCAATCTGTTCTGACCGCGGCTCCCCTGAACCGAAATAAATATCACTATTACTCGTGTGACAAAATGAAGGACGGAAACGGGTGTCGCGCGGCGGTTCCCATAGCAACCGCCGCGCGACATCCATTTCCGTCGCTCATGTGGTTGGGGCATTACGAGTCGTCGCTTAGGTGCAGCGCTCTCACGCTCGGCTGAAGAAATCAAACCGTGCGCACTGTGGCATGCGCGAGGCGATTTAATCTTTAGTGTTGTTTCCAGGAATGTTGCACATGCCGACTGTCCGATTGTCAATACTGGTACAGGGATGAAACCCGTCCTCGTTAACGATCGGACTGCATCGGATGGCTGGTTTGTCCAGATGACGTCACTGGACATCCTCTTTATCATGCCCGGAAGCATTCACTAAAACTCGAAATATGTGGGGGGTGACAAGTAACGACGAGACACTGGAAGCCCTCAACACCGTAGAAAGAGAAAGAGGTCTCCCACTCAGCCGCGCACGCTTGACGACGAGGCGCCAAAAGTCACCCGGCCCGACATTTCCATGAGAATAACGCCTCGCCGGGCTGGCCGACTCACCACAGCGGCACTTCGCCTCTGATGGCCGTTGGTCGGCCATTTTGCGAGGGGGCCCTCCTTCCCCCACCCAGCAAGACCGATCGGGGCCGGCGAGCCGAACGCACGCAGCCGTGCCGAGGCGTCAGGCCGCCGAGGCTACAAATTCAGCACCGTCATTGTCCCCCCCTTCGGGCGGCGGAGCGGCTCCCCGCGGGTGCCGCAGAATTTATGGGGCGAACCGCATCGGGATGGCCTCCCCGGTTATGGGCTTCCCTCGTTCCGGACGCAGAAACTTCTTTTCTCCCTTCCCATCTCGCACGCCTCTGCATCCGCGGCGGTGGCACAACTTTACGAGGCCCCGCTGTTGCCAGTCCGGCTGAACGCCGGTGTGCGCGGCTGTTTGCTCGGGAGGCGAAGAGGAGGTGGCCGATTTGTTGGAGACCAGGGGTTCACTCTGCTGGACTCCGTTTCACCTTAAATCCGCGGTCACACTCCTACTAATACGTCACACAAAAGACAGTGCGCACACACTGTCTGAGGCCTTCCGTGTATGACGGTCACATTGGTTATACAAAAACTGTCTGTGGACAAGTTCGAAGCACGTATCAAGCAAACATGTTTCCAACATGCATGTCCGCAGGAATTATGTCGTCATGCTCATGGTGAAAGCACGATGCGTAAACGAATATAAAAATAAATGCGTACCGATCGAAAGAAGGTCACAAGGTTTCTCCAATAGACGGCGTTAATGTGTTTTCTCGCCTAGAGTTCCTGTATAGGAGCCTATACAGGAACTCTATTCTCGCCCGAAGCGGTTAATGGGAACGCAAGGTACTCGAGCACAGTCAAACGCAAAAGGGTGTTGGTCCATCGGCGGTTACCAACGGCATTTAAAAAATAAAAAGGGAGGTGGGGGTCGGGTTGTCTGCGTCAGAGTCAAGAAACTTTGTCAGTTTTAAAATTGCCATTACTTGTTTACAGCTTTGTTTCTCTATTAACTCGGACCTACGGGGGAGGCTGTATAGGCCGCGCACGCGAGCATTCAATGCGCGTCTCTCGGATTTTCTGATCGCAGGCGCGGATAAACTGCGCGACGAGATGAACTCCCCGAAGCTCATTATTAATTTTCGATGAGTGTGCGTCTCTGAACTTTTGTTATAAATCTCTCGAACTTAATGGTATTTCTTAATGGTCGTCTGAGAGAGGACGCTAGTTTCGACCACGGTGTAGGAAGGTTTCGACTCATCACCGTTTTTGCGAGTTTTAGTAGATCGTTTCCGTGCGTCCCCATAACGACACGCGTGCATCGTATCTTCGGGGTGTATTAGTAGATCGTTCCGATGCCTTCGAAAACGATACCCGATAACGACACGATACATACGCAAAGGCATCGCCGGATCATCCAGTGTCGTTATCGGAACGGTCTACTATGAAACTCTCTTATCGGGTATCGTTACTGGAGCAAGAAAAAAAAAAAAAAGAGTTTTAGTGAGTCGTTTTCGCCACGAACGGTTCGTTATCGAACGCATCGCCGACGCCACTGCGAATTCGACCGCGAGTCGTTGGGGGGCTTCGGGAGGCTCGAGTTTGTCGCCCTCCGACCGCTGGAGTCGTCGCCGCAACGCAGCCAGCACCGTTCACGACTCGGGTAAAAGAAAGATGGCGGTCGGTTTGGCGACTTGACTTCGCCGGCCCAGCCGAAAGCTAAGACAGCGGTAGGCGATTTGCCATCCTGTTACCCCTCGCTTCTCATTTGAGAGGTTGAACCAAATCACTGCTCACAACTGTACGCGATCGTGAATGCTGTAAACTACGCATGTAAGTACATTTTCGTGATCTTTGGGTTAACCAGCTGCCGTGGCGACCGCGAGCAGACGAAATGATTTTGTTCGACGGCACACAACGTAAACAGTCGTTTAAGTTCAAAAAATGACAGAGACACAGTACCTACCTCTGCGGTCGTTCAGACACGGTTTACTCCATCTAGCTTCGCAGATATTTAAATTCCAATCGATAAATGTTACCTCGGCCGTCTTGTTTACGTCATTCTGCATTCACGCTGCAGAATGTTTCGCACGTTTACTAGAAGATGTCGCTGCCGGTCAAACGTAATCATCATCATCGTTTACACGGTTGCGCCAGTTTGAAGATTCGCTAAAATACGTTACATTTCGGAACGGAACAGCTGCACTTTTCATGATTTCGGAACCGTGTGCTCCAAAAACGACTCGCTAAAACTCCCGAAAAAACGTTCTCCTCCAACCCCCCATTGCCTTCTTCGTCGGCTCGGTAAGTGTACTCTGGGTAAACGTCATTAGGAAGTTTCAGTAGATCGTTCCGACGACTCCGATAACGATACCCGGTTCTCCGCCGAGTCGCCGGCGCATTTGTGCATGCTTCGTATCGGTATTGGAGGAGTCGGGACGACCTACTAAAACTCTCTATTGACTCGCTCAGTCACCGACTCCGGGCTGACACTTAAGAAACCTAAACTGTATACGCTTTTAGACCATGACCGCCTTTGTGCGCCGCGCTGTGTCCGTGCCCCTATGAAGCCCGTGTCGTCACTGAGGATTGCTGGGGAGGGTGCAGCGTCAGTCACTGGGAAAGGATAACGTTTGGCGATGGGGCACCAAGAGAGAGACGGCGGTGGGAACAGAGGCGACTCGGGGCGAGTCCCTGGAACTGAGAGCGCCACGAACGGACATTGTGGGGCCGGACGGGAGCTGGACTTGAGGGGGGGGGGGGGGGGGGGGGGGGCTAATGTGCCACCGGTTCTTTTTTTTTGTGCCTACTTGCGCACGTGCGCGAGTGTGTGTGTCTGTCCAATGCGGGCTCAATGCACCTACAAAAGAACATAAAAGTTTGTTGGCGCAAGGGGACGGTCCTGATGCGTCACGGGCTCTGCGGTCCCCCGCATTATGCTGATATATTATGGAACAGTCTCGTGTGACTTGCACGGGGCGATAGCCGATGTTGTGGTGCGCCCGAGATGCGCGCACGGCCGTCGATCGCGTAGATTGCTCCGCCGCATTATACGTAGATGTTTTTTTTTTGTTTCTTGCGTTTCTTTTGTCGGCGTGAGAGGGGGGAGGCGGTCCCCGCTGTCTGTAGGCATGCAGTTTGTCCCTTGATTTTGGGTCTGCGCTCGGTTGTCATAGGCTAGTCTTCTTTTTCGTGGTGGAAGATCGTAAAAGTTCCCGGAGCATGTTGTAAAGCATTCCGGGTGTATCGTTCCCAGCGAGGCCCAGCTGACAGAAGCGTCTAATATATTTAAATATACCGTTATACCAAACAAACGATCGCCGTTTCTTTTCTTTTTTGTTTTTTGAAAGGTTGTAATAAAAGTTGTTAGTTCGGCAAAAACGCTCATTTGGGTTACTAATGTAAGCGGTGAAGCATGGCGCCCGCCAATACCTATCTCCAAGTAAAATTCGAAAAAGCGCCGATGCCGTGTTCGCATTCACAGTGTCGCGCAGTGCTTGCGTCTTCTTGAGTTCTGTCGCGAAGAACGCTCATTAATTCTCCCATGCATTTCGTCCGGCGTTTACGGGAAACTATGGGGTTGCCCGCACTGGCCAAATTTATCCTCAACTCTGACGGTATACGTGTCGTCATACCTCAAGGACAGACCGACCTCTCTTCGTCTAAATGAAATTTACTTTTTTCACTCCGCTGCCTTTGGTAAGACGCGAAATGCGGGTATCACAACACAAAACCGGCCTAGCTTACCTCGAATGACGCAAGCGCTCTCTATTCTAAATTCAAATCACCCGAGTAGGGTATGTATTCCGCGGTGACACGGCGTTACCATACATTCGCGATTCTCTTTGAAGTACGTTGCACTCTTGCTTCATACTTAAAATTTGAACGAAAAAAAAAAAAAAAGATGAACCAAAATAAGTTACATGCTAGCAACGAACCGTGTTTGGCGTGTTTTGTTTCTATGAAATATTTTTTTCGTAAACCCTCTCCTACTCGCATAACGCCATCTTTTATTTGCTGCTTACCTCGTGATTGTCATCTCGGTGTTCATTTATCGAGGTATCTTCCGAAGCAATATGCGGCCCGTTATTGCGGCGTGCTGCCGTCAGAGCGTTGCGGCTATGTCCCCGAGCTTTCCCGAGCAGCGCGTGGAAACGTATTCAGTACCAACGCTAAAAACAAAACAAAGCGAAGTACTTCAGAAATAAGTTTTAGGAGCGCCGAGTTTATTACCAGTCCCACGCGATAATCTACGGTATGCGTCTAAAGTAGAGGTCGCGGGGTCGCCCGGTATGCACGCCGGAAACAACCAGTATCTGCATGGACCCCTTTTGTATATGTGGACTCTGGGCGTTTTATGTTCGTTCAAGACTTTATGCCCCTCCATTTTCTTTTCTTTCTTTAACTTAGCGGTTTGCTAGATGTTGCCCCTCACCCTTCACAACAACGAATCAAGTTCAAGCGTTTCACTTCTATTATTTTTTTTTTTTTCGGGGAGATAATGGCTTGTTTTGAAATATGACGACTCCGACCCGCTGTGTCTCTGCACTCAAAGTGCGATTTGCCGAACGCGGTACGACTGCCATACTTGGTTTCACCCCTAAGCTGACAGTGGGGTGGAAGCTACGTGCTCGTTGAACCAATCCTTTCGTCTCGTGATCACGTGCCGGTCCGTACCGCCCGCGCAGAAAGCGGGGTCAGGTGATCAAAGGGAGACGGTTGATCGGTCTGGAGGGGGCGTATAGCTGCCATTGCGCTGTCAGCTTAGGGCTGAACGGAGCACAACCCGAGGCCGTTAACGTTCGTCACGCGGCAGTGATTACACGAATGCGTGCCGGTCCAACGGGCCGTCTATTCCCAGACCGGCAAAGGTGGGAGTTGAAGAACTCCCCTTGCAGGAGTCCGCAGCCTGACCGTTTGGCGCGGGAGGGCTGAGTATGCCTATAGAGTTAGGAAAGAAGCTACGCGCTTCAGAGTAACCACGCTGCGGCCCTCTCGGTGCTTAAGATCATTGTTGCCATTGTCTGATCTCTGGATCGCAGGAAACTCATTCGTCATCCAGAATTGTCGAAAGAGTCCGCGACAGAGCAAAAGGATATGACCTGAGCTTACCTGGCGCCGTATCTCAAGCTCAGGGTGTCGTACTTGCGAATCGTAACGATCGCCAGTGGACCTGGATGGATGCATACGGATGAGTCATTTTAATCGGGCGGCGGCTTGCGCCACCTAGCAGTAGTTTTTTCGGGAAAAGGGCACCGTCTGGGAAGGGCCGGGGCAAGGGGAGGGGGGGGGGATTATATTCTAAGCGTAGCTTGAAGTCAGTGGCTCTGCCCCTTGCGCCGCACGTGCGGCCACCGCTGTGACAACAGCGACGTCGTATTCGAGCCTCGTGGTGCTGTCTGCTGCCTAGGTGCACGGTGCAGTCGGAGTGCCTGAACGCTTCGGCTGGTGGCGACCAGCGAAGTTCCTCCCGGTGGCTGTCCCTGGACACGCAGCAGTGCATCGACTTCCAGTCCATCGCACCGGAGAAGCTGCCGCGCACTGCCATGGCCACCGTGAGTGCAACGCTTCGTGTAAAAAACGTACTAGACACCACCACGCTGCCTACAAACAAGCCCGCGTTTGCCCACACCAGGTGTGGGCATTGTGCGTGCCCAGAAACTAGATTCGCGTAGGCGGAAGCATCTGCGCACGCGCTGTGCCGACAGCAGCGCCACTGCGGTGGTCGGAGAGTTGGCTGATGGTAGGGTGTCTGGAACGCTTCTCCGACTGGTCACTGGTGTGTTTACCGCGTCCAGAAATCTGGCCCCTCGATTCCCGCCTGATGACGTCATACAAGTGTCATGATGTCGCCGATCGCGATCCTGGCGGTGTCCCAGCAGCGGTGGTATAGATGGCAGACGCCTGTTCTGCCGCAGGTCGCTCTCCAGTTCGACAGTCCAGGGTAGTTTCGGCAGCCTGGAGACGGGACGCTGCAACGAAAGCGACACTCGCGTTCGCTCGTGCTTTTCGCCAGCATTTCTACAAACCAACCACCAGGATCGCTGACACCCTGACTTTTGTGACGTCATTTGTTGCCACTTCGGGTCCACTTTTGATGTACTAGGACGCTAAGCGCACCACTTTGAGACGCGTTTCAGGCACCATACTGATGGATTGCTCACGTGTCTTCATTTACGTTGTATTCGCGGCTTGGACGTAATGTAAAGGCACCATGTTTGTAGTCATTTCTGCTTCTTGTCGAGAGAGAGAAAAAATATCCGTTTGTGCAAAATGTACGCTCCAGAAGCTATAGGCGCTCAGCGACAGCAAGACCACCAAAAATGGCCGCCAATGTGACGTCAGTGCAAGCAACGTATTCGCGGTCCGTCCATCATGAGCGGGGTGGTCAACAATATGACGTGGTGGAAGAGAAAGTCCCTCACGTCAGGCCGGAGGAAGAAGGGAGGGAGGGGGGGGGGGGGGGTCGGGATTGGTTACGCTAATTGCAGAGTATCTTCAGGTTGGTGCCTCTCTCCACTCAACCATTGTTTTTTTTTTTTTTTTTTAAGTTGTACATTATAATTTGCGCAAGCAACCTCGAGTTTCGCCTAACGGACACCGTTCGACGTTATCTGCACCGTCGTGGGAGCGCGACATCCACGGTGTTGTCCGTGGGGAGATGGGGAGGCGTTAGGAAGCTCGCGGAGATGGCTGGCGGGGAAGAGATGCACGAGCGTTCGCGGTCGCAGGTGGAGATCGCCATCAACCAGCTGCCCCAGCTGCCCCGGGGCGCCCACTACGAGTGCGTGTTCGGACGCAGCGCTCCCATCCAGGCTCGGGCCACGCAGCACGGGCTCGCCTGCTCCACGCCCGCGGTCCACAACAGGCCGTCCATCCCCGCCGGAGCCGGTGAGTGAGGCGAGGGGGCTCCGCGGCTGCTGCTCAGTGCGTGCTCAAGCAGCACCGCCTACAAGACAAGGCCGTAGTGCTGACATTTTTCTGCGTCGCCAGCGAAGGCCAACGCTGGATACAGACTGAAAACGAGTGCCACGTCAGCCCTCGGCTTCCAGTCAAGTTCGAGCCCAGCAATCGTCTTATGTGACCAGCGTTGGCCTTCACTGATGACGACATCTCTAGCAGCACTACGGCCTGGTTATCTGTAGGAGGCGCATGTCGCTACATGCCCCATTTGAAGCTATCGTGCAGCGCGTCGTCTCTCGCGCGTTTTGTAATGAATATGCCGTGATTGTTTGTTCTTCTTTCGTTGGTTCCCAGACCACGTGGACGTAACGCTGTACATCCGCTCCAGCGAAACCAACACGGATTTCCTGCACCGGCCCTTCACTTTCTACGATTGCTCCGTCCACAAGACGTAAGTATATGTGGCGCCTCCAGCGGGATAGTGCCAACGCTGATGGTAGATTGATACGTTCGCTACGCACTCCGCTAATACCACCTCCAAGAGAAGGCCTGCACGCAAGACGTCATATTTAGTGGACCCCCGACCTGCAGGCGGCAAACACGCCGAGGCTCGACGAGAACCGACGGAAAGAGGCAGACGCGTGCGTCCATTTCGGCGTCGTCGCGTGTTCCATGATACGAGCTGTTGCCTTTCTGCGGTACCGAGGCTCTCGTGAACCAATAAAGATTATTATTATTATTGTTATTATTATTATTATTATTATTATTATTATTATTATTATTATCATTATTAACGTCGCGCCCGCAGTGACGCAAGGTAGACGGCACTGCGTGGATCCACTGGCGGTGACGTTTTGGGGGGAGGGGTTGAGGCCTTGTCTTGTAGGTGTCTCCTCCACATGCGGTGGGGCTTGTGTGATCTCGCGGACCACGAAATTATCGTGTTCCTCGTTTCATCGAGTGTTGCCAGTGATAGATTGCCGCTTGTAATGGCGCGGTCGACTGGGCGCTAACGACGACCCCCTTTAAGCCCTTGTTCTGCTTGTTTGTCTCGCGGCTACCGCAGGTGCTCCGCTTGCGTCACGAGCGCCTTCGCCTGCAACTGGTGTTTCAGCGAGAATAGCTGCACCCACAACGCGTCGGCGTGTTCCCGAAACGTGATCCGGGGAGAAAACGTGAGTGGCACAACAACAAGAGCAAAGAGGGATGCATCGCTGGGGCGACCTCTCCGTCGGTTAGCTTCTGGCGTTTTTTTATAAGGGGAAATCATCCGGTGTTACCTGGTGTTTATTTTTTATTTTTTTTTAATAAAGATGTTTCGGACGGGGAAAAAAGAAAAACCTTTACAAAAAAATTAAGAGTCTAAGTCTAGAAGGGGAAGATTTCGACAAAAACAGTTTGAGCTGGAGCAAACCTTTCCAGAAATGGAAAGGGTTGACACCAACGAATGTTCATCGGTGTTGGACGGTGAAAACCGGAAAGTCTGTGGTCTAGTTATAGTGTTCCTAGATCTGAAAGTGTTTTCAACAGCTGTATCGGGCTCTCGTGTTTCATGGGCCGCGTTGGCAGTACAACCTGTGAGGAGGAGGAGAAATAATGGATTGTCTGCCAGCTTCTCGAACCTTCGCTCAACCTCCCTGCCTGCTACCCTCCTCGCCACTCGAAAGCGCATGCGCAATCAATCTGCGCGGGAGTTGTCCGCCATTCAAATTGCAAACGCTCTCCGTGGTTTGAGTTGCTCCCCCTCTCTGAAATCTAGACTCTCTGTAGGCACTTTCAGGATGAGAGCAGCGTCTCTTCGGAATGCCCTGCCTCCAGCGCGTTGCCTTCTGTCGTGCTTTGGCCGCGTCCGCACGCTCGAAGTTTCCGAGACGCCGAAGCTTTATCGAAGGGCTGGAGGCAGGACAGCTGAAGGAGCTCCCTGCCGTTCTAATCCTGTCAAACGCGAACGTGTAGTCGAAGGGTGTGGGAGGTGACGTGTGTTCTCTCCGGCGGGGGGCGCAGAACCCTCAGAACTCGCTGGTCAAGGGCCGCCAGCACTGCCCGAGCTTCAGCGCGGACAGCTCCATCCTCCTGGCCAACGGAGTGCGGACCGAGGTGGCCGTCGAGGCACGCAACCTGCCCAACCCCGCCGTGAGTTGACGAACACGCCTCTCGGTGCGCGCCGAACGGGTGACGCGCTCACGCTGCAATAGGGAGTTAGATCTTTCCGGCACCTCCGAGAACAACTCCCGATAACGATACGATACATGCGCAAAGGTAGAGAGTTTTAGTAGATCGTTCCCATGACTCCGATAACGATACCCGATACTCCGCCACCGCCTCCCTTGTGCATGCATAGTATCGTTATCGGGGCTATCGGAGGTATCGGAACGATCTACTAAAACTCTCTATTGTCGGCGAAGTATCGTGTATTGTTATCGGAGGTATCCTTACTGGATAAAAGGAAACATCTGGTATATCGGTAAAGCGATATTCCGATATGGGTTTCTTGTGAATCTGTTTTCCAGATAGCATTTGCCTTTCATTTTTTTTTTTAGGTTGTTCGCGGTGCATAAACTTACTTTCTTATACTCTAAACGACTTAATTTTTTCGCGAGGACCTAATTTTCGCGAATCCCCTACAATTCGCGAAAAATAGGTCCCGCGAACAGTTCAGATAAAATGTAAACGCATTTGAATCTATAGTGAGATCCTACCGCGTCGCGAAATTTAGAACCCGCGAATTATTTCAAAACTTCAGCTTTGACCTAAATCGTGAAATATTGAGCTCGCGAAAAATAAGTTGTTTACAGTATGTATTTTTTTTCTTCTTTTTTTTGCAATGGTATTCTTTATAGCTGACTTACAATCCTCCTTGATAGCTTTCTTTTATATGATGAGTTGTTCCATTTGAGTACATGCTAGCGCTACATCTTCGCTCCGCGCAACCAATAGGAACCCCACGGCGTTGTCACAAAGCTCCACGTTTCCTAACTCTGATAACTTTCGGTATGAGCATGCTCGTGCTTCTACTGCACGAGCGCTTCGTCGTCCTGTGAAACTCCTTCACGCGACGCGCTCGTGTGCATCATGGTCTCGCGCATTTCGTACCAGAACCACCCCAAATACAAACGTTCAAAAATGCGCCGGCAGAAAAAAAGGAAAAAAAAAAAAAGAAATAACGCATCAGTGGCATCCGATGTTATGGGCCGCCTTGAAAAAGTGACCAAATTGAGTTCTAAACCGGTTCTTGGGGTTGCGGTCTTCTTACGAACCGGTTCATGCAACCCGTATGAAACCCTGTGGCAGTTTTGACCTATACCGTGCCTATTTCGCCTACCGGTGCCTTATAACGACGGCGCGAGCGGGTTGGCGGCCACGGGGCCGGCTTACCGAAGCCATAAAAGAGAACCAATGAGATAATGACGCCATTGACGCCCCAGCCGCTTTTGTTCGGAAGATTAACGTCACACGGGGGTGAACTCCGTTCCACCCCACGACGGACCGGGACGCAGGCTACGAACCGCCAGAACCAATCCACGGCCCGGAGAAGGGTCTCACGTGGCCGTCCGGTGTTGCGCGGCGACGCGGGGAGCGCCAAGTTACGTGACATCCTCCGCGCTACGGAGTGGCTCCAAGTGGCTCGCGGCGTTCGTCAGGCGAAACAACGTTGGCCGGTCTTCGCCTCTCCTCCTCGTCGCTGAAAATGAGCTTTTAGACCGCTTTGAAGCGAACGCTCTTTTCTCGCGCGCGTTCATCGACCGCGTCACAGAGTACGCGGCGCGGAGACCTTTTAATTTCCGCGCTACTTTTGTGCATTATCTCTGCGTCGCTTACGCGCTTCGCGTGTAATACAACGGTGTTCGGGGCCTTCCCCGGCTCTTTTAGCTTAATTTAGAGCTTTGGCGGATCGGGGAACGATTTGGCGACGGTGCGAGTTATGCATCCGCGCTCGGTCGGGCGGCTCGGTAACGACGGGGGCTCGTTTTTCAAGGGACTCGCGCGCAGTCGCTCGCCTTCGGCTGGTTTCCGCGGCTAATTATTGGCGCGCCTAAAAGGAAGTGTCACATTTTTCGCCCTGAAATGAGGAGTTTTAGCGCGGTGCCTGGATAATTTGAAACGATCGCGCGTCACGCGCGGTATTTGTTTCGCGGAGTTTGGATGAACGATCGTTGGTTCGGGAAACTTTTCTAGAAGTATGCGTGAAAAGTGGAAATATCGTGGGAGTCTCATCAACTTGTTGACTTAGTTTATTTTAGTTTATTTCGCAAGCTGCCTTCAACTTTGACGATGAGCCGGCTTATCATAAACGACAGGGACTTTCAGTCGAGCGCTTATATGCTCAACGAACTTTAAAGGTATCAGCCTTTAATCAGCTGCCATTTTTTAACGTTCTACGACACGAGTCACTTTTTTTTTAAACTTATATATATATATATATACATATATTTATTGTTGTTACACTTTATTACGATAAGGATGGCGCGACGGCCTGGAGGGGACGATTTACAGGGGGGGGGGGGGGGGATTATATATATACATATATATATATATATATATATATGTGTGTGTGTGTGTGTGTGTGTGTGTGTGTGTGTGTGTGTGTGTGTGTGTTTATGTGTGTGTGTGTGCGCGCGCGCTACCCATAAAGATGAAAATACGACGGAATTAGTAATGTCAAACATTCGTTATTTCTTAATTGCTTTTTTTTTTTCCTTGGGGGGGGGGGGGGGGGTTTGCACGTGCATGATGGCAGTTTGTTTCATGAGCTTTAATTTTCTGTAGTTCGGAGAGCATTTTTCTACGAACGCGAGTTTGAGCGAGGGCCCGTGTCTTCCGCAGGACAACTTCCATTGCGTCTTGGGCATCGAGGGCGCCCAGCAGAGGGTTCAGGCCCGGGTGATGAACAACAAGATCATCTGCGCCCAGGCTGTGGTAAAAAATGCCGTCCACCTCAGCCCGTCACTCGACGAAATGAACCTAAAAGTAGCGGGAATAGAATTCGTTCTTTCTTCTTGCAGTACACGTACGACAGCGAGTTGCCCGAGCAACAAGGCACTCTGACCGTCCTCTGGAACCGAGACACTTTCATCGGCCAGACGAACGGTGAGAACCCTTTCATTGGGACATCCTACGCGGCTGTGTAAAGCGACGTGGATCAGCTAACGTAGAAGCGAGTCTTGTCAGGAGGGCCTTGCACCCTTGGATAGTTTCGGATTGAAGGCGTCTTCAACCACACCGGATAGAAATACGGCCGTTCTTCAACGCCACGAGGGAGGTAATTTTAATTTTAAACAGCCCTCTGTATACTCGCTTTCACCTTACAATAAACGTTGGCTTAAAAAAAAGTTGCAAGTAGAGGTGAAGTTGCAAGCAGAGTCGCACCGTCTGAATCGGGCTTCTGCCACACGGCTGTTTGTGGCGCAACCAGCCGGTGGCCTCTGTTTCGCGTCTGTCGATGTACGAAAGCGGACCTTGTCCTCCCCGTGCAGTGACGCTGTACAAGTGCCAGCTCCTGGGCAGTCACGGCGGCCGGCCCGACTGCTCGCTGTGCCTGACGCGGGACCCCAAGTACCGCTGCTCGTGGTGCGGCGGCTCGTGCGCCACGGCCGACTCGTGCATCCAGCCGGTGTCCACCACCTGTCCGCCTCCGCGCATCGACTGGGTCAGTGCCCGGCTCTCCCACCTGTCCGTACAAAACGCGCTCTTACAGGGAAAAAAAAAATTGTGAAACTTAAATTTTAAGGAATGTACCGGGTATTTGGGAGGAAAATTAAAGGTTTTATTTTCTCCTCTCATTGTTAACTATATATCACCCAGCGCGCAGAAACCAACTTTTAAGAATGTACTGGGTGTTTTTTTTATTTATTTATTTACGAGGAAAATTGCATTGTCATTGGGCAATATTGCAGGGAGCGAGTTTAAATATTAAAAAAAAAAAGTTCATCAGCATTAGTGAAATAGAACAAAATCATTATCTATGTATACAGCTAGGATAGAATAAGCCTTACCCATAGAAACAACCGCGATACAAAATACATTTTCCATTCAACACGATTGGAAGACTAAAATCACTCTATCCGAACCATCTGTCGAACAACTCTATCAAACGCAATTTTGAAGGTTAGTCAAGAACACATCCTTTGGTAACCTTGTCATTCACCAATAATCCCCCCCCCCCCCCCCCCCCCCACACAAAAAAAAAAAAAAAAAGCGAAACATTAGTAGGTTCGTTTGATTTGCCTGCAGCTCCCGCTTTCGCGCAGAAAAGCGTAGGGCGGTGTGTTTCCGGTCGTATCTCAATACACACGCCGGAAGTTCAGTGCCCTACACTTTTCTTCACCGGTGCAATCAAATCGAACGGCCCTACTCCTAGTGGGAAATGAGTAGGGCCAGACTTTGTTTGCACGGTCCGCTCTTCCCGGCAGTGCCTGCCCAAACGTAACGCTAGCAGTTGGAACGGCGATTGTGTAACAGGTGCCAAGCACTCGCAACTTTCTTTTATTATGCTTGGTTGTGGAGGCACGAAGAGGGCAAACTCCACCAAACACGTTCGTGTCCTTAGACAACCAAACAACAATAGAGAACGGGGAAACAAAGTGACTCGGTTGTTTACGGACGAAGCGGCCATTGCTCCTGGTTATCCGTTGCTCTAGTAAGAGTCTGGGAAGGACCCTCTCAAATGCAGATCACCACGAAAATAAAGCCAGTCAGTTCGTACTATCATAAAAAGCGAAGCATTTCTGGATAAATAAGGCCGCGTGCTTATCGACCGCGTACGGTACCTTCCTCGCACAAGCTTCCGAGCCAACAAACGTTATTTAGAGGATTCTTCCTTAGTGTCCTTCTGCTAATTCCATTGTCGAGGCTCCTCTCTCAAATTAGCAGAGCGAACCGTCTTTTTTTTTTTTATTTATTTACTTTCATTTTGGTTTATTTCGTTTTCGTCTTTCTTTCCCGTCAACATTCGCTTTCTCTTTCCTCTGTCGATGTTTATCCCGCTTTTTCTTCCGAAATTCCCATCAACAAGTTTAGCCGGTCGATTCGTTCATTCGGTTAACGTCGCCGCACAAACGGCCCCGATAAAGTAAATAAACAAATAAAAAAAGGACTGTCGCTGCGAGTTTCAGAAGCCGAATAACCTAGCTTAGTACAGGTAAAAGAAAAAAGAAAACGAAATTGCGAGACTAGGAGAAGGAAACTTTTGTTCCTTCGCGGAATAAATTCAATTACTAGCGGCCGCGGCCGTTCGTTGGTGGCGAGGCCGGCGCGCGGGGAACGCGCGCTCTTCCGCGGTACGAGCGAATCGTAAAAGTTGACGCGGCCATTTTATTTGGGACCGTTGTTCCATTTCCGGAAGAGAGGGCCGTCGACGCCGTGCGAAGGACGTCGAAGCAGCAGCAGCACACACGGCACGCACGCTTGGTGCGGGGGAACGGATTAACGGTAATGGAAGATAATTGTTATGGCACACAGGAAGGGAAGAGGACCAAAGACCAGTTCCTTTTGTTGCATCGCCGCCGCAGTTCGGGGCTTGGTTCACGTGTTTATCGACGATATCGCGCGAGGCGCCGTCGCGTTTAATTGGGTAATATGTATAAAGGCGGCCGACCCAAATCGACCGCAGCCCAAATCTAATCAGAGTTCTGAATATTCTGCCTGCTGCTTGCATGCTTGCTGGTAAGAAGAGATCTCCTCTTTTTTTTTTTTTTTTTGCGACTAATTGGATTGTGGTGGCCTGTTTCTGTAGACTCTGGAGTGGTGACAGAAGAGAAAGAATGGGGATGATTCCCCTGGGTGTTTGTTGTTGAGGTAGGGGAAGAGAAGGGGCTCAATTTGCGAGACCAAATAATGGTATTTATCCGGGCGACTACAAAATAAGGCGGCTTATTTTCTCGCCACCCAGGGGTAATCTTTCTGTGGATATAGAAGTCTGTGCGAATCATTCCTTAAATTGTATTGTGCATTGCAATAGATTTCTACAAAAAAAAAAAAAAAAAAAACATTTTTTTTTGTTTTTTTTATTTGCTTTTTTTAGAGATTCCACCCCCCTCCCCTTTCCTTCTTGTTGACCTTCTGAACTTCTATTTTTTTTTGTTTGTTCTACCGCACTTTGTTTTCTAATATAATTAAAAGTGCAGAATGTCACCAGCGCATCCACTAGCTTGTTCCAGCATCCTAAGTACTGTGAACTACTTTGTTTTCATGGGCTCAATATTTCTCGAGGTTCGAACTCAGAGACTGTGTTGTGGGCACGAAATTTTATTGTTTGGAGCTGTATGCTATGTATTCATTACAGTAGAACATTGTACTAATGTAGTAAAATTTTTTTTTTTGCGAGTTGCAATGCTAGGTTTTTAAAAGTTTGAGCCATTTACAGTATGATCTCCCTCTCTTTCTCTCTCTCACACACACGCACACACACATGCAAACACATGTTTGCGAGTAGCTACTAAACTGCTCCCAATGTCTTTAAAGGCCAACTCCGCTCGATTCCAAAGATTTCTCATTAAAAAGCCCTTGTAAAAGACTACGTTATTTGCTTTGCAAAAAAGGGGATATACATTTTTAAATGTAATTTTAAACACAAGCAGAAATCAAAACCGAAACTTCAGCTCCGTCCGGCACATTGGCCTAGGGCCACCAAGAACATAGCTATCACGTGGTAGGAGATGTCACGTGATCCTCTCCGCAACGACGGGCGGGATCGGGGAGGACATGTGCCAGGCTTAAGTGTCGTCTGCACCACACTCTTCACCACGTTTTGTTGTCTACGACATTCGACAACGTCTGTACAACTGCCGCATAAGTCTTCGCACATAGTGTCCAAAGTGTGGACGAAACTCCGACGGACAGTAATTACAAACGGTGAAACGACGATGGCGGTTGTGACGCGGGAGATAATGGTAACGGTGGGACTGCGGCAGGGCGGTCAGAGGGCTTTTAAGAAGCGCGCTGTGCTGGCACGTTATGCCAATCACGTGGACACCGCTGAGCACCAAGAGGATACATTGCTGACTTCACTTGTTACACTTGCCCGGAGAAGTAAGAAACAAGCAAAAGGGTGTAATGGAGATGATGTTCAGCTCACTGTTGGTTACACCCATGCCATAGCCTTGACAGCGCCGTTGGTTGCGCCTCAATTTGCCCGCTCAAGTCAGCCGATTTCGGCAACTTGGGGAGTTGCAAAGTTTGCCAGACTGTTTAAGAAACATTTAGACAGAACTATAATATTTGACGTGTGGTCTTCCTAGGTGATACTGAAGAGGACTGCATTCTTTTTTCAAAAGCATCAATGAAGCGGAGTTGTCCTTCAACATATTTCCTTCCCGGTTTGTTGCAGATCCATCCCTTGAGCGGGCCTATCGAGGGAGGCACGTTCGTCACGATCGAGGGAAGCAACCTTGGCACCAGCAAGGAGGAGATCTACGACAAGATCAAAATCGGAGGCATCCCCTGCATCCCGGTCGATTACAACGTCTCTGTTCGGTGAGGAGCAGTCGCCCTGTGTCGTTCACCGAACGCCCATGCTCGATCTATTCGCTCTTTCTCGTACGAGTTGAAACATGTTGGCACATCTGTGCAAATAGCCCTGGTACATTTCAGGTTTTAAACTGGGTGGCAGGTTTTGCAGTATACATGCAAGATCAAATCTATGTGCTATCTTCAGTTAATTTTTGCTTGTAGCGCTGTCGGACATAATTCGCTTTTATGTTGAAAGAATGATCTGCTAGAAATGAGAAATATATGCGAACCGGAAGTGTGCTAGGGCTACCTGACAGATGGCACCACCAAGTTTGTGGCCAAATAAAAAAAAGGAAGAATATGCTGCATCTAAACTTGGTTTCTCTCAGTGGTCTACATCTTGGAAGATTAGAGTTGTAGCTTATTTATGAAGTCACTGAACCCATACAATTGTTTTACAGCCTTTTTTGATTTCCATAAGAATAGTCTAGCACATCTATGTCTCAGCCGAAGTTTGTATACGAGTAGGAACTTTACTGCAGTATAATTACGCAGGAATGGCGACATTTATGTATGTCGCTCTCTGACGGGATCTACTACATCTTTTTGTTTATTTAGACTTTGTTAGGTGTATTTTTTTCATGTACTTTATTCATGAGGATGGTTGGAGTTCAGTCGAACAAATAGAAAATGAAACGTTTGCTCTTAATGTGACATTTTCCTTGCTGCATAATTCTTTGTAACAATCCTTTGCTTTTCTAACAGCATTTAAAGAAATTGTTGAGCCATATATGCATCCTTCATGCAAGTTTATAAAAAATACCTGCATTCATAACCTGTAAATTTAACTTCCATTTCTAAAAAACCCCGCCTATGCCACTAAGGCGAGTTGAATCTTATATCAATATACTGGGCTACATATCACCTGCTTTTCTGCATATCAGCATTGAAAGAGGAAATACTTTGTGTAACTAATTTAAATTCATTGTATGGTAAACCGATTATTTTGCTTAGGATCCTGATATTCTAACTTGCGTGTTCATATTTTGCCTTTGTAATATTGTCACGAATAACGAGTGACAAAGACATAGAAACTGGAGAAACTCAAGGTTTAATGTGGTGAACAATTGTGCCAAACAAAACAAATACAAGAGTCTCCATCTTGTATACGCCTACATCGGCGTTGCAGACGTCGATGTAGGCGTAGTAGCCTCATTGAACACTGGCGATAGATCAACTTGCTGCAGCCATGCAGGGCCGCTTTTATAGCAACAACATCTGTTGTGCATTTCTCTACAAGTACCTATCAGCATTTCCCGATTATGCGAGAAATTCTAGAGGATCTACTAAAAATCAAATATTAACCATGGACAGGATTCGAACACCAGACGTCTGTGTGGTAGCCATGTGCGCAGACTACTGGACAACGCACGGGGCAATATTGCCACAAGAAACTATCGACAATGCCTTCATCCATCTACAATGACAGACATGTTGCATTTGCTTGTCTATACAGCGTGGTCTGCACGACGGGCTCAAGCGAGACACCGATGACGGCTGATGTGGTTGTGGGAAATCGCGCGGGCATCACCCAAGCCAAGGAGAAGTTCCAGTACAAGCAGGTTCTTGTGAAGGACCTGCAGCCACGCACGGGTCCTCAGTCCGGGGGCACACGTCTCTACATCAGTGGCTCTAACCTGAACGTTGGGAGCCGTCTCGAAGTTTTCCTCGACTCTCTACCCTGCACCGTGGACAAGTGAGCTCCTTTGTTGCTCTCCTATGTCTCAGTAGACTTTAAACATGCCACGATGCAGCGGCAAGGGTTTCTTTCTTGAAGGCATGCTAGACCTCGGATGAACTTCATTGTGAAGGAGCTAAACCTCTTTGCGAGGCTTACTAGGTTTTTTGGGGTCCTATGCGGAGCGCAAATTTGCCTGCTTCGTTTGCAGGGATTATGGTGACATCAGAACGCCAACCTCTGATTGGCTCTGATTGCGAGGATATTGGGTAGGCCTGGAGGCAGCTAGCATCCAGGTCTACCCACTATCCTTCAATCAGAACCAATCGGAGCTCGGCGTTCTGTTGTCACAACAACCCCTGCAAAACAAGCAGACAAACTTGCGCTCCGCACAGGTTAGGTTTTGTTTTGCTGAGCATCAGCTCTGTTGAATCAGATATTTTTTATTGCTTCTCGAATATATACTGTTAAGAGTTCGGCAGAGGATAGACGAGACGAGGCGAGGGTCTATATTTATTCTCATCTTTTTCCCTGACCCTCTGTATTTTAGGACCCTTGCGAGCAACAGTCAGATTTCCTGCAAAACGAGCAAGTCTACAATACCGAGCTACAACGTCTCCCAGCTTGTTCTCAAGATCGACAATGCGTCCCAGTCTATACCGAACCCCTTCGCGTATGCAGAAGATCCAACCATCCTGAGGATATCTCCGTTGAAGAGTTTCATCAGGTACGCAAACCTATTTGTGTTCTGTTTTTCTTGTAGTTGCTTTGGAAAAATTGTGTGTTCGTGGGAGTGGCTAACCATGGTCCATGAATTGCAGCGGAGGTCGCAGCGTGATGGTGATTGGTAGCAACCTGCATGCTGTGCAGCAGCCAAGGATGGCAGTGTTCTTCGAGGACCAAGTCCTCAATGAAACGGTATGATCCTGTTGTGTCAGTTCTTTCATTGGACTTGTAGAATGATAAGGGTTGTTATCTCGAAAATGCATTCATATTAAAATAGCGAGAATTGTTATGCTGTCAAGGTTGCTGTCTTTCCACGCTTTCTAATTGTAGGCAAAATGTCCAAGCAATGACTCGTACATGTGAAGTCGACACCACTGTTTTAGTCTCGAGCGGAGCCTTGTTTAGTTTTGATTAATGCACACAAAAGTTACCTCACCGCTTGTGTAATAGAAACAATGGTGATGGGAAATGTGGCTTGCTCTCCAGAAGACTGGCTCTCAGAGAGAGCTGCCCTAGACAAGCAGCAGGTGGATTATTCAGACATACAGAAGTTCCGGTGTTTCTCCGTGGCATGTTGGTCGTGGCACACGGAGTGCCAATTTTCTCGGTCGTAGCCAGAGTGGGGAGAACCTGGGTTACTCTCTTTCAGGTCTGCGAGGTCATCTCCCCGTCCTTCATGTCCTGCCCGTCCCCTCCGATCAACGCCGAGGCCTATCGGCAACCGCCCAGCAATGCCAAGCAGAAGGGGTCCAGCAAGGAGCACCAGTTCGGCAACTCTGCGACTCGCGGCAGCTACAACAACGACCAGGATGTCGGCAGCAACAGCGCTCGAGAGGAGTGGCGCTTTCGCATCGGTTTCGCCATGGACGACGTGGACAGCGTCTGGGAACTGCCCCGCAACTTCCCGGCATTGCACTCGGACCTCGTCTATGTGCCCAACCCTCAGCTCTTCCCTTTTGACGGCAACGGTGTGAAGCTCTACAAGGGGGAGTCGCTGGTGATTGAGGTAAGCAGGAGTGTCGTGCTCTGGTAGCTCTCGGTGGCCTTCTGTGGTACTTCTAAGATGTGATTTATCTCTCAGAATGTTGGATTTATGTCTTGGTTCATACTCTCTAACGTCCAATGTTAATGAAAGGTAACTTGGCTTGGTCAATCGTTGAGCTTCATAGATTTGAGCTGCACTGGGGTTCCAACAATTTATAGGCTTCATAGATTTGAGCCACAGCAGGCTTGCAACAGTTTTATATGTTATCAATGGACAGTTTGAAAACACGGTGCTAGTTTCTTTTTCTGAATACGCACTTCAAGGGTGCTGCTAATTGTATGCGTTCCGATGGCCAGGAGTTATGCATACCTATTGCTGTGCTTCCCTTTATTTGCTAAACTGGAACAAGCAGAGCTGAGACGGACATGCAGTCTTGTCTCGAAGATTAGTGCTCTAACCTGTACATATCCTTTCGATTTATGTGTTGCATCTACAAAAGGCCTTTCATCATTTGCAGGGGGAAAACTTGAGACTCGCCAGTACAGAATCGGAGGTCAATGTGACGATAGGCACCCGGCTGTGCAACATCACTTCACTGGCCATGAATCAACTAGTCTGCTTGCCTCCCGAAGTTCAGCCTTCGGGCACCGATGAAGTAGGACGCTGGACCGACAATGGGCTTCCCATGGTTGTGGTGAGTTTTTTCTGCTCTTAACTGCATCATTTGAAAATAATGAAAAACCTTGTATCTTGTAAGTATGAAATCAATCTGTAGCAAGGATAGCATGGGGCTAAGGGTAACAAATTTGCTAGCAGCTGCATACACTCAAATCTTATAGCTCTAATGCTATGCTTCGTTGTGCTGTTAAACAGTTTCAACGATAATTTTACCTGGCAGATCAGTTCTTTAGTGCTCTTTACTAGAAAATTCAGAATTTTTTAACTCTGGAGATCTTAGCTAGTGGTCAAATTTTAAGCAGGAATTGTTGCTGAGACACTAACTTGGGTGGAAGAATGCATTGGCAGTCTCCAACTTGGAACAGCCAGAAAGAAGAGAGCTGAGGTTTTGCTATCTTTTTTCTCTGCTCCCAGTCCATGTTGAGGCTTTCACAAGGGTTTGTTCATCTTTCTGTCTTCTTTCTTGGTACATGCATGCACACTTATGCTGTGCTCGGTTCTTTTAGTCTAATTTTAAATAGAGTTTGAAATTGTAAATGATGTGTACGCGTGCCAAGCATCAACATTTTGCATCGGTGCACATGTCGAGTTTCACCACTTTGCACCGGCGTGCTAGGAGGAGCAGCTGATGCAGGGGAACATCCGAATTAGCCTCATGGAGCTCAGAAATATTGCTCACTCTTGCAAGTTGACATTCTTTGGTTACAATTATAGATCAATCCTTAATTTTAAACAGCAGTCTGAAGAAAGTAGTCGATTAGTATTTGAATGATAATGGCAGTCCTCTACAGCTGCGAAAGCCCATGTAAAGTAAATTGCCGCACGAGAGTTGCTTATTGCCTCATCCGTGGACTTCCAAAAGCATTATCGGTCATTATGTTTTCCTTGGTCATACATTCTTTTTTTACTGCAATCCCCCTGAGAAGCCTACAAATAAAGTTCCACCATGCAAGTACTTCCAGTCTCTCCACCGGGGCTGTTACTGGAGAGGTGTCTATGACGAATGAGTTTAACGAGGCTTGTTGTGCTAATCAGAGAGACATGTGCGTGTCCCCTTCTGCTTGTCCGCTTCTGTTAGGGTTCGCAAGTTTCCCGAGATTTAGGAACCAGTGTAAGAAAATACTACGTGCTAGACATGGGTTCTCCTTGCTCATTTCAACAGGTGCGCATTGGAGGGAACCTTCGCTTTGAGGTGGGCTACCTGCGCTACGAAGTGGCCAAGAAGTATGGCTTTCCTCCGGAGGCCATTGGAGGGCTTGCAGCCAGCGCGGTGGCTCTGGTTCTGCTCAGCGTGGTCATCCTGGCCGTGCTGAAGCACAAGAGCTCCCAGGCCGAGAGAGAGTACAAGAGAATTCAGCTGCAGATGGACGACCTTGAGAAGAGTGTCCGCATCGAATGCAAACAGGGTGATCTGCTTTTACCATTACCTACTACTCTCCGTTTCATCTCGCGATAGTGTGAGTATCAGTGAGCTTCAAGAAATGTGCCGAGTCACGTGGGACACGTAGCCGCATGATGTGTTCACAGCGCTGAGGTAGCTGGGATGGCTTGTAGCCTCCACTGCAGTCCATCGTAAGATAAAACGAATGATGAAACAAAAAATGAAATTGGTCGCACCAAACATTCAAAATGTTTTCTTTCTTTTTCATGTGTGATCCATCTTACCAGGCATTAGCCAGTGCTCTGCACCTTCTCTACTTTATTCACTATGCACACTGTTCATAGGATGGTCAGGTTGAAGTTGTCTCAGTATCAGTGTGGCAGTAGACAATTGTAAATTTAACTTGTGGGATTCTGTTTTGTTGGAGTTCATAATTTAGTAGCACTTAAAGCATTTATTAATATTTATGGGGTGAAAAATATACATCATACTGTTGTTCTGCACATGAAAGTTGGGTGGTAAGGGCAACTGGCACAATTTGGGGACAGAAAAGGGCTGAACAGTTTTCATTGCGATAATCTTAGCACCAAGAAGCATTTTTGTCTGTTTTCTTAACTGTTTGTTGTTTGTTCTAGCATTTGCAGAGCTCCAGACAGTTGTCACCGACCTGACCAATGACTTGCAGTCCGTAGGCATCCCAACATTAGACCACCGGACCTACGTGATGAAGGTTTTCTTCCCTGGTGTGTACGACCACCCACTGTTGCAAGACAACAAGGTACTTCAGAAGCTTCCCGGTTGATAGCTCGCTGTAAATGGGTTTACGGCAGACCGACGGGGATTTGAATTCTTCTCCATCCCCTTCCAGTTGAAGAACAACGGCATCTACAGCAACTATGAAGTGGCAATGTCCCAGTTCCAACAGTTGATCCTAAACAAGAGCTTCCTCGTAACCTTCATCAACACCCTGGAGAGCCAGAAGTCCTTCACCATTCGTGACAGGGTCAACGTGGCCTCCTTGCTGATGATCATTTTCATGGGGAGGCTGGAGTATGGAACTGAGTAAGTAGTGTGGACTAAAAGTCGCCCGTCTAGACACAAGTGAATTGGATTAGTGATTTCGTCTACATTCTCTCCTTTTTTCAATTTCTATAATTTTATGCTGTGCCAGCTATGACCATTCGTTTTGGTTGTTTGAGACAAATGGTACAGTGCAGATAGTTTCATAGAGATTTTACGAATGTTGACGATCAAGTTTATTCACCTCGAAACTAGTAGTGTAATGTGTTACTGAGGGGTTATTTTTAAAGATGGTAACTTTGGGAACAGGGACATGTAACTGTTTAGTTTGTTCCCTATCTCCCTCACCATCCACCTCTGCTACTGAGTAGCATAATTCGAGGTCCTTTGTCTCCTATTCCGAGTAAACTGCGGAACGTCGCGTCATCTACGCGTTTCTGCTCCCTCACTTGTGCAGCGTCCTGAGGACCCTGCTACTCCAGCTGATCGAGAAGTCGGTGAACACCAAGCACCCGCAGCTAATGCTGCGCCGGACCGAGTCCGTGGTGGAGAAGATGCTGACAAACTGGCTGGCCCTGAGCATGTACGACTACCTGCGAGACTATGCAGGCAGCTCCCTGTTCCTGCTCTTCAGCGCCATCAAGCACCAGGTGGAGAAGGGGCCTGTGGACACCATCACCTACGATGCCCGCTACTCCCTTTTCGAGGCCAGGCTGCTGCGCGAACAGGTCGACTACGAGCTCGTGGTGAGTGCAACCGGATCGAATCAAGCACAAGCGAGCTTGTGGTGTGCACTTCTTTGTTGGACCGTCTGATTCAGGCCACGGGACATGCCGAACAGGAATGGTAAAGAGAATTTATAAGCAGACGGGAAGGCGAAGCAGCAGTTACAGGCATCTGGTTCAATTGGGACAGAACAAGTGATTCCTATGGACCCTTTTCGCGTCTAAAAATACAAGCCATTTCTTGCCTTCCAAGAGACATCCGGTCACTTCGTTTCGGCTGGCCTTCCGGGTCTGTTGGTGTCAAGGTTCTTGGCGCAATGAAGTTCTACAGAAATCACGAAGTTGGGGATCTAGTGAGGTTCTTATGCTGCGCTATTCAACATATAAGCGTCTTGTGGCAGTATTAAGAAATCTCCAACATACCTCTCGCTAACCGGTCTTTTAGCTGATAAAGTATTTCATGAACATTGCAAGAAGCGCTGCAGTGGTGGTGATTATGTGTCCCCTCATTTGACCGGCAGTTCGTGGGGACGCAGAAGGCAACAGCGCCTCCTTTCGGTACTTTTATAAAAATGTTTATTACTCGACTTCTCAAGTCGTGCAGAGTGTTATCAAAGGTACAGGGGTGTGAGAACGTAACGCCAGCCGACATGTCCTGACTAATATAGCTGTAGTCTGAATTTTTTGTTATCGGTGCTTTTTATGGCATGTATAGGTCAATAAATAAAGGGTAATGTGTCATGAAAGCATAGCCAGAGAACGAGGCACCTTCCGTTATGTTTAGTGGCGATGGTCCAAAAATGGTATGATTATTTGTTCAAAGACTCTGGGTTTAGTGTGATCCTTCCTTTTCATTTAGACAATCCAAGTGATCCAAGAGGACCAAGATGAGAAGGTGCACTGCAGAGTGAATGACTGCGACACCATCAGCCAGGTGAAGAGCAAGATCCTGGACACCCTGTACAAGAACACCCCATTCTCCTTGAGGCCGTCGATCTACGACGTAGACCTCGGTAGGTCAGCCTTCTGTATTGTCATCATTTTTTGCTAAATTTCGGTGCAGTTTGTTTTTTAGTAATGCTAATAGAGACATTGCCTTCCTTTACAGAATGGCGCCATGGACGAGGGGGTCACCTGATCTTGGCAGACGAGGATTTGACGACAAAAACAGTCAGCGGTTGGCGGCAGATCAACACACTGCGGCACTACGGCGTCAAGGACTCTGCTGTGATGAGCCTCGTTATGAAGCAGAATGACAGCTTCAGTTCTAACTGTAAGTATAGTTGCGTGGTTAATATATCGGGTTAAGCTAAGAGTGTGGGTCCCTATATCACGTGTGATCCACTTTCTAGGTTTCATTTTGGTAGTAGCCATTGAGTGCACTTTCCTGCAAAGCGGCCAGCACTGCAAAAGTGTGCTACATGATATGAAGTCATAATGAGGTAGTACATGACAGTGCCTCATCATGCCACTGCCATGTACAACCTTATAATTTTTGTTGTAATAGCTGCAAAAGCTTTGAACAACAAGTGTTAAAATTTAGATAGCATCAGCATTTAAGTCTATCATGATAAAGTTGATGAATCTGCTAAAAGGGGAAAAGAATGCTGCATCCACCTTTTTTACTGCAATTCACAATCATTAATAATATATTTCTGAGAAAGCATGGTTTTTATTTTTTTATATATTCTTAGATGCTTCTGCATGTAATACATGTCCTTTGCAACATATTTTCAGATCATTATCAAATGTGACAGTGAATGTGCAAATATATTCAATATCTAAAAATTTATCATAATGGTAAGACCATTATGACAAATGTCTAGGATGGAAAAAGAAAAACAACACAAGAGGCAGAAAAACGGATCTCAGGTCATGCCATCATGATAAACTTGCACCAGCTTGCCTGCACTTGACTTTTTTTTTTTAATGTAAAAGTTACCACTTTCTACTCCACCCTTTTGATATTGTGGGCTCAGAAGTCAAGAGACCCTTCCTTTCTGAGACGTGACCTTGATGGTGTGGCTTTTTTCCAGGCAATGTTTCGTTGAACTCCATGTCCCCGATTGTGTCCCACTGTGACCTGGAGCAAGGCATCAAGTACTGGCATCTAGTCAAGCCGGAGGATGAGACCATTGGGCAGCCCAAGGACATGCACTACAAGGCCATCCCCGAGATTTTCCTCACCAGGCTGCTTTCCACCAAGGTACGGGGCACTTCTGCCAAACAGGCTGCTATTCAGACGTCAGAACAGGGAAGGAAATGTTTGGGTTCACTGGAAGTGCTTAAAGATGCCAGATGTCCAGGCAAAACTTTTATCTTGCACAAACATCTCCAGTCCCCAAGACCAGTCCCTGCAACATTTCTGTCTTGTTTCACAATTTTTAAGAACAGAATCCTTGCAAGTAAGTTTCTTCAATTAGACCTTTGATACCCTGCCCATGCTGTTCAGGTCAATAATATTCCTACCAGAGATGCTGAACTTTAGATACGTGGTGTAACCGCCTGCTTAGTATATGTCCCAAGTTTCCTCTTTAATTTGCATTATTGAAGGCAAGGCGCTTGCTAAGGATTTTGAAGGATCTTCACTTTGTAGGTGTAGATGTTCTTTGAGATTTAATTCCTTCTTTTTTTTTGAAGCATAAGGGCTTGACCTCATAAACACATATGCTCGTTTGTATCAGTGGAAGAAATCAAAGCATGCTCACTTCAGAGTCCCAGAGGAAGTCTATCACATATGGCAGTTCTCAAGCTTCTTTTTGCCGATTGATCTACCTTTACAATGGGGGCTCAGACCATTAGACATATAATGTTACAATGTCAGTGGTGTTTGTAATTGTTGTTGTGTGACAGTTTGTTAATCCACCATTCATTACTTTCAGGGCACTGTGGAAAAGTTTGTCGAGGACTTCCTCAAGACAATCCTCACGGTGAACGAGGCCCTTCCACCAGCCATCAAGTGGCTCTTCGACTTGCTCGACGAGGCAGCCCACCGCTATGGCATTGTTGATCCTGAAGTGCCCCATGCCTGGAAGAGCAACTGGTGAGTGACATCAAGGCCCCTTTTTTGCTGCGACAAGTCTACTGAATTTTTCTACACATCAGGCAAAGTCGCACCTAAAGCATAGTTGCAAAGATGTCCTTTTTAAGTCTTGTTTAGCATGAGCAGTCGTTCAATAAATGCAGTCTTGGATAGTGGAAATTGATAAGCTGATTGATTAGTACTACAACGTTTCGATGGGAGTTTTTTTGTGGAAGCCTGGTTAGACCAGCTTTCGATTAGCACATTCATGCAATGGTGGATCGGCATTGGAAAATTAGTGGTATTCCTCAGTACGAGTAATGCAAAAGGGATTGTACGCTACAAAATAATGTGATATAACCCTCTCGGGGGAAGAGCAGTCAGTCAAGACTTGACAGTTTATAATTAAATCGCAACATACTATATAATATTCGTGGCAGAGGAATGAGGACCCTCTGTCCAGGTTTCAATTTTCCTACTATTAACCTTGCCATTATTGAAGAGGTCGTGGGCAAGTTAGGGCCACTAGATAAGCTATGCTTAGAGTGCCAGTGCCCATTCCTTGATTTTCTTCTGGGCACCGCCACTTTGATGCTCAGCGCAAGTGCGGGCATGATTGGCGTTTGTCACAGTTTGAAAATAAAACTTCCCAATATTGCGATACAGTGCCAGGGAGTCCAAGCAATGTTATTTTGCTCTGTTGTGAATTGTTTTAAAATATCCGAAAGATTGAAAGCTTTTTTGTGCGATTTCAGATAAAACATGAGAAAACTGGCAACAGTGATTTGAAGTATACCAAGGTGGCAGAAGTGTTGTTACTCCAAAGCATTGCTCCTTCCGTGGCACTATGCTCCGTTTCACTTTTTAAGTGTGAGCAAAGCAGAAGCTACAAGGGGAGCTCCGGACTTTCAGTGTCTCTGCCTAGAACGCTTGCTCGTGCAGTGCAAGCACTGTTCAGGGCCACATTTTCACGCTTGTAGCATCGGCTGCATCTGGACTTAAACTAAAATGAAATATAGGACTCGTGTGTCGTTATTGTTTTCGAAAGTCTTCGCAACACTTGTCCAAGGAAAATATTAGCCAAGGATTCGAAGAGTTAGATTGTGTGTTATTCTTTGTTAGTAAACTCATTAATTCAAACCCCAGGGAGCCACAACTTTTGTTTGAATTATCGGAAGTTTGAATTATCAAAAATTCATCTAAATACGATGCAAGATGAAATCATAAGCTGGTATGTTACACATGAAACATTGGTGAAATGTATGATAAGATTATTCATCCCTCAAAAACGTTGTCTGTCGTGGACTGTTTAGACATCGCATGGCGCCTCGCAACAGATTTAAGTTTGTTCACCCAGCAAAAGTGTTTTCTATTTTCGACTATTAGCCCCGTTGAGCGCGCTTTGTACTGAGCACCGGTGCACCACGGAGAAGCAACACCCGTGGAATCGAGCTCAACAGATATTGCTTCTCCTCAGTGCACCGGTGCACGGAAAGAAGCACGCTCAACGGGGTCGCGAGAACAAATAATGAATTACACGAAAACGCCTGTTGAATTAAGCGGCTTATGAATGCATCCAAAACATAGTGGAACAACCGGAATTTTGAAATTTGTTTGAATTAATCAGAGCTATGAAATATCCGAGTTTGAATTATCGCGAGCCTTTTGCTTCGGGTAATTGGTGATTTCAGAAAGGCTTCACTAAGTAATCGTTTAAAGACTGTAATAAATTTGTGCACAGCGTTACATACCCCACTGTGAGCATAGCCCTAAGTAATTGCCTCAAAAGAAAGTAGGGGAATGCCAATCCCCAAGAGGATCCGCTCCAACAGGAACTGGTATCCGTCGATAAACCTTCAACAAGACAGAAAGAAATGGTCGATAGATTCAACTTTTGTACAGTAGGCATATAAGCAAGAGTTGCAATGTCCAATTCTGTTATCATATACACCAGCATGCAGCTTGGATGTCACACCGCTGCAGTGGCGCTGTCGTCACAGGCGAATCTAGTTTCTGCGCACAAGCAGTGCCCACACCTGGTGTGGGCAAATGTGGTCTTGTTTGAAAACAGCACGTTGGCCTATAGGTTGAATGTTCACTCATGGTCCCCTCTCACTTTTAAATTTTTCTTGCTCTCTTCAGCCTGCCCCTGCGGTTTTGGGTGAACTTCATCAAGAACCCGGACTTCATCCTGGACGTGCAGAAGACGCCCATCGTGGACTCGTGCCTCTCAGTGATCGCCCAGACCCTGATGGACGCCTGCTCTACGTGCGAGCACCGGCTGGGCAAGGACTCGCCCTCGAACAAGTTGCTCTTTGCCAAGGACATTCCCAAATACCGCCGCAAGGTGCTCGAGTTCTACCAGAGCATCGCCCTCCAGCCCAAGGTCACTGACCAGGAGATGTGTGCGGCCATGCAGGCACTCTCCCTCGTGAGTTCCTTGCGATGGTCTCCCTTAGAGTGCCTCTAGAGCCTGAATTCTCGAACTGGGTTCCTAGGAACCCAGGGGTTCCCCAGCATACCCTCAAGGGTTCCCAGAGTACCCTCAAGAGCTCCCAGAGTACCCTCAAGAGCTCCCCAGTGTACCCTCGAGGGTTCCCCAGGATACCTTCAAGGTTTCCCTGGGGTAATTTCAAGGGTTCCCCAGGGCACCCTCAAGGGGTTTCCAGAGTACCCTGAAAAGTTCCCCAGTGCACACTCAAAAGCTCTCCAGGGTACCCTCAAGAGCTTCCCAGGATACTCTCAAGTCCCCGAGCCCATGAATTCCTTCGACCGGGTGTCCCTGTTTCAAAGTAAAGTTCTTCCAAATAAGCACTATCTTAGCAGATTTGAGCCATCCATTGACAGATAGTAACCATGAGCCAAGCACTCCCTGGTCTGTGCACTAATGTTCAGAAAGTCTATGTACTTTTGCACTGCTTTATTGCTTCGATGCTGAGACCAGGAAGAATTCCTCAGCTATCAATCAAGAAAGATAACCAATCATCAAGATTGAAATATTTTAGAACCCTGCGCTAGAGGAAGCTTCGGTGTTCAAATTAAACATCTGAGACCACGGACCTCGAATGGTTTGTTCATTTGTCAGGCTAAATGCAGATATTTGGCTCAGGGGAATTTATAAGACTGAGCTCACTGATAGGAGCATAATATGGCTCTAAATGTACCGTATTTTCTGGACTATAAATTGCACCCTTGTATAGGTCGCACATCCGTATAGTGAGCCTTCTTCTTGGAAAAGTTGGCATATAAGTCGCACCTCTTTGCACGGTTCACACAATGATTTGTGTGCATCGATATTACAAAATTGGAGCTTCGCACAATCGGCTTGATCACACATACCGTTTTAAGCACAACTTTGATGTTTCAACTCGCGAGAAATGCCCATAGCATGGCGCTGTCTGGTGGGGGCAATCGAGTGTTTCGCAGCAAAAGGACGTAAAACGCGCAAAAAATAAAAGGGTAGTCGGCTTTATTCGAGCGAACACATGCCGAGCCAACGAAAATTTAACGAGCTAGACACTCGTGAACCAAGCTTTGGACCACTAGGCCTAGCCTAGGCCCGGAGACGACGCGAGCATCGATGCGCAGGCAAAGGGATAAACCTTGACATACTTTTTTTTCGGTACTTCTAAAAGATGAGCTAGGCACAATCTTTCCTTTTACATGTAGCAACACGGCTGGGACATGCCAGAAAAAAAAAACTGCTCATCAAACGGAAATTAAGAAAGACATGAGAAAATATTCTGCAATGCATGTATACCAGCCCACTTACCTTTCAGTGTTACTAGACTGAAGCAAAATATGGAACCATGGCTGAATTAGGCAACGTCTATAACATGCTGTAAAAGCTTTATTCTCACAGTCTTGCCTATCCACATTGAACCGCTTTGGGGAAACCCTAACATTTCTCGCTTTCCAAGTCAGTTATGAAAAGTTTAGGAGAGTGCTGCGACAGCAGTGCCTCCTTGAGGGGGAAACACCGCCCATGTGGCTACATAGTTACGGTGCTGAACGAAAGATGGCGTGCGGTGCATAAAATAAAGGGTGTCGCACCGTGAATTAAAAAGAAAAAATGCATATAAGTCACATTGTCGTATAAGACACACCAAGAAAAATGTCTGAAAAAAACCGCAACTTATACACTGGAAAATACAGTAGTTATTCCTCCGTTAGTGGTTGTCCAATCTAAATGCTGAGTTATTGTGGTGACATATCTTTTTCTAGTTTTCCAGCCCATGAAATGGGACGATAGCCAAATTGTTGTTAGAAAGTTTTTGTGTTATGGCTCAAGTAGAAGAACCTGAACATCTCTACAGGAGTCTACATCTAGTGGAGCCTCCTATTATTTTATGAGCCCAAGTGAACACTTGGAAGTAGTGTTGTAGGGAAGGCGCTTTTACTTTTCTTCTAGTTTAAATTTAGAAATTCATATTGGGCATTGTAGGAAGTCTGTTTTACATTTATTCCAGAAACATCTTTTTGAGGACAGAAGTAGTACTACTGAGAAACATTTGCTAGAGTTTGGTTATATTCCTGCAGTTTCTTTTCTTTTTTTCTAGTGCAACATTGCCTGGGCTGCAATTTCTTGTTTTGCTTCATGCACATCAATCAAAAGAAATAATCTTTTTTTTTTTTTTGTGGGAAGCATACATTAGTTCTGTTTATAAATAAAAATACAATGTATTTGGCCCGCCTTTCCTGAATACTGCATTCTCTTTCTTCAAAGCCAAAGTATGTGGTTCTTCTAGAAGTTCTACTGTTGTTTTGGCAAGGGTTGATATTGTTTTTAAGGGGCAAGGCTTCAGAAAAATCTGTGGCAGACCTGGAGTTCTAAGAATGGATTTGTGTTAAGACCCTCTCTAATCTCTCTGCAGGCCCATTCCTCAGAGTTCGAGCCATCAGGAGCTGTAAAAGAGCTGTATGTCTACGCCGCTAAATACAGAGAGCAGGTGAGAATGGTTTTATGAATATACCATAGACTATGCCTCACTACCCATCGAGTTGTCATCACTGAGCACATCTTGGGTCAAATTTTGGATTGCTGCAAGGATGATACTGGATGTATAAGGACTTTTTTAGCACTTTTATTTGTCATTCTTTATTGTGCACAGAAGATATATGAGAAAACTATAACATATATTGCACTCTTCCCAAGTACATCTGACTGAGGAAGGAACGTTCTGATAAATGCATTATTTATGAGAAACAAACTGACCACCCATGCATGGAGATGTTTAGGCGATGGCTGGAGGCCATTACTTTACAAAAAAACCACACGCTAAGGAGTCGCAGCCCCACTTGTGTGAGCCGGCCTAATCCAGACTGGCCGATTCACACTTTGCGAGTAAACCCGAAATCTGAAGCTTTGTCCTCTCTCTTTTGGCAGGTCTTGACCGGATTAGAGAATGACATGCACTGTCGGAATCTGCACTTCTCGCACAAGTTACTCAACGTGGCGTGCACACTCGAAGGAGAACAGACTTCCATGTGTTGACGTTGCTCCTGTGTCGTCGGTACCATCCCCGGGGACAGCTGCCGTGCACCCAGTCACAAACGCGGAACAGACTGACGTGTTGTGCGCGCAGCCGCACTATGCAAAGCGGGAACGGACCACCAGCAAGGGTGCCAGCCAGACTACAGGCGGTGTGTGTGTGCGTGCGCAGGACGGCTCTCCCAGCCTACTGCGGAGCAGCGTGCAAACTGTGAGGGTGTGTCTCGTGTGCGTGCGTGTGGATGAGTGAGGCGCGTAATTTATGTGTGCGGAAGAACGGCGGAACATTCCGCCGCGAGACGTTTAGGAACCGCAGCAGGAAGAGACTGTGCCCGCTCCCTTCTTTCTCGTCGGGGCGGACTGTAAACAAAGGAAAAAGTTCTACTTTCTCATTTTGGTTCGGAAGCAGGGTGATTTTGGCACTTTGCAGCCAGAAACAGCTGGCTGCCGGTGTCAACTCTATTTATACATACATGTGCCTCTGCAGGGAAGAGATAGACGTTGGACCACTGAACTTCCTCATCCCATCCACAACTCACGGTAAAGAGGATGGGTAGCATACTATGGGCTCTCGTAGGAGCAAAGAGAAAAGTTGAGGTTATGCGCTAACTGCAAAATATTTTTAACAGGACACCGATTTTACTCATCGAGACTTTGCAGGCACAGGCTGCCTGCAGTTGTTGTTCATCGCCAGTTTTGTACATTTTGTATAGTAGCATCATTTTTGAAAGGTCTGTTTATGTGGCCCTCTCCTGCCCCCCTTTGTCTCTGCGCAAAAGATAAGCCATGCAATGCGTTCAACCATTGTGAAAGACTGCCAGCATTGCCCATCTAAGTCACACAAGTCCCAGGATTGCCGAAGTAAGCTCGGCGATCTTGTCTTTGGATGCAGAAGAGGGGTCTGATCCATTTTTACTAGGTGGTACGAGCGTTGCCAGCCCCACAATTTTATTTCCATTTTATTCTTTGAGCCAATTGTAAATGTGTTTAATATATATACCGTACCTGTTTATGGCATTATTATACCTAATGCTCCAACTCTTGCTGTCTAAAGAAGCGGTATTTGAGTTAAGTACTTTGTTTCATAGCTGGCAAGTTGCCACTCGAGGGGGGCAAGTCGATTGTTGGTGACATGGGCAAAGCATTTTTTTTTTTTTGTTTCTTTTAGCTGAAACAAACTTAAAATTCTACATTTCGGCATCGTTCGAGTCCCCTTGTTGCAGTTAAGTCAAGTGCTGTGCATTAAAAGTTTTCAGCCTGGTGTGCGTATAGTGTAAATATCTGAGATGAGGCATTTTTTGTCGAGCCATGTTGTTCGAGATATTACGGAATGTCTATAGTTAAAACAATGCTGCTTCGCTTCCTTTGGAGATTGGCCACTTTTTCGATTTCCTAGCAAAATACATTTCCATGTTTGTACATGTTTTGCCTGTGATATGCCGATCTCACGCTTCCGATTTGATCTGGTCCCCTTCTTTTTTTCACCAGTCAGTTCTTTCTCTTCGGGCTACAAACGAAAACGGAACTAGGGAAGAAAAAAAAAAGTGTGGCAATGCACAGGTGCTGTCATTTGGGTTTTCTAGACGTTCCGTTGACTGCCGCGAGAGTACAGGACCCTGTGTTGTTCACCTTCAATGCGACTGGCTGGAACAGCATCCTACCATCATATTTTTGATACTTGGCCTCTCCCTTGTAGTAAACAAAATAAAGACAAAAATGTTGTGCAGCAGAGCGCTTCACTGTGTAGCGTGTTGCTGGCATCCGTCATTAAAGGAGCAGGTTTGAGCATGTCTTCCGTGTGTCTGTTGCTTCATTTGGCTGCTGGGTCACTTAGTGGGATCCGAAACGAAAATAATCCGGATTTGTATCCACCAAATGCAATATCCCATATTGATAATTAGTTAGAAAGCACTTCTATGATATTTGTGCCGCTCACATCGAGAACATCAGCAGTGGTAAATATATCAAGTACTATTTATTGTCTGTCGGGTGATGAATGAATTTCTGGGGTTAATATCAACAAAATGCTGCTTTAAAGTATGAATATTGCGAGATCAACCTAAAAAAAATCAATAAATTAAAAAAAAAATATGTGGGGAGCCTTGGTTTTTCTGCAGAGATTTCACCAGGTGGCACCTAGGACGGATTTACTGAAAAAATGGCAAGCAAAAACGGCTCATCATTTCACACCATGCCAAACATAAAAAGAGAAAAAAGGAAGCTTACGCTTTTCAGTGCTGAAATTAATAGGAGATGCGCTGTGAAAGGTGAAGAGCGCTGCTTGCTAAAGGGACCACAAGACCGTTTTACTTTAATAACAATATGTAGTTCTAGAGTTTCTTAAATGAATAACCAAATGTAGGCTTATATGAAAAACAAGGAAGTCAGCATGAGGTCATAATGACGTCATCTTGAAAAGGGGAGGATCATCTTGTTCATTCATTTCATGGTCCCTTTAACTGCAGTATACGCGATGACGGCCACTGCGCATGCGCAGCAGAGTCCAAGCCAGAGACCGCCGCAGCGGAGCTTGTGTGTGCTTACCTTCCGGCCTCCTCTCTGGGGTACGGAATAGCCAATAGCGTATATTGTCAGAAATCCTGGTTATGATACCCGTAAAATAAGTGCAAGAATAAAGAGAAAATCATGAGCCATTCCACTTTGTGGAATGGCTCATGGAACGCCGTGAAAGCTCTATGCCAGATTATGAAGTTTGTATGTTTCGGGACAATTTTTCCACGGGGAGTGCTGAAACTTCAACAGCAGAAATTAGAACGAAAAGAAAGCGAGAAAGATGGGAGCGTTTATTGTGAGGTGCGAAGAAGAGGAGAAGGGGGAATTCGGCGACCGTCAAGGTTTGTGCTTCCTTTTGGCCATATGGACGAGGACCCGAGTATTATTGAACAGAGAGAACGATGTAAAGATACTGTCGCGCTAGAACATTGCTCTCAGCCGGCGAAGCAGCTTGTTTTACTTACTCGTCACTAAGCTCCAGACGCACAGGTTTGCTGAGGGTAATTCCCAACCTACACGTTCATTGGGTTGTAATTAGTATTTAGTAAAACAAACACACGCGCTTAAAAAAGCAATACAGCATGAAAAAAAAAGTTCATGGGTGTTTTTGGTGAAACGTCATCACTGCGTGAACGGTATCTTATGGGCCTTCCCGCTATCTGCGGCGGTGATGTGACAGCGTTTTGACTCTGACGTTCTGTCATATACGTCCGGTCGCTGTCATCTTTGATACGTCTATAAATAAATAAATAAATAAATAAATAGTCGGTGACAGGTCAAGAACGGAGTGGAAGCTCCTCCCACCCCTTTCCACTTTAGTAGAGCGAACGCTGGAGAGGAGGCGACCTCCTCTTCACCGTTCGCTCCGTTGAAGTGGCAAGGGGTGAGAGAAACTTCCACTTTGTTCTTGACCTGTCACCGACTAATCCCCCGTCCCGTGACAAAACACCCTAAAAACTGGAACAATTAGTGGAGCAGTTTGACTGCTAACCTCAGTGGGTCCTCATTTCATCAAAAGTAAATCGCAGACACAAACGAAACTGCAGAGACCGGACAGGACAGTATTCTGCTTGACTGCCTTCTCGGGAAAGGGCCCCATCATGTCCTTTCGTGTTTATTTGTCGGATTAAAATTTTATAACGAAATAGCAGACCAGTAGGAGAAACTCGAAGTACTAATGCATATAAAATCGTTGAAAACTGTCGGGGTGTCGCTTTAGATAACTATCTTCCTTGAGGCGCGAAAGGTCGCCTATCATTCTGACGCCCGCCAGAAGAACATAATCCAGCTCGCGCGTTTAATTAAAAAAAAATAAAAAATTAACATAATTGAAATAGCCTTACCCAACCTGGCTTTTCCTGCAAAAGAGAGGAGTAACTCACGTCTACCATTGGTCAAAGACGAGTGGAAATGCCCATTTCACCTTCTGCGGCGGGCTGGTACATGCTATGGCATATTGGGCGATAGCATGGCCATCAGCGTTAGTACAGGGCGATTCAAGGAGAGGCCAGGCTCTTTAAATCGACCGCCAAATTCGGTTTCTTAACCTATCGCGCTACGACTTTGTGCAGCGTTGCCCACAGATGGTGCATTTTTTTTTTTAATAAAATTTGTAAAGAGCGAATTTACCTGAGCAAAAAGTAAAGAAAGAAAAAGGCTTAGCTCCTATGGAAACGCAGCGACGCCACCGGTCTTTAAACAACACGGCGCCGTTCCGCACGGGAGACAAGAGATGGCGCAACGAACGCCGCCAACGAACGAGCATTTGGCGCCGAGAGTCGGCGTCTTTAGCAGACGATCTTTTCGACTCAAAAGTGGCGCGCGTTCCGCAGGCGGCGACAGTCGCAGAAACAAAAACAGGCGCGGTAAAAACAAGGAACTGCAGTTACTTGTCGGCTAAAGATGCTGGCTTTCGGCGTCGTATGCTCGTTCTTGGCAGCAGTTGGCGTCGCGGCCAACTGCTGCCAACGAACGCTGGGACGTTCATGACTTGGGGTATGGAGACGCGGAGGGGGGTTAAAATGCATAATCGGGGGGAGGGGGGGGGGGTGCTGAAGCTCCATAAGCTCCCCCCTGGCTACTCTCCTGCCGTAGAGAACGGCGGAACACCATCTAGACGCTGTGCTTCGAAACGTGCGTATCCCATAGAATCAAGGATGGGCAGTATTTCAAATACAAGTATTTGAAATACGTATTTCAAATACTTTGTGTATTTTGCATTTGTATTTAATTACAAATTGGGTAATGTATTTGACGTGTGTATTTAAATACTAAAACGTGGGTATTTTAAATACAAATGTAAATAAATACAATTTTGTGAGCGAAAATACATGCCTCAAATTTATTGTCACTGTTCAGAACAGGAAGAAAACTAAGTTCTGCAACGAATGCAGTGTCTCTCAATCAAGCACAAGCGTTTAGTAACTTTTAAGTGCATGTGACAACTTGTGATGCTTTCCAGCCTGATTTCCATGCATATTTTTGCCTGGAACTCTCTAAATGCGGGGGTCGTCCAGATTTTCGTAACTGGTGCGGGTTGCAACAATAAAAAATTCTCTAGCTAGTGCTGCGCGTCTTGGTCGTCTCGGTTCTTTGTTGGTCTATACCAAAATGTAATCGAAAAAAAAAAAAAAAGCTGCTTGAAGCTCTGTACTTTTTTCACCTATTACGTCCAAGCTCATTACATTTTGTTGTGATTATATTTCTGGTACGCTACTAGAGCCTCGCGCACTAACTCCCGAGTGTGCGATGCAAAATTAAAATAAGATACCCAGAAACCCGTTGCAGGTGCCCTGAAGTAGCCGACGCAAATTTTGAGGAATGTATTTGGAAACGTATTTGGAGGAGACCAAATACATTTGGTTGTATTTGTATCTTGTACTTATATGCTTTTTTGGAAATGTAATTAGATTTGTAATTAAATACATTTCTGACGAAGTATTTTGTATTTGTATTTCGATACATACTTGCACGTATTTTGCCCATCCCTGCATAGAATACACTGCAGTTACGATAGCAGCCGTCCGGCGCGTCGAACGACGGGAGGGGAGTCGTGGTGAGTGAGGGGGGGATACTGCTTGTGCCAAGCAGAGCGTCCCTGAGCAGTTCCGTAACTGAGCTAATGTGATAATATTGACGGCCATCGTATGTGGCTAGAAGGGGAGGTGGCAGCATTGGTTGCTGCGGAGTGTAGCGGCGGATCATGCTAGCAGCGGGGGCGCTGCTGTCGACACTCGGTTGGCTTGCAGGGCGACCGTCCGCGAGCGCGCTGCAAGGCCGGCGGTTCGGCCGCTGTCGGCGGCATTCCGTACACACAAGAACCGCATTTGGTATTTGTGGGACATTTGTTCCTTACATTGATAGCAACGCGCTATTTTTGATTTTAAACGCACAAAAAAAAAGAAAAAAAAAAAAGCAGAAATGAGAGACAGTACGCACACGCGAAATACGGGTTCACTTCGTGGAACGAGGGTCGATTTTTCTTTTTTTATTGGTTGCTAATATATTCACACGTGGACGTACAGTCACTTGATGCTCGTTTTCTGAAAAAAGCTAGCCTCTCATCTTTCTCTGATAAGGTGTGCTAACATACTTGCTAAGGGAATTTCTTAAAATACACGCACAGTGCTTCGTTGTGCATCTCACCTCGATGAAGCATGGCAGGTGGTAAGATAGCACGGATATTAGAAATGTAAAAAATCAAGGACCTGGTGTGCTGGGCCTAAATGCAATGCTGATTTATTCAATGAACAAGAACTCTAGAAAAAAGCCCAAGGATAAATTTAAAGCGTATGAGTTACGTAACACGACGGAGCTTCAAATAGCGCGTTCGCCGCCTTCTTCCGTCTCTCGCCTTCTTTTTCGCTTGGACCAAAAAATGCAGCCATGTTAGCGCATGAAACTTGATGGGCCTGTTGCTCACCTCCGTGCTATGTTCGCTGCAACCAATCGCACCCAGCCTATTTCTTGCTAGAGGGGAAATCAGGTCCATTACGCTATTTGCTTTTAGCTGGTTAAAGCTGAAACAATAGGTTTAATTATCCCTACCAACCCGCTCGTTCCGTGCTTAGAAGGCTTGGAGTTCCTGAGAACCCGTCGCAACGCGACGAGAAGTCGTGTTTCGTAAACAATAAACGAGAAAAAGAAAGAAAACAACAACACTGGAACTGCTTACCTTCTGCTTCTCGAAATCCTAAATGGTAAAAAAAAGACAAAAAACGTAAAGTTTGCGGTGCACAGTGCTGAAACAAACTGCTTCTGTTTTGCTTTGGTGATAAAAAACTGTTTACTTTTTGATAAAGAAAAAAAAATTCTTACCATTTAGGAATTTTGTCCGAGCTGCAAAAAAGGGAAGAGAAGGAAACTTACTCCGGTAGGAGGCATCGCACATATGCGATCAGCTCGTAAATGAAACCGAGTTTCGTGGCAGCCATCCAACTTTTTGCGTACCATTCTAGTCACTGACAAAGCGAGAACGATAAGGGGGAGCTCCAGGCGTCAGCGCGACCTTCCTACCTTCGACAGCGATTCGGCGTCTCGAGCGTGCAACAGAAGCACGGCGGAAAGCAAGGGAGTGCACTCATGGAGGTCAGGCCTTCGAAAGCTACGCCCCGTCGTTGCCATTCTGGTAGCGGCTACCGTGCTCACCGCCGCATTTGGTTAAAGACGACGTAATTCATTTCGGTCTCCACCTCCTCAAGAGCTGCGCTCTAATTTCGCATTACAAAAAAATTGAAAACGTCTTCCATTTTTTTTATCCACGTCTTTTTCGTCTTATTTGTTTTTAAGGTTATGAAGGTTCACCAAAAAGGATAAGTCGTAAGTTTTCTCTTTTCTGATCGGTTGCGTTGAGCGTAAAACACGTGTTAGCGAAAACCGCGTCACGTCGCTGAGCGGCGTACCCATAGCAACGGCCGCTGACGCTTTGACGTGGCGGCGCGGCATTCGGCAACATCATAGCGTGAGCGGTGGTTGCTATCGTGACGGGACGCTGTTTTTGCTGACACGTGTTTCAAACATCGACGCGCGATCCATTCGGAAGTAGATTGGAAAAGGCTCCTTCTGCGTGCCCTTTCGCAGTTAGAAGCTCTGCGAGAAATGCCGGTGAGATTAATTAATCGTATTCGTAATTTTTTTTTTTTTTTTTTTTTTTTTTTTACAGCGGACCTGTTAATGGTTAGGTTCCCTAGGATCGTGTCCGGTACCAAACAAATGTCGACACAAAACTCTGGACAGCTACCGCCATCTAAGAGCGACGGCGGCAACCAGACAACCGGCTTGCCGGCCACGCTCATAGATGGCGGCAATCTTTCCAGCCTTTCCACTCTGGTTTTTCCCAGAGTGGAAAGGCTGAATTTCTCTAGGCGTCATCCTAAATGTCGTCCTCGAGGTCGTCCTAGATGTCGTCCTTGAGGTTGTCCGAGAGATTGTCCCTGAGGTCGTCCAAGTCGTCCTTGAAATCGTCCCAACATAGTACAGCTTCGCTGGTCTTCCTTCTTCAGCAGAGTATAAAAAGGCTGAAAGTTTTTCTTTGCGAAGCGATCTAAACCCGATTTCACAGCAGCACTGCCAGGGGACGCGGTGTCAGGGCCCGAAGTGCGACGGGCGTATGGCATGGAAACCTTACAAGCTGCCCACACCGCCAAGTCTTGACGCAAGCACCAACGCTGTGCCATCCATGAGTACCCCTGTTTTGTTCTCATAGGTAATTTAGAACACAAATAGTAATGATGCTATATTTCTGTCAATTTATGTGTTTACCTATAGATTGCAAGTACAAACGAAATCATGTTTCCTCTTTTATTCTTCTGTATTTCGTGTATATCTGCTTTCTGGTCACGCTGAGAATCATGTGAACAGAATTAGAGACACACGGACAAAAACTGAATGGTTCTGTGCTTGCCTTTCTTCGGGCATCTCACGGGCGTTCGCATCCGTTCCCGCTATGGCCGGGCCCGCAGCTGGCGCTTCCGCTTCCGCCGCTGTCGGATGCTTGGTTTCACTTGCCGATGAGGACCTTGAACGATATAAGCAAAGAAGCCGTTCGCGACTGTTGATAAGAACTGCATAATCGCTGTTATTAATTTACTGCGCAATTTTCAATGCAACTCTCAACGGTCAGGTGCCAGTACCGGGCAGAAAAGCTTTCATAGCAAAACTGGCTCAGTGCGGTGGTTTAGTTACGTTAAAACAGAGTGTACGGTGTCATGTCAAAGCTATGTACAACAATCAGCACTTACGCGGTGAACGACTCCACTTCGGAGCCATCGTAGGTGTAATTCACCATGCGCAGAAAGTACTTGGAAAGTAGGTGCGACACCACACCCAGCGCCAGAAAGAGCCACAGGCAGAATTTGAGGGAAGACCAGAAGGCATTCTGAAGAATATCAAGAAATGTCGCACCTTTCAGCGTAACTTACCTTTGTTTCATTTAGAGCGCAGATCTTAAGCGCCCGCTTCCGGGTTTCGCGGCGTCGGCGTCGGCGTAACCGCGCTAAATTTAGCGGTAAAATTGACGTCACGTGACCTCAACAACAATTCAATTCAATTAAAAAAAATCGAGGTACACCTAAGCATTCCTTATGAGTTGTGAATGTGAAAGCATGCAAGCCGCTCGTCCGCTCCCCTTTTTGTCTGCTGCGTATTTTTCGTTGCCGGTCGGCGCGAGTGCTCCCCTGGTGACCTTGGACGCTCCGCGCTGATGGACACGCAGCGCCATAAGGTGAGCGGTCGTGGAAACTGACGAGCGCAGCGGCCAAAGGGAGCCCCGTCGACGCGCGCCAGCCAGTGGAATCGAAGGAAATTATCTGCCGTTTTCGCGCTTCAGACTGATGACGTCAGCTCGCTCCATGAGACAGTTAATGCTTTCGCAATAAAAATGCGTTCCCCGGCAGCAATAGAGGCCAGCCACGTCAAGGTGCTTTTGTGCGAGCTGTGTGCCGAGAGAAGGCACGTTATAAGGTCATTATCGCGTACCGCCACTGCTAGCTTTGCGCCTGCTTCACGAGTAGTATTTCAGGATTAAAAGCGCTAAAAAACGAGGACCTCGTTTTTTAGCGCTTTTAATTCTGAAATGTACAACCAACTAGCCCAAGTGAATACCCTTTTCACAAGTGGTAACTTTGGCGCGCCCCCGAGTTTCCCACGAGTTTCAAGTTGTTCTAAAAAGAGTTGATTTAGTAATTTTCAATGACGCTCAGTAAGTTTCTAATTGGAACCATATGTCTATTTTCACCAATTAAATAGTTAATTAACAATTTTAATTAATTAGCCTACTTATCGCAAAGATTAGCCACCCACATAATGTCCTCCTGGACGTATGACTCACTTACACAAGCCGCTGAAGTGTAACTTTCATGGCTATTTTTAAAACTAATATGTAAAGCTTAAGAAAACACACACACAAAAAAAAACCACCCTGTTCCAAGTTTTCCACGGCTACCCGATAGATGGCACCAGAGTCCGCTCTCGTCGTAAAAGATTTTAAAAGGTTCTAAGAAAAAAACGCTACAAGAAAACAAAATTGCATTAGACTTATTTGAGACACGTACTTTTTTAAATAATTTTTCCACGAAATATTTTTTCGCCTAATATTTACGCCGTTAGACTCAATTGACCCCTCCGTAAGTGACGACGTCACCACATGGCGCTCCGCTTCTAACAAACCCTTTTACGCTGGTCTATGAGATAACAAAGCCGTATAGTGCTGATAGAGATGTCATCCCCGAAGGCCAACGCTCGACGCCGATTGGACGCGACGATTGCGTCAACGTTCGGCTCAAACTCGACTCGTAGGCGAGCGCCCTGACGCGGCAGTCGTTTCCAATCTGTGTCCTGCGTTGGCCTTCACTGGCGACGCAAAAATGTCAGCACTACGGTCTTGTCTTCTAGGCGCCGTTGTCTATGCGTGGAAGAGACGAGAGCGCGCGGGAAAGTGAGAACGCCGAGTTCTGATTGGACCGATTAGTGGGTAGACCTAAAGCTATAGCTGCCTTTGCCTCCACTGCACTCGTCGAACGCGTTAGCTCGGTGTTCTGCCGCCCCCACGTGCTCTCGTCTCCTCTCTCTCTCTCTTTCTCTGTTTCTCGGCTCATGGTGTTGAGCTGAACTGTTTGTGCTCTGCTGCAAGGTTTTCGTGCGGGCGTATTTATATTATAAATTTTTATGCGCAATTTTACATTGTATTATTACGATGCTGCGCATTAGAGCAATCGTTTTCATCGTGACACGGGATGGTCGTTTCTGGAGACTTACTGCGTTGCGTATGATTCCTTTGCAAAGGAATGCCAAGGAGCGCTCGTAGCCCTTGTAAGCTGCAAAGCAGGGCGGGTTAACCTAAAAAGAAAAAAAACAACCATTAAATTAGGCACCATTGGCATGCGTACAGCGTGCAAACTTAACGAGGAAATGGATCGAGCATGATTTATTTTGTTATATCTAGAGCCCTGCGTGGATTGTAGCAATATCCGACATATATCCGCAGACATCCGAACATCACCAGCCTTTATTCGCAGTTGTTACTGCATTTACCCCCAATCAATTTTCTTTTACTAATCTTTATTTTTACTTTTTAGGCTCGAATGACGGTTTTGTTTCAGGTGAGCATAATGTCACAAATCTCGTGCCTGTTTGTTGCAAACATTCTATGAAAACAGATCTACACCGAGCTTGGAGACCATACATGTGCGGCAGGAAAGATTATATCAGCCAGAATAAAGGCCGGTTCACACACTTGCGCTTGCGAATTTACGACCGAGTTCTTGCGACCTCTTACGAGAGATCACGGTGGTTCGCTGGCGCCTTCTGTGAGGTGACCCTCGAACTGCATTTTCCCAGAGATAATGTTTAGCAGTATCTAGGAAATCAAATTTAAGTGCATATCGATAATAAATTACCGTTTATAACATTAAAAAAAAACTTTTTTTAAAGTAGAAACAAATGATGCGTGTAAAAACTAGGCCACATACGGAACACCCAAGTGTTCCAAGGCTACATAATAGATGGCGCCAGTGTGATACCTCGTGGCATAGGGTATGTGGCAACGTTTCGAGTTGGGTGATCCTTCAAGTTTGTAGTGCGATCCCCAGGAATCATTTCCGGTCGTTTGCAACAATATAGATATGTAAAATATGACTCTTTATTACAAATGCGTATAAGATTCATTGCGTGTCGACGGTTACACAAGACTTACGATGTGAAAGTGCCTGTCATGCATCGCCTGTAGCTCAGTCAGCATGTCGTTTATGAAGTATTCGTTCATCTGGAAAACAGGCGAAACCCGCAGATATATGGTACCTCGTTGCGAAAAGACTCGCACGTGCAGAAGTGTAAATGAAGAAAAAGATATAAAACGTAGCACTTTGCTCGCATCAGTTGCTTCTCATCGCATCAGTTGCTTCTCATAATTGTAGTATAAAAAAACAGAAGTAAATTTTGTAATCAGCATTCAAGTTTTAGTTTGATATCAGCGTTCATTAGGAAGCTCTCTCTGATATTTAGTGCACCTCTAAGTCAAAATCGGGACGGTCCAGGTGCTGTACTTCCCTTTGATTCGATGACCTCTTAACAACATGTACGCATTAGATATTCTGTTTGCTTATTGGGACATATTTCACTTAGTGTGACGATCATAATTCACAACGAAATATCTTTCCATAGACTTGCGCAGGTGCATCATTAAATAAAGCGACATATGCGTAATGGTCAAGGGACAAGTGCGTTAAAGCGCCGCAGCTGGGAGCACGCGTGGTGAAAGCTCGCGCCTCAGAACCCAGAGGTCCGGGAGTCAACCTCCTCCACCCTTGCCCATGTCGATCTGGATGAGGATCGTACCCGTATGTGGTACAGGCGTGCGCTCGTGTAACCACACCCGCGTGATGCCCGTTAGAGATCCCAGCCTAACGGTCGCACAACACTGACTAAATTTCTCATCCACAGTGTGAAATAGTCATCATAAAATGGCCAGACTGACCTCACTTTTTCCAAATATTTACCTTGAAATTTGAATTTTTAATTAGTGCAAACGGGACAAAGGCAATCACCTGTCACAGTAGACCTTCGGTTATACCACAGTTCGTCCACGAACTATGTAGACTGAAGCTAACGAAAACGTCATTCATTCACTTCTGGTGCTACTTAGACGATGCCGCGACCGCGCCAGCTGAGCAGATGCACCGTGTCTGGTAATGCTTATAGACAATTGCGAGCATGGCGCCCCAACTGGGTGCAAGCATGTGCAGCTTGTGCGTGAACATAACTTTGGCAAGCTTGATATAGCACGGGCTTTTCAGCACGGGCCGAGACATGACGTCGGACAGTGGCCTTGCTTCCAATCCTCTATTCTGGAGCCTCGCGTACACATTATGTTTTTATCCACGAGTAAAAATGACCCGACCCAGAAACTAGAGCCATGAGCATGCATAAAAAAAATAAATAAAAGAAGACGGGATTTAGAAGATTAACGTTTTTGAATGCAGTCAGAATATCATCATGAGTGAGCTCACTTCGCCATGATAAATCATGCTTTTAGACTAAGCGATATCGTAGCTACAGAGAATAAGCATTTCTAAACCTTCGGTGAGAATAACCACAACTTGAAGCATACAAATGCGAACAACATGGTCGAAGAAAAAAAAGTGTACCTTGTCCACCTGATTCCAGATGTCACGTTTCATGGAATCGAAATACGTCGCCGGCTTGTTTGCAGGCACGTCCTGAAGAAGAGTAAGAATTGACGCAGGGTCGCTGGTTAGAAACAACTGTCTCGAGGATCTTCACCATTGCGAGGCGATAGGTTCAATAACGAAGAAAGACAAGACATCGTACGTTGAAAATACGGCGTGGATCCACAGTCAGCGATAAGAGCAGATGTTTGAAGTTGTCCTGACAGAGAGAATGTCATTACAAACGGACTTGTGATCATTGCGCCGACAAGCGACTACGCCTGTGTCACAGTGCCGGTAATTCACGGAGATAAACCAAAGAGATGAGTAGCAGGTCGCACCTGCTCACCAAATGCACAAGTACTAGAGCTCTATTTAACCATTGGGTATCCGCGAACCGTTTTAAAACATAAAATATGTTTTTACAGCAGAGCTGTTAAGGGCTAGTTCCTCCAGTATCGTGTCCGTCAGCAAACAAATGACGACCCGAAACTCTGCACATCTACCGCCATCTATGAGCGAGGGTGGCAACCAGACAAGCGGATTGCCGGTTGTCTGGTTGCCGCCGTCGCTCATAGATGGCGTAACCTTTCCAGCCTTTCTACTCTGGCTTGCCGACTTGCGGCCGGCCATTACTTCATTCCCACCATAGTACAGCTTCGCTGGTCTTCCTTCTTCACCTTAGTAGAAAGGCTGAAAGTTTTTTTTTTTTTAACGGAACTTTTTAATTCTAAAATTTTGTCCATTCGTCCATCCGTCCGTGCATTTCCCGTTAAATTTAGCGGAAAAATTAACGTCACGTGGTTTGACATCGCGAGATCTATACACCAATTTAGTTTTCCCGCTAAATTTAGTACGGGAATCAACCTCACGTCAGTTTTCCGCAAAATTTAGCCGGAAAATTTATTTAAGAAAAATACACGTTCATCTCCACTTTTGGAAACGACTATATAATGCCTTGTCTTGCCAACACATTTAAACGATCGCTTCTTAGATATTGAAAACTTTTTTTTTGTTTACCTTCATGTACTCCTGGACAAAAGACGCTATTGCTTACAGAAAAAACAGAAATTAATTTCCTGAGATTCTTGTCTAGACGAATGTAAACGTTCTTAAAGTAACTGGGGAAGTATAACTTACGGTGGATTGGATAATGTAATACACAGCATCCATATAGTCACCCTTGAGGATGTCGAACAGCCGGCCGCCGTTGCAGATCCTATAATTGATAGCTAAGTTATTACATTTCTTTTCAGCTCATAAATACACCGGCTGTCAGCGGGTATAGACGCTTACGTCAGCGTTGTGCCCGCCAGGAACTGTCCGAACCATTTGCCACGCATCTCCCGTGGCCAAATCACGCTCATGGTCTGTGAGGGATGAGGGTTAACATCTTTGCTGTGCTGCTTTTAGACGAAAGGTCAACGCGGTGATCATGTACTATAGTTTTCAACGCCACAAGAACTTGTCAACTGCTTTCCTCAAAACTTTTATGTGTCTTTACTCTGCAGTTCAGACGGTAAATTTAGGTTAGTTGAGAACTTGAACTCTGTATAAGTTTCTGGATGACCCCCAAGGTGATTGGTAGTCTGGCCTAAATGAGAATTTTAGGTGGTGCCACATTAATTAAGATTTTGACTGCTTCAAACAAATACATATATAAAAAGCTAACACTCTGTTGTTTTTATGACCTTAACTCGCCTGCCTAAAAAGAAAAAAAAAGAGCAAAAAACAGGACACAACAATGGGCTCAGCAAAAGTTGCACTTTGTGTGCGTGTCAGCGTCAATTCATAGACCCTGAACATTCAGTAAGAGGGTTTGAATGTTAAAGTTTGAACACGCATAAGGAGGTTACGGGTAATATAAAAGAAAATCTTTGTAAAAGACGATATTCCAATATGTTGTATCCTCGGTAGATACATTATCACCCTAAGTTTAGGAATGGTAATGAACCATAGGATGTATCGCATCGTGTACACAATGAGCCGCCCTAAGTGGAAAATTGATTCTAATGGCGAGCATTCGATTCTTTCTGTCGATAGGGCCCCTGATGATTGTTTGTTTTTATCCCCGTGATGATTATATATCATTATGTTATCATTATTGTATGCACTGCGTGTACGCCTTTTTCCCCCTCCGTTATATGCATAATGGCCTCGCAAAGGTGTATGTAAGAAAAACAAATAACGAATAAACGTTATCTGCTTTTCACTTTGCATCAGAGCGGCCTCTGTGCGAGTACGAGGCTGTTTTCCTTCGCCAAACTCAAACAGAAACCGCGAAAAAATGAAAAGGGGTGAGACCGCTGGAAGTAATGTCAAATCATAAAAACGATTGGGGGGGGGACACTCTTTGAAATATCCGGAACTCTATCTAGGTAAACTGTGCTACCAATGCAGCTGTCCAGTGAATAGACCGGCGCAGCACCGGGCTGCAGCATTTTACGGCACGTGGCGTGACTCTATAGAACAGAAATTTCCGCCAAGGCAAAAAAATAAAAAAAAAAGTGTTTGGAGACGCCCAGTTTTCTGAATCTTAGTTGTCAATATGCACGTTAAGTTTATTGTCTCGGTGCATACAGACGTAATATCTACTATAGTCAGTGACAGCTTAAGAAATGGGTAGAGTACTCCGCCTTTAGCGCGAGCTTGCTGCCTTTTATAATACTTCGTCGCACACGCAGACAGAGCTCTCTAGGAGGCGACGAGCGCGTGCTGGAGGCGGAGTTTTTACTAAATTCTTAGCATTTCACTGACCAAAGGACTCATGTATCAACGCGTGAATACCACTTATTGCAAGGGGTATCTCCAGAACACGGTGTAAGATATTGCTACTGCGAAGAAGACGAACAGCGCGCGCCTCGCAAATATATATGGATAGGCGAGGACATACAGCGCGGCGACCTCTGCGACGGAATAAACCAAATAAAGTCCTCTTGTCGCACGCACGGGTTGCCTCAGCCCACGGTATTCCCTTCATTCAGGCGGCGCAACTGGGCGTGACTAAGCAAAAAAAGAAAAAAGTTTCTCGTGTCCGGAGCGTTTGCTACCGATCTTGACGGACGCTGGCTTAAACACCGCGCCAGAGATCTCTCTGCTTCAACGCGTTCATAAAACTGTCGTCGCCGGTTTTGAGGCACGAAACAAAGGTAAATGACGAAGCAGTGTCTAAGCAACACGTGTAGTGCGAGTGTAGTGCAAGTATGTATGCAAGCAAGTGTACACGTGTAATGCAAGTATGTCTGCCATAGAGAACCACGGGAAACCGGGCCCGTGACAGACTGCCATTAGCCGCATGTCGAAGCGTCATCTAGTTGCGCCGATTGCAACCAAGGCGAGGAGAGGACTTTATCTGGCTGCTGCGACGCGCGCGGTGTCCACACCTATGTATGCATACCTTACACCGTGCTCCAGAACAAAACAAACGTAGCAATAGACACTATACTTCGTCTCATCCTACGATGGACTAAAGGCAAAAGCCACAGGCCGCCAGGTCCAATCACGGTCCACGCTAAACTATGACATGCTTAATGTTGGTTGAGATTGGACAAAAATGCTCCGAATCCAAAAACGCTGAGTCATTTCTGCAGTTTCGACACTGCAAAGAGCCAGTACGTCGTGGCTTTCGTTGCAATGTAAAATTGTTGAGTCACTCATTGCTCCCTCCGAACCACTGTCCGCCCGTTCCCATCAGTGATCGGAGACGCGGGCACCGATACGTGCATCGAAGCGAAATACCACACAATGTCTAAGTTGCTCGTGATTGGATCTGGCGGTTCGTAGCTTCTGCCTTTAGTCCATCGTAGGGTGAGACGAAGTATAGGCGACAAAAACGACAGCAAAGCGCTAATCGAAGCTGCACGTTCGTGTGGCGGAATGGCTACGCTATCACCACTTTGGTAAGCCCGTATGTTGGGGGGTAACCCAGCTTACAATAGGAATGCCTAGTCGTGCACCTGTATATGAGAGTGAAGTCCATCCTCTGTTCCTTCATTCCATTTATTCATCCATTTATTGATAATGTAAGCCCGTGAGGCTAGTACAGAAGTAAAAATCAAGGTAAAAAAATAAAAATAAAACATTATGCGGGTTAACTGAAATAATATACAAGCTAAACGGTCGCCCAATAAGAAACGCCAACATTATGCCAAGAATAATCAACACATGGGTCAAGAGGTAGAAAAATATCATAAGATAATAATAAAAAATAATACATACTCGCTTTCATACACACAAAAAAATTACAGGAAAATCCATTGGTGGATTATTAGGGAAAGCGTTACCATGACACTTCGAAACGCCACACGCGTCCTCCTTGGGAAACGATAACGCTGAACCCTTCATTTCTTTCTTTTGGCTTTTTTATTGCTTCCCATATTTTTTGCTGCCTCCTTTTAGCCTTGTTACGGGGTCAGTGTTAGTATTTCCCGAAGGGAGACGTATGTGGCGTTTCCCAAGAGTCATGCTAACGGATTTCCTCAAAATCCACCAATGGATCATTTTTTCCCCCTCCCTTTCTGTACTCTGCCTGTCAGAGTTCGTCGACGCCCTTGGATATGGACATCCATACCACTCGTGATATTCGCATTCATAGTTTTAATTACACACACGCATCACAGTACACGCACCAATACCACGGAAACTTAGGGCGAAGAACAACCGGCGACGGGCAGAGTGGTGCAGAAAACCAGAGCCTTCGGGCTTACCATAAAAAAAGGGTCTACCCTACTCACGTCGTCGAGCAGGGATACCTGGACGATGTCTAGCGATCCGTAGACAATGTTTTCGAAGGGCCTGCACACGTAGTTGGTGAGCGTCAGGGCTACCAGCATAATGGCCAGGGTGGCGGTCATCAGGAGGCCGCAGATGGGGAACGAAAGCACGATGGCCCTGCAGCGTCACCCGCAATTATACGACGTGGGCGAGCAAAATCCGTCGCTGCGATCGGTTTCCACAATTGGCCAGACACTCACCATGACGTCCTTAACGTGATGAGCTTCGCTTTTATCGACGGAAATACGAGCACTGTGATGACTCCAAACTTCCATCGTGCATTCATATCCCACTTTAACTGAATTTGAGCCTGACCTCGGTCAGACTCAACTATGGCATTACACACACCACCAACGTTGCGGTTTGTCGGTGATGATAAGTAGCCAGGGTCACAGCTCGTGACGTCGCGACGAGGCAGTTTCTGGGGGGCTGTGTTGCACGTTTTGGACTCCCAGGAGACTAGGGAGAAGGAAAGGACGTAGGTGTGAATGAACGTATCTTAGCAGCACCACGCAACGCGTCATCAGCGACTCCACCAATCAACATCCAAAGAGCGTTGTCGACGTCACTTCCTTCTCCCTAGTCTCCTCGGAGTCCTAAACGTGCAACATAGCCCCCCTGGTTTTAACGTCACAGAGAAGAACCGGAAGCGGGCGCCACTGAAACATCTCGGCGCTAACAGTCGTTGAAAGAATGAGAACGCCAAGGCGTCTCGCTCGGATTCTTGGCCTCTTGCAACTCGGTCGTCGCCCTCCGCCGTGCTTGGACTGCGCGTGCACGCTCGTGGCTCGTGACACGCCGTTGTCAAAAAAAGGAAGAAGCTCACGCTGGAGGCGGGACACCATATTTGACCGTGCTGTTCACTGGGCTTGCTCAGAACAAGCTCACACTTATAGGCTCCCAAGAACAGCAATCTTGATGGTGTAAGATGCTATAGGAAGTATACACTGGACGCCATATTTGTGGGTACTGTTTAGAGCGCATGCTCAGAACGAGCTCACATCAATAGGCTGCTAATACCGGCACTCTTGATGGTGCGGAGTGCACGTTGCAAAAGAGCTGTGGAAGCTCGGCATCAGCACGCGCTCAGCATTCGCGCCCGCCAGTGAATACTCCCTATAGTTATAATCAATAATTTTTTTAGAGCGCTGCTCTTAGGCGCCCGTTTACGGGTTTCGCGGCGTCGGCGTTGCCTTCGGCGTCGGTGTAGCCGTCCCGCTAAATTTTGCGGGAAATTGAATTGCTGTTGATGTCACGTGACATCAATTTTCCTGCTAAATGTAGCGTGGAAAACCACGTCACATGACCTTAGTGTCACGTCACCCACGAACAAATTCAGTTTCTCCGCCAGATTTAGTGAGAAAACTGACGTCACGTCACCTCAACACCAATCTGAATTTTACGGAGGAGGAGGAGGGGCATACCCTCCCGTCCTCCTCCTCCTCAAGAGCTGCGCTCTAATTTCGCGTTACAGAGATTTGTAAACGTCTTTCATCCTCTTTCATCCTGTTGCACCTAAATACAATTGAAACAAACTGTGGATATTGTCACAAAACAAAAAATCGACGAGTGTAAAATTGTTACGAGCTTCGTCGTTCGCCGAGGCCCTTGTATTTGTTTACGTGTTTGGTGCTCTTTCGTGCTCTGTGTGCAAGCACGCTACGTTTCGCTTCACACGGGCAAGAACTCCGAGTCAGCCTCGCTTCGAATGTAATTCTCTATTAGAAGAGTATGCGGTGCAGGCGCGCACGAAAGGCGACTCACAGCAGCATGGCGAGCCCAGAGTAGTTGGAGGACCAGCTGCGCTTGGTGGGCGGCACGCCTTCGTCGTAGTAGAACATGCCCATGATGAAGCTCCCCGAGTAGAGCAACAGGAGCAGCGAGAAGCTGGCAATGATAGCCACCACATACAGCACGCTGCGATAAAAAGAAAATACATGCCTGACGCATTAAAAAAAACAAGAAAACTCCTATTTCAAAAAAAAAAAAAAATATCAATAGAAAAGGTTTGTGAGTTAACGTTTGTGTAGAACACGAAACAAGAAATCACGGCGAACGATTCTGGGGTCCAGTCGAATGTCAACGTTCAGAATACGATTTGACGAAACGTCAATGGCTTGACGTTTCACTTGCTCATCGTTCCTGCGCACATTGTCCCTGCGCACATCGTGCTCTGCGCATATTGAGTTCTGCCAAAAAACAACCTCGCAAACGTTTTTTTTTAAATATTTTTAGAGCTTTTATTGTTGAGGCGTGCTATCATTCTACCTTGAGTAACAATAGTGCGTATTTCAGTACAAAAAAGCAAATGTGAACAACTAAAGTACAAAACAATAATTTCTTGGACGCGTCTAATTGGGGTTGGTGATAGCTTTGAGCCAGATTTGTTTTTCACGAAAGGAAAAGCCTCGTGTCCTTTTAACGATTCATTGCTCGAACAGAGCTATTGCGTGGTAAGGTAAAACCTTTCATAATACCATTAAAACAAGAAAAAAAAAAAAAAACTCGCCCCTTTGCCGTACTAGCGTGGCAAAGGCAGTGTTATATACACAAAATGTAATTATATAGTGTGGAGAAACTGTGTACACATGTGTAGACTGACTGGCGCGAAGCGGTTCTGTGTCGTGCGAGGCAAGCGCGTGAGGGCTCCGTGGATGTCGTGCGGGTGCCATCTTCCGCGGTTGCAGCGTAAATGCGACTTTCTCGGAGCTTGTTGGAGTGTGAGACGCACGAGAAAAAGCGTGGAGGCAAAGCCAACACAACCTAGAATAATCAAAGCCTGGAATTTTGACATCATCACAGCGAAATCGAACGAAGGCACACATTTGACACGATTGCTGCGTTTGACTGTTCGTCATGTCCAATCAACGCTCCGAGTGACACTCGGCATCGGGTTCGGGACCAATCGCTGGGTTGGCGCCATACCCCCTGTGATGACATACGTTCCACAGAGGAAGAGGCTAATGTCCACAGGCCTTTATTATTCTAGATGGTGTTGGCAGAGTACCCGGACAGGCTGGCACCTAACCGGATAAGCTTAGGTGCCAACCGTGTAACAGATTCCGCGTAAAAAAAAAAAAAACAGCGCCGTGACGATGCACATTTGGCGTTGCCTGATTGGCTACCTGATTGTAGCGTCGAGCTGCGACGGGACTTTAAGTGAAACAGAGTATAGTATGCTCCGAAACATCGCAAATCCCATATTACGTGTTTTTCAGTCACTCACGAGCAACACCACTCAGTGCCAGCGCAGTGTATGTTCGGCACACGAAAAGAGTGACATGCTATGGCCACGACGTAGTATCGTGCAACGTATACCCTAAGATACACTATTGGGAACGTGGACCCAGGCAAATATGCAAATTTACGAAGTACAACGAAAGAACCAAAGGCCCTGTTGTGTGATTAGGTGTTTTTGTTTCTAGTCAGCTGTGAGTAGGTGGTTTTTGTGGTAACCTAATCAGGGGGGATAACAAATTGTCTTATTTTATAGCAATATTTCTTCGACCTTTATATAGGCCTTTATTCGACCTTTATATTCTTTATACCCTTTATATAGGCCTTTATATAGGCCTTTATTCGACCTTTATATTCTTTGTTTAAAGTTCTCCCTGTACGACTCCAAACCAGGGGGCGCTGCAAACACGGATGCGGGTCACTGACCTGGAAGACTGCAACGTCTCGAGAATGCCCAGGCGATCGGCTTTCTTGATTGATTCAGGAAGGAAATGGAAGCCTTTGATGGTCTGTAAGTATTTGGCACCGGCGCGCGATTATTTTTATCTAGCATTTTATTGCCCAATCCGCACATTAACAAATTGATACACTGATAATTGTTACGTGCTTCCTGGTTGACTCTGCCGTTTTCCGAAAATTGTACACTGATTCTATACTCTAAAATGTGTGCACAAAAAAAAAAAAAAAAAAAAAAAACACGAAGCGTTGTTTTAAAAGCTGTGTACCTGTTCGTATAGAACAGTAAACGATAGCCTAGTTTTAATTCTTTGTTTCGAGGGTTTGAGTTCAGGATAGGAATAGTTCAAGATGGGGCATCGTGAGCAATATTTCAAGATGGGGCATCGTGAGCAATAGTTCAAGATGGGCTTCGTGAGCAACAGTACATTGGCTGCTGATTGGTAATATAGGTATCATGATTTGAGTAAAAAGACAATGAATTGAGTCATCGATGTTTAGCAAACTTTAACCCCCCCCCCCCCCCAAAAAAAAAAAAAAAAAAATCCTGGCTACGTTATTGCATGCAGTAGCTAGCACTTTTATGTTATGTTCACTCGTTAATGTTTCTTGCTTCGCGACTTTTTATTTTGGCGTCTTGTCGGCTGATAGCACAATTTCATGGGTAGGAAACGATAGCCATATATTGAGTCACTCAGTATACCTCTTCCTAATACTTATAACGAAGGCTAGAAATGCTGAGTCACTGAGCTATGGGCGCATGTGAAGCGTCAGATATTTCGTAGAGAGAGCTAAGACACATTATCAAGGCGTGTTTCACAGCCCAGGCGACAAAAATGGCGGCTCTCAGAAGGTGATTATTAGACACGCCTCCGGGCGCATCACTTTGGCTAAGCTTTATCTTACCTTGTTGGCGTCCTCTAGCACGGCGTTCGTGAAATCCAACAAGAGCGTGGACGTAGAAACGGCAAGGCTCCGGGCTTCTTGAATTAAAAACAAAACAAAAACAAAACAAAACTCGGCATTTTGTTAAAGTAACAGCAATCAACGATAGTATCTGCTACGCTGAACGTAATGTGATTCGATTACAATACGGCGTACGAAAGAATATTCGTTTGCGATGGCGTTATCTTCTATTGGGGAACACTCAAAAACGATAGGAGAAGGAATGTTTCACTCGATAAATTCAAAATTGAAGTGTTTTCAGAAGGAAGGAAATGTTCTGTATACACCTCCCCAGTAACATTATTAAGACGATTCCCATGTATGAATAAGAAGAGAAACAAAAAGAAAATAGAGAGAAAGAGGGAAATACCAAAATAGAGAGAGAGAGAGAGAGAGAGAGAGAGAGAGACGCGACACTTCCCAGCACTTTCATCATCCTAACATGCCGCGGGAGAATTTATAAATCATAATAATAATAATAATAATCTTTATTTCCATTTAAAGAAATGGTGGAGCGAAAGGGAAAAAGCTTCAACAAGAAGCTTGACTGGCCCTCAGCCCCATCAGCAGCCAGTGAACAAACAGTTTTCGTGCAATGAGAAGAAAAAAAAAGTGAAAGCCGTTTACAACTCCCTGTAATGCCGGATTGGAGCGCAGCTCTTGAGGAGGAGGAGGGAAAGGAACTGAGGGGAGGGTAGACCCTTCCTCCTCCTTCTCCTCCTCTTCCCCTCATTCTTCAATATGCTCAGGGGGGTCACCTGACCTCGGGGGGAGGGGGTCACGTGACCTCGGGGGGGGGGGGGGTGTCGCGTGACTTCGGGGGTGGAGGGGGGTCACGTGACCTCGGGGAGGGGGGGCCACGTGACCTCGGGGGCTCACGTGACCTTGGGGGGGTCGCGTGACCTGGGGGTCACGTGGGGGTCACCTGGGGGGTCACGCGACCTTGGGGTGACCTTGGGAGGGGTCACGTGACCTTGGGTGATTTTGGGGGGGGGGGGGTCACGTGACCTTGGGGCGACCTTGGTTGCGCCGACGGCGACGCCGCTCAAGCCGGAAGCGGGCGCCTAAGAGCTGCGCTCTAAAAAAGAAAACCACAGAAAATTATACATTATCAAATGGGATAACAGAAACAAGACACAGAACACGTATATTTGTAAAAATATATTACGCAACTCTTTAGGCGATATCTTTTCTATATATCTATTTTCTTCTTCAAAGTTGTTTAGAAGCTTTGGAATTAAATACCGAAGCATTTGCTGCCCATAATTTGACCTGCATGTGGGAACCTTCCAATATTCATTACGGCGGGTCAAGTAAACCGTATTATTTTTTTTTTCTAATCTAACTATCTCGTTTAAAAGAACGCCGTTAAATGTGAAAGGGGCCGTGCAACGATATTGGGTAGGAATGGTCTTACTTAACACGAGCTTACTGTCACCAGCAGGACTCAAGTATACTCGCACGCACCGCCACTGAGTGGCACTGACCAAGAAGCTTCTTTTGTCGCCGCGTTCTTTCAAGGATAAAAGCGGCCGTTTTCTTTCAGCCTGTCCTTCGCAAAGCTCAGACCCCGAAGTTGTGGGACTCGGATTGTTGGCGTGGTCAACAATGCGATCCCCAGAAATGCGTCATCAAGCTTCGCGATCCCCGTGGTGACGATCTTTAAATGCAGCTCATACGGTGAACCCGAACATTGTGTGAGCATTCCGTTTGAGCTCGTGTACCAATCAGTGCCTCGATGCGCATTCGGGTAGCGGCTCGTGCCCAAACACTGGGATGACGGGCAAAAGCCAAACTCTCAGCCATGTGTTCAACTCGGCGTGTGCCCCGCGTCTTAGCGACCCCAGCACTGGGCTATGATAAACATGAGCGGCATATAATCGTCTCCAGATTACGTGGTCGCTTATTCTGGCTGCCAGTTGATGGGCTAAACGCTGCTCGTTTTTCTCGATTTTGTTTTTTTCCCGCGACCATCATTGCTTGGGGGAAAACGAAACAAAAACAAACGCGTGTTTTATGGGTTACGAATATCAAGAACTTATTAATTCTAACAGGTATTTATAGAAAGTACAAAAATATCACCCCTTTAAGTAAGTTTCAATTCCGGACTTTCAAAAAGTGGGCGTGGCGTCACTAATATTTATTTCAACATGTAGGAAATACGAACGCTACACTGACACACGATATGCTTACCAAAAAATGTGTCGTTGTACTCGCTGTATATTCTTTGAGCCAAATAGTTTGCCATATATTCTTGAACCTAAAAAAAAATATGTGTAAAAAACAACTAAATTTTGGTTCATTGCGTGCTAGCAAAGCCATCGAGTTCAGAAGCTTTCGTCTGCACTTACGACTGGCTTTGCGAGCGGGCCTTGAACGCTTCGTTCTTCGGAAGTTTTGTTCTCCACCTGCGGTAGCTTCATAAAGATCGGTTATAGCATTTGTAAGAGGCTAGAAGAAAATAAGTTAAATCTTCGATAGGTATTTTAGTCGAGGTTGTTATTAGGAATATATGGCCAAACTGGAACCGTGTACTTTATATGACATAGGCTCTCCTTGAGATGTTACATTTTTACATATCACGGTTCCATTGACAGTTCTACGTTCCTTGCTTCCATTAACTTCGTCACCCTTGTTAGCACAAGTTCTAGAAGTTTTTCCCATACCTCTATTGCGACTTTTCGCCGGTTTCGCGAATCCACTATGTTATTGACAAACAATTTACTAACATTGATAATATAGTAAGGGTGCAGGCGAGCTGGTGATTGTTAACCAGGTGGAATAACCTGAGACTGGGCAGAAGCGAACAAATAAGTCGAAGGAACAGAAAAGGACAAGACGACGTCTCAGAGAGAAGGAGAGTGTTCCTTCGACTTATATGTTCACTTCTGCCCCAGTCTCAGGTTTTTCAACATGGTTTGCTAACAATATTTTTATTATTATTTTTTTTTAAGGCGACAGCTTTACGGGGGCGCTTTGCAGAGATGTCGACCTCGTCCGCTGTCGACGCCGCGCGCGCGCGGAAGGGAATCTTTTTTTTCTTCTCTTCGCACGAGGCCGGGAAGGCGGGCGTTCCCGTCGGCCGCGTAGCGCGGAGAGAGAAGAGAGTGGAGCACTGGCATCCCGCCAGTAACGACGCGACGAAGGGAGAGGCTTCCTGTTGTCTGCTTGAAAGACTTGTTTTCAAACATTCCTCGCGCTGGCGAAATCCCACTTTGGCAGTGGTAATGTTGGATGGCTTTAGAAACTTCCAACGCGCTTTCCCACTTACCTCACGGATCACCGAGCACCGGTGGCAGTCGTCAGTGGCGTCCACGACGCCAACCACGACGGCTATGAGAAGTAACCACGTCGCACCTCCGTCCTCAGGTACGTGTCGGAACCATTCCACTCGCATTCCGCGACCGTGCTACATCTATCGCTTTTGTTTCTTCGCACATTGTGGGCGAAAAAATACGACTCTTTTGTTTTCTTTCTAGAACTGTGCTTTAGAGATTAGAATTTATGGATCTTGTTTAATGATTTGTATATGTACGCGCCTAGGCTCTAAAGGGAAGGCCTGCAAGCCGTTAGGAAGCAAAACAAGAATTAAAAAAATATGGTTAATGAATTGATTGATTAATCATCGTCTTCTATTATATTTAAGTGAAATACAGTATATAATAGACCAATCAAAAACCCCTAGATCTAGATGTTAGAACTCCGCTAGGTAGCTGATGTGGTTATCCAGGGGCAACGCTTTGCCACGTACATGTGTTGAGCCCACTATAAAATGCACGCAATCGCGGTACTACACAATTTCAGTCCAAACGGCCTTCCAAATTTCCAAAGATTTGGTAGATGTCGAAAACACGAAGAGGTTGTTGCACGGGGACAAAGTTATTTTCTTGAAACCTCATAATTGGGATAGACACGTGAAATATAGCTTCTGAAAAGTTCTACTCGGAATAGTTAAGAAACCAATAATTTTTTTTTTTTTTAATCTGAAGAACAATCAAAGAATATTCGCTATTTTTATATTTTTGATACAGCCCCGTACCAAAGTAGAGGCCCACATGATGGAAGAGAATTAAGCTAAAATTTAAAGAAAAGAGATAGCTGAAGAATGTGCTTATGTTCAATAAAATAACGCATCACATATAAGCCTGTAGCTTTCCATTCTGAACAGCGCCTCTGGTGAGCCAAATTGTATATTTATCGGTCGCGTTTCGGTGTATCGTCATTGCACGTTTTTTACGTTGCTCAAGGACGATAAGCTGGCAGAATTTCATTGGTGGACAGACATTTTAAGACAAAATATAACAAGAACAAAAAAAAAGTTAGTTACAACAAAAACACTCGTATCGTTTTGATGAGACAGTGCAAGTTGCATTTTTATTTCGTTATTTCACGTTCTTTCAGACGCTCCGTTACTGCTTGTGAACACATGCTGACGCACGTACGTAAACAACCGTGGCTCGTGTATGATCGAACGCTACAATGGCACTTAATGCTCGATGTAAGCATAAAGGCCGGTTCAGACACTTGCGTTTGAGTGCGTTTGACTGCGTTGCGTCGAGAGCCGAAAGCGAGTCACCGGCACATCTGTGCTTCGTATGAAGCGTGGAATCCAATCCAAGGAATCACCTTGGCACGCGATATAAGCAGCAGGGATGTCCTGGTTTCTCGCTGCCGCAACGCAGTCAAACGCAGTCAAACGCTACTGTCTGAACCAGCCTTTACACGATCGCGTTGCGTTTGAGAGCGTTTGAGTGCGTTTGACTGCGTTGCGTGAAAAAATGAGAGCGAGCCACCGGCACATCTGTGCTTCGTATGAATCGTAGAATTCAATACAAGGAACAGCTTGGCACGCGTCATTAGAAGCAGGGATGTCCTGGGCCGGCTTGCTAGATGCAGCGCCTCGAATGAGACGGTCTTATCTTAGACGAAGAAAGCACTGCCAAGCCTGGGGCGCGCCCGCGTTTGAGACTCGACTTCACGTGCCACTCCGCTCGCACGTTAGCTTTAGCAGCGCTTTTTTCGTCTCAGATAAGACAGTCTTATTTGAGACGCCGGTTTTAGCAAGCCAGCCCTGGTTTCTCGCAGCTGCAACGCACTCAAACGCAACTGTGCATCGCGTCGCCTGGCCAACAGCGACGAGCCTATAATAACACCGGGTGGGTGACGTCGGCACATACCGAACTCTCTTGAACTTGAAACTGGATCTCTAAAAAAATTGAAATAGACATAACTTCAATTGTAAATACTGACAAAAAGAAACCTAAACATTTTAAAACCCCCCCCCCCCCCCCCCCCCCAGAAAAAAAAAAAATCCACATGAAGCAAACTTTATGTGGATTCTGTTTCTAAAGTTACTATAGACCTTTCGAATAATCGCATTCTGCGTGCTGCCGCCATCTTTGTCTGCTGGGCTGTGGAAAGCGTTCTACGCGTGCGCGGTAGCTCTTTTTCACGAAACGTGAGACGCCGCGCTCACATCCACAGTCCACTGACTCAGCAGTTTTCGCCCAGACGCTGGAAAGGTCTGAAGTCACTGAGGGCTTAAAGGAATACTACAACGAAATTTCGGCGCTCATTTTTTGGTTCATATGTGTTCAAAGGAGCAGCATCACATCGAACACACCAATACCTTGTTCGAAAAGTCACGAAAAGGAACTTTAAAACGAATTAAACGATTAGCAAAGAGAACCTGGTGGACGTCGCTAACGCCCCGCTTGTAGTGCCCGTCTAGGAACCTTGACAGCCAGTGACGGAGGTTGCAAGTATGTCGCAGAAGTCGCTATTGTCCCTCTACAAGATTACAGAAGATTAACCCGTCACTCGAAATCCATACAAAAGCAGCCGCTTCGGTGGCTGGAACGACTAGGCCATCCTCTCGACGTCAGCCTCGCCGTAGCTTCGCTTGTCCCGAGACGACCTACGTCACGAGCGCTTGCCAGAGTGGGCCGTTTATAACGAAAAATACAGCCACCAGGCTCAAAATACAAACGTGCGATTGTCATTTGCGGATATTGTGGATCATATTCAACCTATTTTTGAACGCGACGGGAATATTTCAAATTTCGTTGAAGTATCCCTTTAAGAAACAAAGGGCATGGCCAATCCCGAACATCAATTCTTATTATCGTTCGTCAGCACATACGATCGTGGCATTCGCATTTAAAAACGCCAATGAACGAATCACGAAGAAAGATGCGGGACCTAATATGTTCTTTAAGCTATAGCTGTCAGCGAGTACAGGCACAAGCTGCGACGGAAAATCACCGCCTCAAATTGATCGAAATACTGGGCGTCATTACATCTTCTCGAGCGTCCCTCATATGTACGAAAGCGGCACCACTTACCGAAATTCGCCTCGAGTCCCAAATGTTCGGCGGAGTTCTCGGTCGCTACTTTGATGCGAGGGAGCACGAAGGCGACGTATTCGTCCATGAACCCTGCGTTAAAGTGTCCGCGCGAGAAATTACTCGAGAAACGGCCATGGAACGGCAGTAACAAACAGCTCAAGAAACGTTGGGCGTAGCGAGTCTCCAGCATCTAATTATCCCGTCACGGCCAATGAGACTGGGGCACCGCCCGATAATAATGCCGAAGAACCAATCGCGGAGCGAGAGCCTTTTTCTGTGGGTGCGTTTTCAGCTTCTATACTTCGTTTCAGCTTCGGTCCGAGCGTGGCCGATGTTATGAGCCAAAGGGCCAATCAAACAGCGAAGGAGGCACAACGTCATGGCGTGCTCTCTGCAGTGCTCCTCCGCCGGCTAGTCCTATCAAGCGCAGAGAGCACGCCATGACGTTGCGCTCTTTACGCTGTTTGATTGGCCCTTTGGCTCATAACATCGGCCGCGCTCGGACCGAAGCTGAAACGAAGTATAGTTCACCCAACCGCATAAAATGTGCCTTGACGTTGAAACTTCAGTCCGCCATTGTGCAGGGATTCTATAGCTGCCAACAGAGCGCAGCCTTTCGAAGGGGGTCTAATGGTGAATTCCGCTCGCAGATCTCGAGCGCTCCAAAAGCGCTCCATTTGGAGCGCGCATATTCCGCTCGCAGATCTGGCTCGAGTTGGTCATCTTCCGCTCGTAGATCTCTGGCAGCGCCCGCTCCACGGAGCGCCCCAAACTCCGCCGAACTTGCTCTGCGGTGTTTCACAGATCTCTCCGGAACTTGACAGAGCGGCGCACGTGATTTCCGTCTAAATCGGCGGTGCGCATGCGCGGCGAGGTTGGAGAGATCGGCGGGCCGGTCGGGTCGTGGTGGGTCGTGGAGTTGGATCTGTTCGGGTGCGTCGGTTGTTTACTCTGGATTGTGACGGCTCCAACGCTTCTACTTCGCGTAGACCAGGAATAAAAAGCCGGGATTGTGGAGCGTGGCAAATCGTAAGCGCTGACTCTGCGATCGCGAGAGGAAGAACGACAGAAAAGCCGGAGGCAGACGCAAGGTTAGGCCTATTCATTCTGCAGCCAGTGATTGTTTACCCTTTTGCACTGCATTCCGTCGGCGTTTTCCCGTGAAATAAAGCAAGAAGTGGTTAGGCAACGACCGCGCAAGTGATGGTTTGTTACCTCTGTGTTTATTAAAGTCGTAGTACAAATCTGAACTCCACCGCTTGCAATCGCTGTCCGTGCCCCGCCGCTTCGAGGCGGCCCAAAAGTATGTGACGGTGCCGAACGCGGACGTCTTCGTTATTTGTGACATGGGCGCCGTGGTACGTATAATTTCGCCCGGTCTGCGTCGCGTGTTACTTCTGCAGCTAAGCAGTGACAGTCGTCACTGGTCGTCGGAGAGATCAGCCGGCTGAGGCGTTGGTGGGGCTGGTGAAGTTCGAGCAGCGGCCATTTTGTACGGCGGAGGGAGAAGGGGTGGGAAGGGGTGTGGGGGAGTTCGCTCTAAAAATGCAAGTTTATCTTCCCTTCGTCGGTTCGGAGCGGGTCCCACGGAGCGGAATTTTGCCTCCCTCGCGGATTATGGAAAGCGCTCCAGATCTACGAGTGGAATTCACCATTAGTTATGGACGATTTCTGAACGCGCCCATTGCGGAAGGATATTTCGAAAGCTACGTACTATCAGGACCAAGTACGGTGTGAAGTTGGTCCAATAGGTTCTTCAATTCACCGTTTCGTCTTTTGGTGTTCTGCTCGAGAGATGGAAAAGAAAATGTTTTAGCGACACGTGGATGTTGGGCATGCGAAAAAGTATGCTCTTAAGCCTCGTTGCCACTGCTAATACACCATACAAAAGACAGTCTGCTGACACCGTCTGATTCGCGTTTCTTCCTTGTATTACGGTCGCATTGGTCTTACAAAATCTGTCTGCGGACAGGATTAAGGCATACATACATACGTATGAAGGAAACATGTTTCGATCTTGTTTGATGCGTGGCCGCAGATTCTCCTGTCCCCATGTCTGCGGGGAACACCGTCTCTTTTGTGTGGTGTATGAGCGTCTAGCACTTCCCCTCGTTCCTCCTTCCCCACCCGTTAACCAATCAGTGTCGAGCCTCGCGGCCACGCTTTTATCCGGGCTTCACGAAATACCGAACACCTAGCCAAAGAACGTTGCACGTTAACAAAAATCAAGGGGACTTTATTTATACTTCTTGCAATTCGGCACTTCAGAAACCTGACAAGAAGATTTTGTTCAGTTGTGTCACTGACAGTCTGAGAAATGCAGGGCGTCCTCGTGATCTTCGCGCATCTTGCTTTATGATTCGTTATTCAGGGCTCGCCTGATACCGCGATGTCATTGGCTGCGGAGAGATAACAAGACGCCGTGCATTTTAAACTCACGGTGACCAGTGGGTCTTTATTTTTAACTTTTTATTTCCGGCAAGGAAATAATAAGCCGATGTCTACATGCGCAGCTATCGACCCAATCGCACTCACGCACAAAGTCTCAGTAATAAAAGAGCTACATAAACTATGCGTACTGCATCGTGGTGTGTTAACCATTTCCAGAAGTTCGGCGCAGTAAACTTGTTTTCATAAGTGTCGAAAAAAACTGGAAACCCTTCGTCAGTTTGTATAGGCCCGCACCTGGGAAGCGTTCTGGATGTAGAGTTCAACTTCTTGGAGATGGGTGACGAAGCCAAGCTCTCCGACGCCGACCGACTGGCCGAGCTCGAACAGGCTGGACAGCATAAGCAGCGTTCCTAGCCTGCAGGTACGCCTCGACTGACTTCAGATAGACGCGATGTAAGAATTCGTGGGTAGAAGGCTACCCCAACAAGCAACGTGCACGCTCTATGTTATGGACCGTTCACCCTGTTGGGATGTGACTTCAGTTGGGATCAGCGGTGTACTAAAGCATAAAATGCTTTTTAATGCTGCCCCCCAATTCCAAAAGCTTTGTACGTCCGTCCGTCCGTCCGTTCGTCCGCGCATTTCCCGCTAAATTTAGCGGGGAAATTGATGTCACGTGACTTATACGCGAATTCAGTTTCCCCGCGAAAATATAGCGGGAAATTTGATGTCACACGACCAATACACTAATCCAGTTTCCCCGCTAGGTTTAATGTCACGTGACATGACGCCACGCAGCCTACAGACCAATTCAGTTTCCCCTCTAAATTTAGCGGAAAAATGGACGTCACATGACCTATACACCAATTCAATTTCCCGGATAAATTTGGCGGGAAAATTGGTGTCACGCTACCCGACGTCACGTGACCTTTATATCAATTTAATTAACCCGCTAAATTTGGCGGGAAACTTGGTGTCACGTGACCTGACGTGACAGCTGACCTATACATCAATTCAGTTTCGCGCTAAATTTGGCGGGGAAATTGATGTCAAGTAACCTGACGTCACTTAAAACCACTGTGGTTTCCCCGCTAAATTTAGCGGAAAATGGACGTGACATGACCTATACACCAATTCAATTTCCCGACTAAATTTGGCGGGAAAATTGGTGTCAAGCGACCTGACGTCACGTGACCTACATATCAATTTAATTTCTCCGATAAATTTGGCGGGAAAATTAGTGTCACGTGACCTGACGTGACAGCTGACCTATACATCAATTCAGTTTCGCATTAAATTTGGCGGGGAAATTGATGTCAAGCAACCTGACGTCACTTAAAACCGCTGTAGTTTCCCGCTAAATTTAGTAAGAAACTTGACGTCACCTGACACGACGTAATGTTGCCTATACTATACAGGATTGTATATAATCTTCTAAACAAATTAAAATGATTACTTCTTAAGCAGTGCATTTTATGCATCACATAACTTTGAAGGGAAAGGTCGCAGCATTTCTATTGTTTTTATGACGACAGTATTTATTAGGGGAGGTTTTGAAGCCGAACTCTGGGTGTGTTTCCTGCGGGGCCATTGCGGCTGATGTCACATGACATTACATCATGTGACACCTTGACGTGACACACATCGAGCTCCCGCTCGCCGGCCAATGAAGGGCGCACGTTCTGCGCTACGCTGCGCTACGCTGCGCTACGCTGCGCTACGCTGCGTTCCGCTGCACTACGCTGCGTTCCGCTGCGCTACGCTGCGTTCGCTGCACTCAACGTCAGAGTATAACAGAGCCTTGACAGTGCGTAGTCTGTGAGCAGCACTGTTGGCAGCGCTTCGGCCGCTGCGACAGTTCATTTGTAAGACATGGCCCAGAAATTGAACCACTATTTTCGTGCGACCCTGATTTGCGGGGGCTAAAGGCCTTTCTTCTTTGATACCTTGTTGATTTAAAGGCGTAAAGGTGAACAGGACAACAGGGTTGATTTCAAAACGACCGAGGCCATTCACAACTACCGATAGGCAACATTATGTCACGACACCGTAGAAGTTTTAAGGATCGCGAGATTCGCGGCGTCTGTTCGGTGTCCCATCGAGGCAATCAAAAATCCATAATTGCGTTACCTGGCCTATGCACGTCTCGAAGCATAATCGTTTGGGAGAAAAAAGAATCGTGTTTTTTGACTGCAAATATAAAATCGCAATCCCCGAAGGCTTAGTCTTCGCCAAAATGTATACTATACAGTGATTAGGACAAGACGCCAAAGTTTCTGATCGCGCCGTTATGAAACTCAAAGTTTTTTTAATGCGATTTACGGAAAGGTTCAATGAGAAAATGATGCCCGTTTTCGGTAGCAGACTCCATTCACCTCCATGTATTCGTGGACCTTGTTGACCGCCATTTTCCCATTGAAAATTTTCGAAAATCAGTTATTACTTTTGAGTCAAACAATGGTAAGTTCTGAAACTGGGAATGGCAAGTTCTGAAACGTTCCGACGCGCCCGTCGAGTGCATTGGAGACAATGGCAGCTTTTGTTTCCACTGCACTGTTTGAACGTTTTACAACGTGGAACGCCGGCGTCCGGCGTTTAGCTTTTCCATTCGAACGCATTTGACGAGCGCAGTGGGGACAAAGGCAGCTAGCTAGCTTTGCGTGTACCCACAAGCTAGCTTTGCGTGTACCCGCGTCTCTTGTCTTTTCAGTTTCTCGGCGTGCACCTGGTGAGATCGGTCATAGTCTCCTATGTACGGACAAAGCCTGGCAGATCGCCACTAGAAGCGGCAGCCGAAATGGAAAAGCTGGAGCTGCAGAGAACGGATGAGAGGAGAGCCACGTGAGTGGCGCCCCGGTGCGGCGAGACGCCGAAATTCACTTCTCCCGAGCGAACAAGTGTGTTTCGGGTCCTCGCCGCTGCAAAAGCTGTGCGCTGACGTCCATTTTTCCCGAGAAATGTCTCTTTAATGCTCTGTGCTACCAGATCCTCGCGCTCCAAATCAGCGACCAGGCACTCTATGGCTCCGTCGTCGAACTGCCAGGCTTTGTGAGTATAGAGGAGGCTATGGATCGGTCTATTCAGTTCCGATGCGTCGGTCGTTCCGCTGTCCACGCATGTGGCGCTCGACTAGACAAGTAAGCAGAGCGTCTCACAGTATGGCGGCGAGCACCATGATGAAGACGAGTGTGTAGACCTGCAGGATGCAACGCATGTTCTGGTTGAGGTCCTGCGTGAGGTCCCCTCCGCAGTAGTCCGACCGCCGTGCCAACACGTAGGCCACGCTGCCCATGAACCCCAGGACTGCGTACACCACGCAGATCAGGCTGACGAGAAACAGGTGGGGCTCGTGCTGCAAGTACTGATCCACATTTCGACTCCTATAAGTCCGAGTCACAGGACGTCGTGGAATAACTACACGGTGCCACACTGTTGACGCCAACACGACTTTGGCGCTTTTCGGCCTTTTTCTTCGAAAGAGCACCGGAGGGGAAAAAAAATCTACCACTCAGGTAAGTGCTCTCATCTGAGCACTTTCCATCACTATTGTAGTTCTGATAAGAATCCTTCAACAATAGTAATAACAAAAAAAAAAAAAAAAAAAAAAAACGAAAATTGACGATGTCTTGTTCGCGTTAACAGTGTCGCGGAGAGTATACTACATGTATACGGTATACATACACACTGTTACGTATGAATAAATTGGCTTCTACCAGCGGCCACCAGTCTACGCGACTGGTGGCCGCTGAAAAAGTCCGCCTGGTCCGCGGATTCGATCCCGGGACCTCCCTTAAGGCTAGCGGAGCGGTGCTCCATTTCAGGTGCAAGCCAATTCATTCTTGCATAAATCTTCTCCACCTTGGTGGCTTCCCCTTATAACTCATATCAAATACACACTGGTAGCACGAACGAGCGATGGTGATATTATTTTTTTTTAATGTTTTCTCTCGCCGTTTAAATGCTCTAATCAAAACTATATACTGCTACGGAAAGGGCTCGTTTGGACACTATGTCAATCAATACAAATTAGAGCCGTGAGATACCCTGAAAAATTCGAGAAATAGCCAATGTCGTGTTTCGGTCATCAGTGTTGTGCCGTGTTGATCTGTGTCATAAGTTATCTATCTTAAAAGTGGTGTCGGTCATGAACTTGAGAGCAATTACGCAAGAAATAAGAGCAATGAAATGCATTACAGTCGCAGCGAAGTTAATAGCTTGTAACTAAATGGTACACAAGAAAAAAATGAAAGCCGTTTACAATTCCTTGTAATCAATTCCTTGATTAGAGCGCAGCTCTTGAGGAGGAGGATGGAAGCGCACTGAGGGATAAGTGACTCCTTGAGGTCACGTGACCTCGGGAGAGAGAGAAAGAGAGAGGGGGGGGGGTAAGGGGGGGGTCACGTGACTTCGCGGTTATGCCGACGCCGCTCAAGCCGGAAACGGGCCCCTAAGAGCTGCGCTCTAAAAACACCTTTTAAAATTACGCCAGGAATTTACAAGTATGTTCAAGAACGTCAATTCAACACCTGTTTGGAGGATAGTACACAATCCGTATTACCGGTGATCATGTTAGCGGTAACTAAGGTTTATTTCGGTTCGGTACGTGTTACCAGTAATCATATTGGTAAGAATAAAAAAAAGAAAGTAATCAAGGGTGCTTTTCAAAGTCATATAGTGTTTAGCACGTCTTAATTTCATTAAAAAATGATAACTTTTTCATCATGGTTACAGGCTTACAGCTAGAAAAAATCCGTGTATTCGAGTCAATTTTTATGGAGAGGTCAAGAGATTGTAAAAATAAATCACTAAAATATGTTTTATTACAGTGCGCAAAAAATGCCGTATAGTCTTGGCGGTGGAATGATGATAAGAATTGCAAGACTAATAACAATATTAGCACTATTAATACACTGTGGAATAACTAAATTCCAGTCACCTGCTAATTCTCCCGTTGAAAAGTGATCGTGTTTGAATTCTTTTGTATTGTAAGCTTACCAAATCCAGGCTTTCGATCATGTCAAGCCCACCTTGAAATTTCCTGAGGAAAGCTGAAAACGGAGAATAAAACAAATAGCTTCACACTGTTGTATCCGGTTAATATACTACTGTTCACAATAATAAACCCTTAGTTCAGGAGTGTCGAAATTTAAGCGTTTGAGGGGTGGGTGGGGGGGGGGGGGGGGAGGGAGGGGGGATTGCAAGTTGTCTACTTTACGTTCCAAAGGGCTGCCCAAGTATGAAAAACTATATTCCTAACGAGCGTGTTGGTAAGATGTACTAGATAACAGAAAGTATAAAACAGAGAGAGGACGAAACACAGACGAGTATATTCTTTCAACTCACAACAAAGTTTATTCCATGGAGTGCAAACGCACGTTCCCCTGCGCAGACTTAGGGAAAGGGGGAAAGGGCAGAGGCAGAGGGGGGAAGTAAGAGGAAGGAAGGGCGGGTGGGAGAGGCGGCTGGGTGCGTGGACCCGTTGGGGTCGGGCCGCTCACCGAGGTCGTCTAATCACCCCGGACAGCTCTTGGCTCAGATAATCTATCTCTCTATCAGAGAGGCCTAGCGAGGGGGAAGAGACATTAGAGAGTTTTAGTAGATCGTTTTCAAAGGCACGCTACTGCTGCGGGCGCGCGCTTCACAGCATGCATCAAGGTGGCAGCGCGAGCTCCCGCTACTAATAGCGTGGCCTGAAAACACGATCTACTAAAACTCTCTATTGACTCCGGAGTTTTTTATCACAAAAGATTCGATAACTTCCCCGCCGAATCTCTAAAAATGGCACCCGAGCACGCGCGTTTTTTTTTTTTTTGAACCTTGGCTCACATCTTCTGCATGTGCGGCGATGTGCTGCAATCGGGTGCACCGTTTCCTCGCTGGGATCGGCGATCTCTCGGAAGTGCTCCCTCAGGGAGTCGTTTAGGCACCGGCATGTTTGCCCGATATATTCTCCCCCGCAAGAGAAAGGAATGGAATAGATTCTTTCTCTCCGGCAAGAGACGAACTGCTTTTCATGTTTTTTTGGGACAGGGATTTGGAGGGGAAGGATTATTGACCTGACGGCACATCTACTTCAGTTTGAATTTGCACTTGAAGACGACTCCTACGTCGAAACGTGAGGCGAGCGCCTTGAGGCGATGTGAAGTGCTGTGCGTGTACGGAATGACGGCGAATTGTTTTCAGCGGCGTCAGGGTGTAGAGGGAGGTGTGTTGGGAGGAGGTAACAAGCCTCTTTAGAGTATTTGTCAGAAGGACTTCTAGATATCCGGCTTTCCGCAATCTATCTATTAGGAGGATAACGCTGTTTGTGCCTAGATGAGGGCAGGACCTAGATTGCGCAGTCTTCAGGAGGGACTTAACCAGGCCTAGCTTGTCTGTTTTTGAGTGGGCGCTGGTGAAGGGGAGAACTGGTTTTTCTGATCTTTGTTTGAATTCCCAGCACAACACCCCGGGTCGGAGACTAAGTTGTAGTTCTAAAAATTGAAGGGTACCTCCTACCGGGTCCTCTCTTTTGAACGTGAGGCCGGCGGGGCTTGATGTGAAGGCTTTGAGAATTCTCAAAGACCATTAATGGTCTCAGGTTTGGTCTGTTCCTGGGTGCAGCACAAGATAATCATCTACGTACCTGAATACCTGGTACCCGGGCGCCGTCGACTCCAGTTTGCCTTTATAGCCCGATCCACATACATTAGGAAGATTTCACTAAGAATGGGCGCCAGGCAAGACCGGATGCAGACGTTTGCCTTCTTGATGTAAATTTTTCCTTCGTACTCAACGAGCGTCGAGCGGAGGTAAAGGTCGAGCAGAGAAAGGAACCCTTTAACGGAGACTCCCGACGCGTTTTGAAACTTGCACATGCCGTGCTCATCTATGGCGTTGCTCACAGACTCGAGCAGGTAATTGACATCTATATTGTAATACATATCTTCAATATCTAACGAAAACAGATCGAGGGGGACAGGCGAATCGTGGAGAGGGGTGAGGTGTGAGATCAGGCCAGAGGAGTTGGTGATGCGGAAGGGTTGAGGGAGATTGAGAGAGGTTAGGTGCTTAAGTAGGAAGGATGCCAGGCGCTTCTGCCAACAGCCGTGTTCTGATATGATGCTACGGAGCGGAACATCGGGCTTGTGAGTTTTTGCGTAGAAAAAGACAGTCAGGTACTGTTTTGAGGGGGCGGCTATCGCGTTCCTCAAGGCTGGCAGGTCAAGGTTCGTGCACAGGTCTTTAAAGGGATACTGAACCAAGGAATTTAGTGTCCATAATAAGTGGCGCACGTTCTTTCCACGAGCCAGCAGCCGCTGATGTGCGCGAGCACACGCAACAAAAATGACGTCAAAGGCCTCCATTCGCGGTTGAGATGACAGTGAAATGTACGGGCTTCGGGCCAAAGGAGAATAAAGACAAGTTTTTCATCTACACAGTGGTGTCTGGCGTAAAAGGTAAGCGATTAATTGGTCTAACAAGCACGTAGCTTTCACTTGTAGAGATGAAGATCCTGGCTTTATTCTCCTTTGGCCCGAATGCCATGCATTTCACTGTCCTCTTAAGCGCGAATGGAGGTCTTTGACGTCATTTTCGTTGCGTGTGCTCGCGCACACCGGCGGCTGCTGGCTCGTGGAAAGAACGTGCGCCACTTATTACGGGCACTAAATTCTTTGGTTCAGTATCCCTTTAACCTTGGATCTCAGAGACCCCGAAGTTCTTTTTTTGAGCAAGACAAATTTCTTATCTAGGACAGCTCCCACCTTAACGCCGAAGAGGTCTTCTTCCATGATGACAAAAACGTCTGTTTTGTCAGATTCCAAGTATAAACTTTCAATTTTTATGTAAAAACAATTTGGGTAACGTTTGCAGGAACAAGACGTTAATTTAGGTCATCGTCGTGAATTACGGCGGGCAATAAGCCGAGTTTATTCAAAGCGACGTTATGAAAAAAGGTTGTACTCTTGCTTGCTGGTCACGTAGTCGCTATTATTATTATTATTGGGTTATTGTCTTTTTTTTTGTTGTTAACTAGTTTATATATCAGCCTTGCTGGCGAAACTTTCCTGTGTTTGAACGAACGGGACTACACAATATTACATTTTCTGCAATGTTGTAGGCGTTACCGAAAAAAAAAAAAAAAAAAGCAGCGAAAAACGTTGTTCGTTACTTGCAAAATAAAGGTTGTTTTTGTTCTTCTCGGCACCGAGGATGCCGCGCTTTCGGCCGCCGCTCTCGTGTCAGGCGTTTCTGCTCCTCTCGGCGCCGAGGGACATGGCGGCGCCTGAGGTATATATCTACAGGGTGATTCAAGGAGACGCCAGGCTCTTTAAATCGACCGCAAAATTCGGTTTGTTAACCTATCGCGCTACGACTTTGTGCAGCGTTTCCCACAGATACTGCATTTGTTTTGTAAAATTTGCAAAGAGCGAACTTACCCGAGGGAAAAGTAAAGAAAGAAAAAGGCTTAGCTCCTATGGAAACGCAGCGACGCCACCAGTCTGCAAACAACACGGCGCCGTTTCGCACGGGAAGCAAGAGATGGCGCAAGTGGTCGCGACGCCAACTGCCGCCAACGAACGAGCATACGACGCCGAGAGCCAGGGTCTTTAGCGGACAAGGAACTGCAGTTCCTTGTTGTTACCGCGCCTGTTTTTGTTTCTGCGACTGCCGCCGCCTGCGGAACGCGCACCGCTTTTGAGTCGAAAAGATCGTCTGCTAAATACGCCGGCTCTCGACGCCGTATGCTCGTTCGTTGGCGGCGTTCGTTGCGCCATCTCTTGTCTCCCGTGCGAAACGGCGCTGTGTTGTTTGAAGACCGGTGGCGTCGCTGCGCTTCCATAGGAGCTAAGCCTTTTTTTTTTCTTTACTTTTTCATCAGGTAAGCTCGCTCTTTGCAAACTTTACAAAAAAAAAAAAGCACCATCTGTGGGAAACGCTGCACAAAGTCGTAGCGCGATAGGTTAAGAAGCCGAATTTTGCGGTCGATTTAAAGAGCCTGGCGTCTCCTTGAATCATCACCCTGTATATCGTCGGCGGCCGCAACCTCGGCAGTAGCGAAACATGGCCGTTTACGCCAGTACACCGCAGGCGAACTAAGGGAGCAGAACAACGACATTCATGCTTTCGCATTCACAACTCATAACAAGTGCTTAGGTGTATTTCTCCGCACAGGCTCACTCGCGTCTCTCGGTTCGGCGAGCAAGAAGTCGATGAGCCAGATGATGAGTTCGTGCCAGCCGCTGAGCAGAGCCTCCTCCTCTTCGAACTGGAGGTGCTCTTCCCCGCCGCGGTTCCAGCGCTGCCCGCCTGTTTCGTTCCACTGCTGATTGTTTTGCATGGGCACGGCCCTGGGAGAACGGACGGGGACTCCGTTGAAAAGAAGCCCGCCGCAGTGACGTCTTCGTACACGGGGAAACGGAAATCAAGAGGTAACAGCGCCAAATAGACGAGACGGAATCAGAGAAACACACAGGATCTATACTTGTATGTAACACATTACAAATAACGCGTCACTGGTACTTAGTAGGGCTGGTCAATCATCGATTAACCTACCGATTAACCGATTAAGGCTTTAATCACAAGTTTTAACCGGTTAATCCGTAAACTTTTTACAAACCGAAAGAAAGAAAAAAATTGAACACTTTCACCACGCAGACTTGGACGAGTACTCGTGTATGAAGGGCAAACTTTAGGTCAACATGTAGAATAATGTAAACTGTAGGGGCGAGATCTGTAACTCCAGACAAGTGCAGAAGGTTACACGTGTCCCGGCAACTTCAACGCCGTTCGAGTCTCCGTTTAGCGCAGCACAGACTATTGTGAACAATCAAAGAAGATCGCTCTTGCCGGAGAGTATCAACGAACCTCTTTGCCTCGTGCAGCAGCAGTAAGTATCTGTGAGTGTGAGTGTCTGAACTCTTCTTAACTACAGACCGAGATTTATTCATAATCAGAGTAGTATATTGCATCGTTTACCAGATTATCAACAGAGGTAACAAACGAGCAGGTACCTGCTCCACGAGCGGTAACTTTAGTGCACTACTACGCTTCTCACGCGCTCGAAATCTTTCTGAAAATTACTGATTTAGTGGTTTTTGACGACGCTCAGCAAGTTTCTAATTGGAAACATATGACTATTTTTAATAATTAAAAAGTTAAATAACAAACTTTACTGAATTAGCCGACTGATCATGACGATTAGCCCTCTATTCTGGGTCCCCATGGCCGTATAACTGACCCGCACAAACCGCATAAGTGTAGCTTTCACAAATTTTTCAAAACAAACCTGTAAAGCTTAAAAAAAAAGAAACATATATATATATATAATTTGGACCTTTTATATAGATTAATTAATCGATTAAAGTATTGCGATTAAACGTTTAATCAACGCCCAGTAGTAGCACCCTAGTCCAGCACCTACAGTACTGTGGCTACAATAATACAATTAAGAAACAAATTCTTGTCAAGTAAATTAAAAGATGATTTTGGGCAATTGTTACCCGTCCCTTGAGAAAAAGAGGGAAACAACTAGATGTGAAGGTAGAAAAGTGAGCACATTGGTACCTCAGTGTCGGTTATGAAAAAATGCAACGTCAGACTGGTCAAATGGAGGTTCTGAAAATACCATGTAAAGTACAAACAGGTGAAGTGCACTGTTTCGCGAGAATATAGATTATGATGTGTATCCATTTTTATACTAGTCTCTACATGTATTTTTCTCCATCGGGGGCCCTTGCAATGTAACGGTTCGCTAGCTCAATTACATCTTCATCGTTTTACCTTTTAGATGGCAATCATAGCACACTATTTTCACACATCGAATTAGTTTTGTCTGTACACATAAAAAATAACAAAAAATACGCACGGGTATATTGTGGGTTTGCGGACCACGTATTGGGTGTCTTGATCACCAGCGGGTATTTGAACGGCAGAGTACTCAATTCATACCACCTCAGCTGGAAGTCTATACATCCAATAAACAAGTGCGACAGAATGAACTAGATCGCCTAAATGTTATTTTTAGGGCGCTGACATTTTTATTTACTACACAATGCTAATAGCACACCAACGCAGGAAAAATACAAAGGTGCTCCAAAATGGCGGCGAAGGACAGAACAAAGCTAAAAGCGCAGGACAAAACTGAAAAGCAGCGCGCTATGAAATTGTTTGATGTGACTGTCCTAAAACATAATTTGTTTTTAAAGTGCGGTTTGAGAGTTAGAAACAAAAATACACGAATAAACATTGAAAGAGAGGATGAGATAATATGAGCGAGGACGTCAGGGTGCCCGGCTCAGATTGGAAGGATTAGTGGGTAGAGAGAAAGGCTAGCCTGCCTTTGCCTATACCCACTAATCTTTCAACTAGAAGTGTGCCCGCTCTAATTTACTTATTTCCATCAGTTTATATACGTGTAAACGGAGGGAGAGAATTCCTGGCGCAGTCGCGAGAGCTCTTCGGGACAGTCAGCTCTCACTCGGAATTTCCAAGGTGCAATTCACTTTCCCCTGAACCACGAATTTAGACAGTGGTATACATTATGTCAGGTTCCCATTCCCTTCGTTGCCAGCAGGCCCCGTTCCGGCCATATCCAGTGCTGTACGGTATACCCACTCAAAGTGGCGCTATACTCACCGTCTATATCTTTGGCAAGGACTGTATAGGCCTCGCAGGAACACGACGTCCTTTTTGGTGACAGCTGACACGCCGATAAAATCAGTGCTGCAGTCGTTCTGATCGGTAAGTAAAGAGTGTTCGGTGTAGCCACAAAACACGCTCCAGCTCGCCAATGGAACCCCAATGGAACGCCTCGCTCGCCCTCGCCACTTCTTCTTCTGCAAAATAGTGGCCGCAGAATGTCATTTCCAAAGAAGTCAACGTTGAAAGAAGTGAAGAGTGCGCGTGCACAGCTTTGATCGGTGACAACTAGAGCCACTGTTTATGACAGAGTGACAACCACTGATCTCTGTGACAACTTTCTGGTTCACGCTTCGCTGCTTGTCGAATACGGCCACCGGAAGGTTCAAATCAGCCATCTTGGACCTGCGTAAATCAACCGGGTGAAGCGTTGCAAGTGACTGGGCGGCTGCGTCCCGAAAGGCACGTTTTCTGGTCGTCCATCATCAGTCGACCTTTTATTTTTTTTTTTAACGCGGTGTTGACGGTTGTAGCTGCCTTCGAGAACCCGCGAAACTATTCACGAAAGCGCAGCACCGCAGGAAAAAGGCACAATTCGTCTAACACAAGTGTTGGGATCAGGGGGCGTGATCAAAACACAGGCATGCCTTGGCACTCCTAAGTGCTGCGTCTCTGTGCCTTCGCACGCTTGGATTCCGATCAAAAATCGACGCCGAGTGGATGTGTTTAACCTCCGGGAAAAGTTTGAAGTTGTGTCTCGCGTACCTGACTTTGCTGCATGTTGCATAGATAACGGTCGCGGAGTTCTGGATCGTCCAACTGTTCTGGCGAGTTGCTATCACTAATCAATAGTTGTTATTAGTAAAAAAACAAAAAAAACAAAAAAACAATATCGGTGGCTGCCATTATGCACTATCAACCATAGATATAATCGTAATCTGCCCGAATGCATCCGAATTACTCACGTCGCAACGCAACACAGATAAAACAACGCAGTGGAGCAGCGCTGGACGAGAGGTAGGTTTTCGAAGACCACTTAATCGAACTTGTTTTTGACCCGCGAGTGCCAGAGTTACGAATACAGTCATTGAAGTAAAGTAAAACGCTGCTACAGAGGTACATACAGATTTACACACGTTGCATTCGCGAATTTATTCCGAAGGGTTAACACGGCATCGATTCTTGATCTGTATCCAAGCGTTCGAAGGCACAAAGACGCAGCTCTTCGTCGTGCCGAGGCATCTGCTTTGATCACGCCACCTGACCGCGAGTTCTCCTGCGGTCCGGCGTTGTCGTAAAAAAGTGGAAGCCGCTTACAACTCCCTGTAACGCCGAATTAGAGCGCAGCTCTTGAGGAAGAGGAGGGAAGGGCACTGGGGGGGGGGGGTTAAACTAACCAGGGGGGGGGGTCACGTGACCTTGGGGGGTCACGTGACCCCCAATGCCGATGGTGTCATCACTGACGTCACTGATGACGTCATCAGTGACGATGACGATGCGGGTACCGATGACGTCATTAGTGACGTCACTGATGACTTCACCAGTGATGATGACGATGCGAATGTCGGTGACGTCATAAGTGACGTCGCTGATGACGTCGTCAGTGATGATGACGATGACGATGCGGATGCCGGTGACGGCATCAGTGACGTCACTGATGACGTCATCACTAATGACGTCATCAGTGATGATGACGATGACGATGCGGATGTCGGTAACGTGATCAGAGATGATGACGATGGCGATGCGGATGCCGGTGACGTCATCAGTGATGATGACGATGTGGATGCCGGTGACGTCATCAGTGATGATGATGATGACGATGTGGATGCCGGTGACGTCATCAGTGATGATGACGATGACGATGTGGATGCCGGTGACGTCATCAGTGATGATGACGATGATGATGTGGATGCCAGTGACGACGTCAGTGACGTCACTGATGACGTCATCAGTGATGATGACGATGACGATGCGGATGCCGGTGACGTCATCAGTGATGATGACGATGACGATGTGGATGCCGGTGACGTCATCAGTGATGATGACGATGACGATGTGGATGCCGGTGACGTCATCAGTGATGATGACGTCATCAGTGATGATGACGATGACGATGTGGATGCCGGTGACGTCATCAGTGACGATGACGTCATCGGGAGGTCACGCGACGTCGGCGGGGGTCACGTGACCTCAAGGAGTCACGTGACCTCGGGGGTCACGTGACCTTGAGAGGTCACGTGACCTCCGGGGAGTCACGTGACTTCGGAGGGTCACGTGACCTCGGGGGGGTCACGTGCCCCCCACGAGGTCACGTGACCCCGGTGGGGGGCTCGCGCGGTGCATTATGGGACATTTCCCATGATGCACCGCGCGGTTACGCCGACGGCGACGGCGACGGCGACGCCGACGGCGACGGCGACGGCGACGCCGCTCAAGCCGGAAACGGGCCCCTAAGAGCTGCGCTCTAAAATTTCCACTGGTTGTCAAAGGCAGCTACGACCGTTTACACGGGGTTTTAAAAAAAAACACCTTGGGCGAATCACAAGGAACGAGCAAACAACATGTCTTTCAACGAGAAAAGAGTCAAAGTACAGGCCAGCTGGTGGAAGTCAACCATTTCGTCGTTTACCCTGAGACTGGGGGTTTTTTTTGAAGAGCAGAAGAAACAGAAAAAACGTCTGCGGAAAAAGCGGAAAAAGTATGTGGACCCGCTATTCTTCAAACAACTGGCCGCCTCCGGGATACCGTGGAAGGACAAGAAGAAGGTCATCAAAGCCTACAGGTCTGGAACAGGTCAACGGGTTCAAGACATCTGCAGCGCCTGTGACAGACTCTGGAATCTTCTTCTCGGAAAGAACTTCAGGAGGCATGGAGACTACCATCTTTGGAGCGCCGTCATGAGGACACATTTCGACCGTACGTGGTATGTCAAAAGGAGGCATGTTTTGGACAGTTTCAAGTTGTGGAACTCTCGGGGGGCAGAGGTAAATAAGTGTGTACAGGGGACGGGAAATTGTAAACAACAGCATTGTATAATTAACCCGGAAAATGTAGTGGTGTCAAAGAAATTGGAGGAGTTCTTGGGTAGAGGTCCGAAGTACTGTGTAAACGTTAAGCCATCTAGACTCGACGTGTTTTCTGACATACAGTCAATCGCCAGGGTTGTGGATAGTGAGGAGAAGTTTGCGTTTGTCGAAGATGCTGTAGGGCGCATGGAAAAATTAATGGGAAACGCGTATCCCATCGATAGGAGGAATTTCAAGGATGTGAGAGCGGTGAAACAAGAATTAGAAAGGAGTTCGTTAAAACTGTTGCAGACAGATAAAACAGGAAGGTTTGCAGTTCTGCCTGTACAGGCCTTTCAGAAGAAGTCAGAGGAAGCGTTGGGATCATTGTTTAATGAATGAAGGGCAATATCGGGAAGCTGAGGAAAAGCATTTGCAAGGTTTTTCAGGAGGAAAGCATGGAAGAGGTAGCGAAAAGCGTTTTGAAACCGTTGCGGTCAACGCTCACCCTTAAGTTCTTTTTGAAGGATCACAAGATTGAAATGCCCCTTCGTACCGTTGTTAACGAGAATGGGACGTGGCAGAAGGTGGTCTCATGCTTCTTACAGCGGGGTTTGAAGTTAGCTAATTTGGAGAAGTCAATTGCCTTAAAGAACTCTAGTGAGTTGATTGAAGTAATGGAAAAGTTTCACGGAAGGAAGTGCGCGGTATTCTCCATGGACATCAAGGACCTATATTACTCTTTAGAGAAAAGCAGACTAATGAATAGAGTGAGGATCGCCTTGGAAGGGAACCTTATTAAGTTTCAATCAGGAACAGGAATAGCGGTGGATAGTTTTCTTTCGGTGCTAGACCTTTATTTACAGTCAACGGTATTGGAATACGAAGGTCGCAATTTTGTGCAAAAAGAGGGAGTTTGTATAGGTTCGTCTGTAGCGCCTTTGTTAGCGGAAATTTACTTAAACATGGTGGACCAGCAAGTGTATGACAAGGTAGAGGAGTTGTCTCCAAAGTGTTTTGTGAAAAGATTTGTGGATGATATCTTAGTTTGCTCTGTTCAGGAAGGATTGGACCAAGTTTTAGAACAAGTAGTGAGGTCAGCGGCGCCAGAGTTGAGATTCACGTTAGAGAGGCCAAGGGGCGAGGTCCTGCAATTTCTCGACCTGCGTTTGCATTTGGAACGAGGTCTTTGTTGGGAGTATGGGAAGGAAAACCCAAAACCGGTTCTGTCAAAGAATAGCTGTCACTCGAAAAATGTAAAAGCCGGGGTAGTCAGATCTTTGATTAGTAATGCTTTGGTGAGATCATGCATGCATTTCGGACCGGAGGCACTAAAAAACCAGTGGGAAAGACTGGTAATGGCAGGATATGGGGAAGAGTACATCAAAAGGCAGATTGCCCTACAGTGCAGGGAGAAAAAGGGGAAGACGCAAGAAATCAGGAATAGGTACGCTGTGGTTCCGTATTTTCACGAGGTGTCCCACAATCTTAGAGCATGTGCAAAAAAATATGGCGTGGATGTCGTATTCAGCACGGATTTTAGGTTAGATAGATTGACACCTTTTGAAACGGCTCAGAGGGGCTGTCAGAAGGCGCATAGGGAAAAGTCGGTGCCGTGTAGCGTAGGCGTGGTGTATGAGGTTCCTTTGGCGTGTGGTTTTAAGTATGTAGGCCAAACCTCTCGGTGTTTAAACGATCGTTTAACAGAACACAAAAGGAATGTTAAAAATAATGCAGCAAATTCGGCGTTGGCTAAGCATCTGGAGGAGTGTAGAAACTGCACAACGGATTGGTCTGGAACGGATGTAGTTGTTAAGGAAAGGAACGATGTTAAAAGGGTGGTAAGAGAAACAATTAGGATTAGATCGTTGGGAAATTGCATTAGTCAACCTTCCATGCAAATAGGGAACCGCTGCAAGCAATTTTTACAATTTTAAGTGCTTTTTTTTTTTTTTTTTTTTTTTAGTTAGTCATTCTGAAAGGCTTCGTTGGTGTGTATTGTCTGTGGTGTGTACCGGTGTGTATTGTCTGTTTTCTACAATTTTGGAGGTGACCA